ATCATGTCATATTAACAACAAAATATTCTCGTTCTATGTTAAGAAAAATGAGGCAAATATCTGGAAGTCCTGTATTGTATCTAGACACTCTTCTATAGAGATGATTATCAATGAAACACGTATGTTTTACATTTCTTCCATTTTGTGCACTCTCGTGTAGTGTAGTGTGTCCTAGTTCTATTTGGGATGACGGGGTAGTGATTGTTTAGTGTCCAGATGGTCCACCAAATGGAGCATTTCCACATGCATAGTCAAATCAAGTGAGAGAAGTATTTTCCCAAAATGCATTGCAACCGTGGCTGAGGAATGGCTAAAATGTGTACAAATGTAGTCTAAACATAACTCTGGAACCTACAGTAGTTTCTGTTGTCCATGACAGCTACTGGCATTCCAATTCATAGTTACAGATTCCCCCCTGGCCCTTGTAGTTCCATTCCAAAGGGCCATTACCCAATCACAAGCACTCTGAGACGAGGGATAGGGTTACAGAAGAAGAAATTGGATAGGGCCCATGTCTATTAACTTCACATGAGTCTTATATATCTAATTACCTTCTTAGTGTAAGGTGAAACTGTCTATGGTTCTAGATTCTCATTCTGCAGAAACATTTCAGTGGAAATTTCCTCATGTAGTAAAGCTTAGTATGAAGTCCATACATGCAACATAAAAACATATGTCTAGGTGCTACTACTGCTAATATTTCTACCAATACTGTGGATCTCTGTGTGCATTACTGGCCATTAGGAGTGGAGTGGCTCTAAGGACAGCACTGTTAGTGGGCTGGTCACACTCAGACTACAAACAACTGCTGGGTGGACTGGCATGACTCTTCATGGTCCCTAAAACATGAATCCTAATGACTGTGGTGATCCCCTGATGTCATCTTGAACCAGCAGGGGGTCAGAATGTCCACTTGTCCAGCACTTCATACAGGAGTGTCACAAATTCCTGTCATTTTCAGCTGTACCGTTGACATTAAGTTCACATGCTTAATGTTTGCATGTTACCAAACTGTATTATTTATTATCTGCTTTTTTCCGGGCCAGTCCCAATTATTAGTAACCAATTAGACCGATACGTTGAACCAACATACAATCTTGGTGTCAAAATTTAGAATAACTCCAACACAAAACTTTGTTAAAAATAACAAGATTAAGGTTAATTGTCATGTTTAATCTTTATAAATAGTAAATGAAATGAATTAGAGATCCATCCCAGAGATGGACTTGTTAACTATGAGTGATAAACTATCATCAACTTTGTCTTTACCGGCTGCCATTGATATTGTATTTATTTTATATTGTTAGGATTTTATTTATACTATTTATTGATGCAATTATTGGTTCTGTTCTTTATCCATACTCTTATTGGTTTTTCATTATTAAATAATTTCCTTTTAAAAATGTTATTTAAAAAAGAATAAATTCAGTAATCAAATTTAATATTTTATTATAACTAACTGTTTTCAGAGCAGCAACAAACGTAAAGTTTACTGCAGCAAAGTAACATGTAATATGAAATCAGCATCTCACTGGAAACAAATAGAACATGTAAAATAAACAATATTCCTGACGTGAAAGTATTGAGTGAAGTTTAGAAAGAAGACACCAGTCAGTTTCAGTCCTCCTCCCTCTCCTGCTGCTGTAGAGAGGAGCTGGTTTCTTTCAACAAGCAGCTGAGTGTACAAGGATTTGCTCAATTTTACGGTACGTAGCATCTCAGCTAAACAGACTACGGACAGAGAGATTTAGCTTGTTTATTACTAGCTATGAGCCGAGCTAGCACATGTGCTTGTGTAAAACCAAAACACAGCTGCGGTGGATGACAGTGACATTGTACTCAACACTCTGTGGGCTCGAGCAGACAGAGAGAGGCGGCTGCATCAGTGCCAAGGGAGCCCTTTTTTTTATTAATTAATTATATTGGCTAACTGTTTTTAAAATGACCATGCAGGTTATTGGAAAAATGCTGAATATCTGTGCCGATAATCGGCCAGACCGATTCTTGGTCGACCCCTAAACTGTACACATGTTAACATTATTATGCAACATTTTACATGTGAAATTTAAGCATTTTAAAATTAAGATCCTAAATATACAAAGAGTTTATTAATTAGGAACACATTAATCAGCATACTGAATGTTATATAGAACAAAGCATGTTGATGTGTTAAATGTTGCATGCTAAAACATCATCATGTTTCAATTATCAACAATTGCCAATAATTGTTAACATGCTAACTGTAAGCATTATACCATGCTCATACTAGCATAGCATGCTAATGTAAGCATTAAGTGAAAAGCACAGCTCAGCCTATGGATGCATTCACAGCACTGCAAACAGCAAATTTTGTTCCATGCTGTGATTGGATGATAAAAGGAACAGTATTCAAGTTGAAAACTGGTAAATATGGTAACTCTCATTTCAGTTATATTTATATCATGTACAGCTATCAATCCCAGTGTGAGACATTCAGAATCATGTTTCTGCAAGATGTAGTAATTAAGCCCTGTCTTTAGCTGACTGGTTTTTAAAAGAGAGCTCTAAATATAGAAACATCTGAGATAGCTGCAGACTGCATCCTCCTCTTCACCTGCCATAGGGTGTTTGTGTTTGGTTGTCTGAATTAACTACAGCTGATGGTGGCAACAGAGTTTGAGCTGACAACGCAGAGTTTCAGAAATTCAAAAAATGTACAGAAGATAAACTGTTTTATTCAGGGGAATATGGCAACACACACTGACCTCCCGGCACAACCCCGGTACAGATAGAAAGAATAGAAACGAGGACTTTCATTTTCATTTTGTTTTATCTAGGATGCCATTGGTGATATCAATATCGGTATACTACACAAAGATGACCTTGTTTTCTACCCAGTGTGCCCCTTACTGGCAGCTACACTGCTCAGTGATCATGTCTACTAGGAGCATTGCCTCAAATTAATTACCACTTTCTAAACTTTAAATGTTATTCCAAATTACACAAGGAGGCAGAATATATTAGAATAATCCCTGGAGGTCAGAGCCCATAAAGATCAGTGACACAACTCTCCTAGGAAATACTGGTGCCCTTACTACTACTGTAGATATCCTGTTGATCTATTTGGGCTCTGACTATACTGACAGGCTCCTATGCCAGTATCTGCAGTCAATGGGAAATAAATGACTGACAGAGCAGAAAATCTTGTTTTTATAATAGCAAGAGGAAATGCCAAATCCAACTACATAGATATTAATCCCAATCTGGGAGGTTCTGGATCACAGGATGGGGCATAAGTTAAACCCTGCTGTCTGGCTGACTGGTTAACAAAGGAGAACATTGAAGACATTGCCTTATTGCAAGTGGCTGCAGACCTCATCCTTATCTGCCATCAATAGCTGGGTGTTTATGTTGTTTTGTCCAAAATTGTATTATATTCAGCCTCAAACATTTGACAGCATCAAAACATCTCAGAGATACATGCTGATTGGTTAGTGCATTGAATTGAATTGAAACAATGTGTGTTGACTAGAGTTTGAAACAGTGAACCCATTCGAGACTTAATCAATGAACAGAAAATAAAGCAACAACAGCCTGAATTTGGTAGCACCGAAATGTTTTCGTATCAGAAGGTCTCCTATCCTGCAAAATACCAACATCTTGGATGTTCTGGATTGGGTTCTGGTGTTTCTGGCTGACTAGTTTGAAAAAGAGAACCTTGAAATGATGCTCCAGCCTCTTTAACATAAAAACATCCTCAACAAAATCAACCAAATGCGTCAACAACACTAATAATGTTGTCAAAAGGGATATTTTCACTAGCTTCAGATGCTTTAGAGATATCTCATAAATGAAATCTTAAATCATCATTATTTTGATTATCAGTAAATCTTGTGTTGTTTTTTTGTTAATGAAATGTCAGAAAATTGAGGAAAATGTGTCCAAGGGGCTGTTTTCTTCCAGAGAACAGCCAAAATCCAAACACATCTCCTTCACTCTGATATTAAACAGCGAAAGGCAAAACATACTCACATCTATCTGCTGCTATCTAATGCTTATATGATAGATTTCCATGAAAGATGACTTGAATGATCGATCAATTATTAAAATAGCTGCCGATTCATTCTCTTTATCAAATTTTAGTCACTGACTAATTGCTTGCTGGACTAACCATTACAGCCCTAGATGAATCAGTGTTAGTTACAGCTGTGATTTGTGGCATGCGAACATGATAGATTCCAATAAATAGGTTCCGACTGAATTGGGATGAGCCTGACTGAAAATATCATTAATAGCTAAAGACTGCATCATCATCATCATCATCATCATCATCATCACCTGCCACTGAATAACATGCTTCCAAATGTACACACAGCAAGAATATGTACATGTATGTATGTATTATTACCTAAAGGAGATGTTTTAAATGCAGTTGGAGTTAAATGAGTTTGCGCATGTTCTCGTCTTTCATTTGGCTGTCCACAGGATCGGCTCAGCCGACAGGATGGATGAGCTGGACTAAATTGAACATATCCATAACGACCCTAATGGCATGTTATTAGGCATTATATCTTTAGCAATGTGGTCAAATGGTAAAGACGGAGAAAGCACCTCTAACAAGAACATGCATGATGCTGTAAGGATTTCTCAGGGTTTAAACTACATAGCAGCGGTGTGTGTCGTCATTTGTGGTACCACCGTGATAACCGAGCGAAGACGATGAAAAAGCCCGTAAATAATCTGACAAGGTCACCATCCTGTCATCAGCCAGAACCCTACAACACGTTTAAGAATATTACACAATACCAGTGGAGATTAAAATCAAACAATACCATAAAATCCGATACGTCACAATAAACCCAGCAGGCCTACTGAGCACCTCTGAACACTGCATGCGCGCTATGGCCCATATAGGGATGTTATAGGCTGGTAATTTTCCTTCAGCCAACCTATGGGACAGCGCTGAGCCATGCGTTATCTAACCGGCAGCAGCTCTCCGCCGTCTGCTCTGCGGGTCTTACCGCGGACGATGGCCGGCGGTGGTGTCCTTGGTGGTGTCGCTGGTCGGAGGAGACAGGATGGGAGACGGTACCGCGGCTGATGCACGAGCTGCACAGTTCCGGCGATGAATGAAAGGCGGACAGACCCGGCTCTGTCGGCGATCCACTGGAGACTAAGCACGAACTCCAAGCCCCGCCCCATCCAGTTCTCTACGTCAAGCCTTCGTACTGGACCCACTGGAGCGGCTCAGCTTCACCGCAGCCCTCCCCCTCTTCTGTGTGTGTGTGTGTGTGTGTGTGTGTGTGTTGTGTGTGTGTGTGTGCGTGTGCGTGTGCGGGTGCGTGTCAGTATCAAAGGGACGTGTAGAGACTTCCAAGGAGCACGACGAGCAGTTTAGTAGCACACCTAATTTCTGTCTTTTTTCTGTGAATATGCGTCAAAATGCCATCAGAAGGAGCCCACTAAAATAAACTAAAGGACAACACACTTACCTACTACAAACAAGATCCTCTTTGATTTAGGAAAAAAACACAGCCCTTTTCTGACCTGAAAACTAAAAATGTTCACTTGGTGTATTTTTAAACCTCTCAAAGGCATACAGCTGCTTTAAAGACTTGGAATGCAGGCTGTTTCTCTCAAATGGTTTGTTAGCTATGTTAGACTGAGAGCTATTTGTAGCTTTTGATGATTAGGCTACATGTCACCTACTATAAAGGTCCAAGCTTTGGCAAGGATCTATTCACGGCCCATTGCCTTTTTAAATGTATAACAATGACCTGCCTGTAGTTGCAGATGGTCAAGTCAATTTTATTTATATAGCCCAATATCACAAATCAAAAGAGGCAACTTAAGGGACAGCAGTTACAATCTATGTATCTATGTTATTAATCTGTTATTGTTATTGTATTGTTTGGAATTCTCCTTAACTTCATTCACTTAATTAAGATTCATCTACTGTATGTATTTGGATACACACCTATAATGTCCCTTACTTTCCTTCACTTCAGACCTTCATTCAAATTCTACTGGTCTTCAAATGACTTTCATTTAGTGTGGATATATTCATACAAAAATTTGATTTGGCAAAGTTTCAGCAGAACTGCAGTTTGTTCCAGATATATGAAGCATAAAAACTGAACACTGCTTCTGCAGGTTTAGTTTTTGGGGACAGAAAGCAGACCTGGATGGTTTAAAAATCAGTTCTTTAACAGGCAAGAAAGTCTGTGTAAAGACCTCAGAACTGGAGTGATGTGATGGACTTTTTTGGTCTTATTGAGGACTCGAGCAGCAGCGTTCTGATTGCATGTGGGCTCCATCACATGCTGAGCCAGTCCATAGTTATCAAGAACACAACTCAAGTTCTTTAGTCCCTCTGTCCTGAGGTCAACATGAATGTTAAAATCACCAATAATAACTACCCAGTCAGAGTCAGTACAGATTATAGAGCGCAGTTCAGCAAAGTCATCAACGTTTGTAGGGTAACATGGGGTAAGACACACTCCGTGTCAATTCTAACAAAAAACATAAAATGTCACAATTTTTTTTCTTCTGGCTGATGCTCGTCTCACAAAAAATGTCCTCGGTTTCATCAAAAAATTTTATTATTCGATAAAAGCCATTCTGACCTAATTTGATCTAATTTTTTTGTCAGTTAAAATAAGCTGTTAGTTTTTATTGTGTTCAGTTTATATATATTTATATTTACATTAAGGGGAGCCTTAAGTTATGCAATTGTTTAGAGTGAAAGATTTTTATAGTTTTTGGTTGAAGTAGTAAAATGCTAGATTAGTATGTTTGGGGTAAGATGCCCCCCCCTCCAGTGGGGTAAGACGCCCACCCCAGTCTCCGTGCCCCTTTATGGTTGATTGTTTGTAAGTTAGATGTTATTTAGACACTGGATACACCCTTTAGCCAACTAGCAACTTCACTATCAGAAAGTCTGAGGTAAAATTCTGAGGTTATAAGCTCACATATGTTCACATTTCTAGTTAACAAGCTAGCTAGCATGCGCATATTTTACCTCAGATCTTCTGCTAATGAAGTTCCAGCAACCTCACTATTTAAAATTCTGAGAAATAAATGATAGGAAAGCTAATGACATAAGGCAAGGCAATCTTACCCCACTAGCTGGGAAAAATGCCTTTCCCCTAAAATTTACATTTGATTAAATTCTATTTAATTTCTCAACTGTAGGTATTTATTTTACTTTATATTATGTTACCCTTAGCATGACTATCTCCAAGATACAAAAACCCCCTATAAAATATTACTTTATGTGTCAGCAAATAGACATTGAGCTTAGGGGGGTGTCTTACCCCACTCTACTCACAATATTTAGTATTCAGTATACTCAGTACTGAACTCAGTTTTAAATATAGCTCGAGAAGAATTCAACTGAAGTGCTTTAAAAAAAATGGTTTTCCATAAGACGTCATTAAACAAAATGGCAACTCCACCTCCTTTTTTATGCACTCTAGCTTCACTTATAAAACTGAAGTTGGGAGAGGGACTCAACAGGAACAGCTGCTCTGGTATCTTAGTCTAACCATGTTTCTGTTAAAATCATGAAACTGTCATTGTGCTTGATGATAAAATTATTTATTAAAAATGGTTTTCCTAACTGGACATGGTTTTATCCGTCTGGAGAGACAGAGGGTGATTCTGACACCATTGTCTGTGACAAATGGGTTCAAAGTGACTGAGAACTTAAAACCAATGCTGGAGATGGATGCTGAGGGGGTTTAGGGGGGAGACAATGCATTTGAATAGGGCAAGGAAGGGAAGGGGCGGGGGTGAGTTTGGCCCCAGCTGTGACCAGCATCTGGTCAGTGAACTCCAAGAGGGGGAGGAGGCAGAAAGGGAGACTGGAGATAAGGGTGACCTGGATGGGGTTTGGGGTAGTGTGGAAGGTGAATCCACACGGGTGTTTTTGATAAAGGGGAGTCTCTTCCTCTCGGTTCTGATGTCTCCTATGATCAAAGCTCTCCTCAGGTGGGGGCTCAAAGTTTCTTGGTTGTTCGTCTTGTTTTGTTTCTCGTGTTTCCTGTCTTCGGCAGAGGGAAAAGATGAGTGACACAGGAAGTAAAACATGTTAGAGATGAACAATTTTACTCCAGACTTGTTAAAAGTCCATCTGCCTTAAAGAGACGTCTGCAGTCCCAGAAAAAACTTGATATTATCAATAAAGTTCACTAAATGGACAGTGCAGAGACGAGCCAAGTGTTCAATGCCAACAATCTGCTGATTCTCAACTGTCTCTCTGGCCCCCTCACTCAGAGACACCTTTGCAGTGTTTAGGACTGGGTGGTTTTCAATCAACGTCTGGAGGGGGCCAGACATTAAAAAGAGGTTGATATGCTACAGCAAACTTTAGAAATGTCGAGCTCATTGCTGCATGAATGGTTATGATTATTGACAAGACAGAACTTAGCATTAACAAATTAGAGACAAACCACCATGTAGGGCATTTTCTTGGATTTAATAAATGAAAACAACCTACAAAAATGAAACTTCTGTCCAGCTGGAATTAACATTATACTAGTGGACAGCTATATAGCATAACATTACCCCTTTATCAAACATTACCACAGTGGTATAATATCAGAAAGTTTTTTTGTGAATGAATATTAAAATAATATCTTTTTTATTTTTTAGGCAGTTTTCAAAGCAAACATCTGGAAAAGTTACCCAAATGGGTTTTTGGACTCAGAAGTCTGAAGATTAGATGATGAGTGTTGTCAGCATTTTTGGAAAATACCAAACAGTGCCAGAAATGCAGTAGGGGCGGGGGGTGGTTGGTTGAGTTGTAGATGAGATCTCCATGTCACCCAGATCTCATAAAAATTATTGTGTGACTTTCCTCTGTCTGCAGCAGAGAGGGGGTCCTCAATATAGTAAAAAAATATCAGCAAATTAATTTCAGTGTAGCGTAAGTATCAAAGTCTCACAAGAAAATCTACAACACTGTCAAAGAGAGAAAAGGAAGGGGTTCAGCAGATTGAAGAAGGTGAGAGGGGACAGAGTCAAGAAGACAGGTGGTTGGGCGGTGGGAGGTAACCAGGGTTACCAGTACCGCATTGTGAGAGGGGTGAAAAGGAAGTTAGAACAGGAGATAAAGAGGGCAACATAGAACAGGTGGTGTCAGCAGTTGGGTGGGGAAAGGAGGAGTGTATGTTGTATCTTTTTTTGTTTAGTAGTTAACAAAGTCACTCAGTAGATGACAGGAGGGGGGGGGGGGGTCAAGGGCAGGGAAGGAAGATTGGAAATTGGATAAGAAGAAAGGGCTTTAGCTTTTAACATCAACACTGTTGTGTGAAATATATATAACTTCAAGATGTCAACATGTGGCTGAAAACTCCAGAAAAGGTAAGTAACAGAATTTTTTTTTGTTAAATTCCTCTAAAAAAAAACCTTCAAGCCCACATTATCTTTGCTGTTACACAAACAATCAGATTCATCTGCTTTATTTACCAGGTATGTGTGCACATACGAGGAATTTGACTCAGAATTGTAGCATTGCTCACAGAGATCACATATATACACACACTATAAACAAAAGCAATATAGACAGAGTGTACACGTCGGAGGTGGATGACATATACAGGTACACATACACATATATGCATATGTGTGGAGCGAAACAAGGTTTATTTGACAGAATACTCAAATGTGCACGGCAGAGTTCAGGGATCCTCCCTGAACTCTGCCGTGCACATTTGAGTATAGGTCAGAATTTGGCTAGGCCAGGGGGTTGCAGGAGGATATGTGGATTTTCCAGTAATCCATTTGTTTGTCCTGGGTATAGGGCAGGTTCTCCAGATGTCCACAAGGGGATCCACTGTCCAGGGCATGTGTGGGAGAGGCAGAGAGGCAGAGGCAGGAGTCAGAACAGGCAGGGAGATCTGTGGCACAGGAAAACAGGGCTACAGGGCAGATTTACAGGTTTTGTCTAAACTGTCTTGAACATGACTGACTGGAAACATGAGTCTAGAGGCTGGGAGCCGCTATATGAGGCTGAGCTTGATGAGACCGATGGCTGGCAGCTGGCAACCGGCTCCCACACACCTGATTCCACTCCTGCAATGAGGCACACAGGGGAACAGTAAGTAGGGGTGGGAATCTCTAGGCACTTCACGATTTGATTAGATTACGATTACTTCATTAACCTCAGCTCCATGGTCACCTCCTTCATTACTTTAACAACCAGTTATCAGACTCTGAAATATAATTATCAGGATGTACAGTAATGTTATGTGTACAGGCATATACACCAGTTAGTCTAAGCTTGTACCTGATGTTCTCAATCCTTGACATACTTGTCATTAAGTTATGTCATTAACTTAACATTAAGTTAGTAATGACATACAGCTAATTAGCATTACTTTGTTGATAATTTAGCTAACGTTAACATAACAGGCAGAAAACGTGCTGTAGGATACAGGAGAGATGTTAGCTCGTGCTAACGGCCATCACTTTTCCAGCAGTTGGGGAAACAACACACTTTTATTAACGGACACACTATGACCTACACTACACGTTTACTACCAGACTGAAACTTATTGCTAAGTTAATAATTTTTCTCCGCTAACTTTCACCTTCATGTTCTGCTGCTCGCTCTCTCTCATTCACTTGGCCACACACACAGGACACACAGAGAGCTAGCCAAGCGCTGAGTATCACCATGCTGTCAGTGTGCAAGTTAAAATCATCAGTTGTGCATTGATATTGACGATTGCATGAGCTTTTAGTAGTCATTCATTCCGCACCGGTGGTGTGCCGAATACAGATAGTGATGTTACGTCTGACACCAAAGCTCCGATTGCTTGCTTCAATCTCGTTAAGTCCTTTCAACGAACCACTGCTTCAGAGCTTGTATCGTTTAATGTCGCTAGTGACGTTAAAATGACGTCTGAAGCAAACACACTGGTTCACTCAGGTAGTGAAACCAAGCGTAAAGATTCCGGTCTGAGATGAGAATCCAACGCGGAAGTCCCTTTAACCTGCATTATATCAAACGGCCAACGACTCTTCTGGTTGCAAAAAGGAGTCCGGTTCCATTAGAAAAACTTCTCAGCTGAATAATTACCTCAGTAAACACTTTCCTAATGAGTTTATGGTCTCAATCGCTAGTTTTATGTCTTCTTCAATACAACATGATGTTAATTTAGTAAATTATGGTCCCATCCATCCATCGTCAACCGCTTATCCTGCGTACAGGGTCGCGGGGGGGCTGACATCGGGTGCAAGGCGGGGTACACCCTGGACAGGTCACCAGTCCATCGCAGGGCCACACATAGACGAACAACCCGGAGAGAACCCACGCAGACACGGGGAGAACATGCAAACTCCACACAGAAAGGCCAGGGCAACCGGAGTTTGAACCCACGACCTTCTTGCCACCGCACCACCGTCCCACCCTAAATTATGGTCCCATTTAGAGGAAAATAGACCATAAAGCAGAGTATGCTTAAGGACGGTATTATCTATGATTGACAAGTCGTTACCCAGGCGACCTGTCAGTCAGGCTAGAGTGACTCGTACCCTCTGCACTGTGTAAATTTAACCAGCGCCGCTGAAAAAGCATATTGGGAGTTGGCTGTTCACTTTCTCTGGTGAGTACATTTAGTTTTAAGACTGTTGTTCGCTAGACAAAATTGTCAGCCCTGTTAAAGTGACAGTTAACGTGAATTACAGACGCACCTAGCTAAGCAAGTTAACAAGCTCCGCACACAACCGTCAGCTCTACCGTCTCGTCCAAATATGGTCACGTCCGGTGCCGCTGGTTGCAAAAACTCAACATGGCAGTCCACAAACCAACGGGTGACATTATTCTCATAAAACTGAAGCCAGATCATTGGTGATAATATTCAGTGTTTGGATTGTCATTGTTGTGTGCCAGAGAATATTCTTCAAAGCTGTTTTTTTTAAGTTGTTGGTAGTTGTTTTTTTAAGAAATCGCCTGTCACCAAAGACTGAGATACTTAACTACATTCACTATGGAATACTTTTATACCTGCTAATTTATTACTGCTGCTAATTGCTTTGTCTCACCTATTTCTCCTATGAATTTTTAGGCCAAAGAGAGGTGGTAGCTACAACATTAAAATTAAGGCTGCAATCGCAATTTTGTGCATCTCCTGCTGTAAAAGAGCAACCAATGAGTTCAATAAAATTTTCTTTTGGGTTTTGCATTAACATATTTGCAGAATCGCATTTTGTGGTTGTCGCATTACCCTACATCTTCACCAGCAGATGGTGGTATGCATTTCTGAATGAAGCTTCCTGTGAACCATATTCAACTTTTTTTTTTTCAACACAATTGTATCGGAAAGCAATAGTTCTTCGGAACGCTTCATTTGGCCATCACTAAATACAGGGGGAACACTGGTCTCTGGACGCTTGGATTACATTTTAGTCCATAAAACGAAGAGATCACTACAATGCACAAAATTTATTTTATTCACCACCCTGGGGCTTTAGTATAGCCTGAAGTCATGGAATAGAAATTGCTAACTGCATCATTTATAGTGACACCAAGTAGCACGCCCTTAAAGCATCCAGTGCTGGGAAGCACACTTGTGCTGTTTTTGAATGTGTTTGAAAGTAGATTGCAATTTGCTTATTATAATTGATTTTCTAATATGCTGCTACTGTGTGAATCTATGGCTTTACTGCCAGTTCGTCAGGTACAATACAGGGTATAGAACTGAATATCAAATTTACAAATTATCATTAGACCAATGCAATGTCAGTATTGTATTCTGGTTGTTGATTGGTTAGAGAGGACGTCCTTCATTTACATGTTTTGGCCAATAACAGATTAGCATGAAAAAAGGAAGTTCATTAAAGTGATAAGAGATCCCGCCCAGCAGGAGACCCCAACCATTCTACCACCACCACTTCACACAGACTGCCCTTTCCCCTATTACTCTTTTAAATTTTGATCTCCCTCTAAAAAACACAGGAGGAGCAACCTCCTCTGCTTCTACGGACAGCTTCCTCTGGTATTCACATGAAACGAAAAGTGATCCATAAAAACGAATATGACAACCCATTTGAGAACTACACATCGAGTAATCATCAGGACCTACTATTTGAAATAATGAAAATACAATCACAGGTACTTAAACACGTTGTACAGCATGAAAGAGACCCGTGTGCGGCTCCAGGTGTAACGGTTACCACGGCCTGTCGTGAGCTATTGCTTAATAATGACCAGCTCGCCGTATACCTGAACATAATCCCAGGGTATGCAAGTTAAGGTCAAATATAAAAAGTTCCATTGTTAGTGTATAATGAACATTTCTTCCCAAAGAAGAACTTTGGAGTCAAAGATGTGATGAATCAATCCTTTTATGTTGCCACGGAGATTCAACAAGATACTCTCCCAACATAAACACTCTCCAGTGACAAAGACATGGTGACTTCATGCAAATGTTGATTCTATCCCAGCATCTAACCAGGTCCTAAGATCACAGTCATGTTAATGTTACACAGTGGTGTTTCCGTTTGACATTCGAATATACATTCCTGATCACATCCTGAGCCCACAGTCATGTTAATGTGTCAATGAGTGAAGAACATCTTCAATGCCCCCCTATTCTCACACATCTGTCTGCGTAAAAGGTACCATCTGTCTGTCTGCTGAATGACCCTTTGGTAATTAAAAACAATGTTGTTTGTCTTGCAAGTGAATTTTAAACAGAAAAACTTATTTCTAAAGTTAAATACAATGAGTCCTAATAATCTAAGTTAAACTATTGACACTACTTCATCTGCAGCCTATTGAAATAAGTGTGTATTTTTGCTTACACTGCGTTCCAGTACATTCATTATTTTGTGAAATATGGGCCATTATTCAGTTTTAGAAATTTTATGTTTTGTTATTTTATTGAGCATATTTATAGTTACTACCCATTCTGATTTATAATGCTGTTTACCTTTCTCATGAGAATAAAGACAGACCATACAGAGAAACGAGGTAAATGTGCTTTGTACATTAAGTTATACCATCACTAAACAGATCACGCGGATGACTTCTACATCATCTTTACTAAAACAACATAACACAGTTAAAACAAGGTTTGAAAAGTCTTCACACATGGCTCCACAAAAGAGGCAAAGACTTTAAAATTCCTGTTGTCAACTGCCTGCCCCTTTTTTATACGGTCTATAGCCTCCATGGAGTTAGTCGAAGGGCCATGCACAACGTAGGCGGGGTCAAAAGTATGACACCGCTCACGTTAAGCACCGCCCTGAACTGGACACTACAGTCAGGGGCTTCTCGGAAAATTCTGACAATCCAGACAGCTGTAGGAATGAAATAAGTCCAGAAGATGGCAGTAATGCAACATCAAGGGTGCAAGCTGCCGTCAAGCCTCAAAGATGAAGAAGAAGATTTGAAAACTACCTTTCCAAGCATTCCTTGCAGGCTCCAATTTGATAACCAGCCAATCCGCGCCATGACAGTCCGGCACGTGACATAGAGTAAGTTCCTGCTGTGGCTTCAGGGAAACAGATCGACATCCAGCCACAGGAGAATCGCACTTTGCGGGTAAGTTAAGGCATTTGGCCGCTACGAGGCCAGCTGAGTCTATATTTAGTGTTTGTCGGAGGGGTTTTCCGGACGTTTCTGTGCATTATTGGCGAAAAGTAGCCTGAAATTGGAGTGGAAAGAGCTGTCGTACCGTCTAGGCCTCCGCTATTTCCTGGTGCAACTCCACAGTTGTGCCTACTGGAATGACCAAGTTGGAAAAGTTCAGTTTAGGGGTTTTTGGAGGAGCTTTGTTTTTCTGTGTGCTCAAATTGTGGCATGAACACAGCATTGTATTCTACAGTGGAAAAGACTGCCCCTTGGCTGTGTACTCGTAGGCTACCTTTTGAGCTGGGTATCACCGCGAACTGCCTCTTAGCTGTCAGGTTTGTTAGTCTGTGGAAAATGTAACCTAACAGCCATATGCGCTCGTTCCAATGCAAAACAATGTGAAATATGCCTGTAAATACAAAAGAGCAGACACAGTAACTTAAGCCTATAAAGGTGTATCTGTTATTATACCTAGCAGCCTAGAGGTGTGAAGCTACGGAGACATAGCTGAAGCTGAAGCAGCTTCTGTGTAGGGGAGCCAGATCAATATGTCAGCAGAGCCAGTAGTAGTGACTGCTTTTAGTTTGCCTTGTACTTATCAGTACGGATCTACTGTAGCCTGTATCTAGTTTGATCAGTTAGCAGATTTAGCCATTTGATTATTTGTTTTACTATAGTTTCTGTCAACTAATTTTAGATTTGTATGTCTAAGCATTCTGAGCCTACATCTGACATCTGTAACCGTCTCTGGTGTGTAGTTGCTATGGTTACAGGTGGTGTTCTCCAGCTGTGTGCGGTTAGTAGTAAGGTGCTGTGCAGTTGTCATTCTCCCCTGTGCTCACTTAGTACAACCACAAAGTATTTTGCAATTACTATTTGACAGCAATCTGATGCACACACAGACAAATCCTCTGAAACAACTTTACTGCCCCGCTGCTTCCCCCTCTCACCACGTGTGGTTTTAAGTGGTTAAAGCCTAGTACACACTACACAATTTTGAGCCCGATTTGCCGGTCGGCGAGCTCGGTGACCGTTGGGCGAGTTTTGTGTCTCACAGTGTGGTCTTTCTGTGCTGTGTATACAAACACATACCACTTTTATTCTTTGTAGAATGATGTAGTTTGCAATCAAAAACGATTTTAAAGTAATGGGTCGCCAAAGCCTGTGTGTGGGGAAACACTGTATATTGTTATTGGATATTTAAATCGGTCCAATATCAGTGTCAGCCCTACAACAGGCACTACTGTACACTACGCAGCTCAATTCAGGGTCTGCCAGGAAAACTGCACACTGTGTAATCTGCCCAAAGTGTGGCAAACAAACAATGGATATATTATTAGTAGGGCTGGGTATTTTGTTTTAAATTTTGATACTAGTGCCTATGCCATACCCGAGCTTGGTCTAGATCAGCCAAGATATTATTTTAATCAGAAACCTTCTGAGACACATGTTGTCCGAGCTCTGAATCATTTCAGCATTATCTTTTCATAAAATACCATTTATTATCATCTAAGGTTTTCATCTTGCAGCAATTACTTTGCTTTAGTCAGAAATTTCAAAAGCAGAAGGAGCAAAGCAGGAAAAAAGGGCAGTAAAGCGACTACTCAAGCCTAAAATCTAATATCAGATGCGGTAACCAGAGACTCTATTAAAATAATTCCCTGGAGTATATGAGGCCTGGAGGGGAAGCAGAGTGACAAGTGTTCAAGTACCACACAGTTTATCTTAAAACTTCAGTTAACAGTCTGGCTTTTATTTTACAACTCTGATGAGACACCTGAGCCAAGTGTCTCGTGATGATCTTTGCTGGTGTCAGATGACATTTGTTACAGACTCTGGTTGCCTGAGCAGTTCAACTGCTGGAAGATGGTGAAGGGTTTTGGGTGGTTGCTTGATGATCGTAGTCAAGCCAACTATGGAGACATTACCACGAGACTGGGCAGTACTGTAGGAGACAAAGTTAATGTGGTTTGCACATGGCAACACCTAGACAAGACTGTTATTTCATCTAATTGAAATCTCAGGAGACAGCCAGCTGCAGTTAATGTGAGGGGAAAGCAAGTGGTAGCAAGGAGGTAAAGTCCTTCATCTGCTTCGTGTGCTGACAGTGCAGGACAGTGTCTCTGTTCATCTTTTCTCTCCATGCCCGTTGAAATGTGGTAACGGTTGAGTTCTGTGGGCCATATGTTTTGGGTACAGTGATTATGGTGGCAGTTTTCCAGAGGGTGGGTGTTGTGGCAGTATTGAAATGTAAGATTTTATTACACCAATGGCTAGGTGAAGACGGTAGCTAAAACACTGTAACCTTGTCCAGTCACTCTTTCAAATGTGGTTACTGAGGTGCTTCATTTGATTATGTTTCTGCGCCGCTGGATGTGCCACACATCTTTTGGTTTAATAGTACTGCCTCGTGTGCTCCATGTTGAAGTGGTAGAACATCGTATTTTCCACCGATTTCCAGCGATGACTGTCGCAAGACACAGTTTTGCAGAGTACCGTCCACATGACATAAAACGCACCCCTATTTTAGTAAGAAGTTCTTCTCCCTCATCTTGGGTTGGTTGGTGTGCCTCCTGCTCTGTATCTACAAGTTTTCTCCCCTCCTCCATGCTTTCTTGTCACATGAGAAGCAGTCCTGCTGTCAAAATCATGTCCGCTGCTCCGCGCTGCGGTAAGCTCGCACGCTCGCACACTTTGGCATCCGCCTCGAGACAACCACTTTTCTTTTGAGGTAACTACGGTAACATAAACGGTCTGTTTCTCTGTCAGTCGTTTCTGAGAAAGCTATTAAGCCAGCCATGCCTAAATTTATTGTGCACACCTATTAAAGCCTTTTTGGTAAATCACTGACTCACCAGAGTGAGCTGACAGGCAGGTTAGCGACTTTGTTCTGTCATTTTCTCTATTTATAAAGACAAAGTGTTGCTGTATAAGAGTCTGACCTGAAGAGAGGCTGTGATGTCCTCATGTTATGCGACATGAGAACCACATACAACATAATTTATCAAATTGGGTTGGACAACGTCCGGTTTTCAAAATAAGGTGTCTATACATTGCTGGAAAAACATTAAATAAATTGGTTGACTTTTGTTACTGTTTCATCACATTTATAGCTATACGATGGGTTTATGATTAAACAGTTTACTAGAGCAAGTTTACAGCAGTTTTACAAGAGTGCAAAATTTTCTTCCGGGGGGACATGCCCCTGGACCCCCCAAGAGGGCCCAAAGCCCACCCACCATAGTCTCTTAGAATTCTGTAGGAAACACTGTCTAAAAAACAGGGTGGTGGATCTCAGCTCTCCGGTGATCTGTTGACAGGGTGTGGACGCATAGTGCCGAACAGAGCAATAGATTGTATAGACGGGTTTCTGTGGAATGTCATCAGAGATGCACGTGCATCAGTGTTTGTAAACAAGAAACCTGTGTAACCCGTAGCCGAGCAGGTTGTGATGGAACCTTTTTGCATAAGTACCATGGCATGGCCAGTTTTTATCCAGCTGGACAGTTTTGGGATTCTGCTGATTTCCATGTGATGTACTGGTGACAAGCAGTTGTACACAGGTGCAAAAGTGAGTAGCAGCAATGGCTATAGCTAATAGTCAGGCCCTATGTGACTCTGTACTTGTCCTTTTTTTTTCTTTTTCTTTTTTTTCAGCCAGCTGAAATGTCTGTTGGCAGGCTGTTTTAGATTTAGATTAATCCAGTCCTTTGAACTGAATCTGACCTGAAGAGGGTCACCCGTGCAGCCTAATGTACCATATACCCCAGTTAGAAGTGAGCCAGCTTCATTGTACAGGAAAGCCTAAAGTCAGCTGGCTAACTAGACTTGGGCGGAATCTAATTTTGTTCAAACTTTAATACTATACATATTATGGTCCTCTTTAGAGGAAAATGCACCAGAAAGCAGGGGATGCTTTAGGGTTACCTTGTGATTGACAAGTCGCTACCATGGTGACCAGTCAATCAGGATAGAGGCGACCTGTATCCGCTGCTCTGTGTAAAGTTTTTTTATTAAATGGCTGTCAGCGGGAGAGAGCACGTCATGTTTGAGTCTGTTAGTATGTTTTGTTTTAAAAGTAAATTGTTTTGTTAACCTTTTATTTTTTATAAGTTTAACTGTGATTACATTTTAGTTTAGTTTTTTAATATTTAATAAACACTTAAACATGTTCACAGTATACCATAACTTATAAGTCTTTGGTTTTGTTGTAACACTAATAAATAACTTTTGGAGGGAGAGACAATAAATAGTAAATGTCAAACCCCCTAGCCCGGTTGGGCCAGTTGCAAAAAAGTTTAAGGTTGAGCCCTGGAGTGTGTCGCTGAGCGAGAGAGAGAGAGCAACAGGTGAATGCAGGTTACAGTTCAGTGAATACAGGCTGCAGCTACAGCTGTGTTGAGGATGTACTGTGCACTACATCACTTTAATACACCATCTCCATATCGGTGTATAAGAAAGAGGAGCGTCTGTATTGTTGTATATTTTTAATATTGTGATACCACCCAAGCCTACGGCTGACCTGCTGCTCTCACTTTGTGGTTCACAGAGGGTTTTTCCTTGGACGTCTGGGTAGTGTCCTATAATGTATTTATACATTATAAACCGTATAGCTGAGTGACTGCTGAGATCCTGAATTATGTGGCGCTGTGTACATTTAACATTTGCCTTATGTTTACCTAACTCTTCTGCTCTGTTGGAAGATGTAATTCAATATTAGAATAGGTCTAGTGAGTTAATTATTGAAACAAACCAGTGGCATAAGTGGGCTCTTTGGCAGATTTTATATCTTGGAGCTAGATGGATATAAAGATTGCTGCATTTGTGTGGTCAAATGATTGATTTAAAAGCACGAGTAACAAGGACCAGTGTTTCCCACAGAATGACGGCGTGTGTTTGCGAGAGAGGGAGGGGGGCGAGCAAGAGGAGGTGTTGAGCGAATATATGCGCAGCTCTGTAATCAAATACCATTTTACCTATTTTACGTAGTACAACAACAAAACAAATCGAAAATAAATATGTGGCGCTCAGTGTTGACGATGTGGCGGGCGGCCAAAATAAATCAATGTGTGGGAAACACTGAGTACCTTAAGAGCACAATTTATTTGTTTGTAAGCACAAATTACTTCTTTTTTCCCTTCATGACACCCCATAACCTGACTCGGGGCCCCACAAATTATGTAATCTTACATAATATTCAAACAGTGTTGTCACCATGTGCTTTGTAAAAGCTAAACTTCTCATGGTAAAAAACTGTCTTTGACTATGTTAATAGAAAATATGCTTTTTTTTTTAGGTGCCACTGGTATTTTGCTAACGGTATCCATGCCAGTTAGTACTGGAAGTTGCGTCCTGTCTGACATGGTGCATTCTGGTGCTGAAAATGAAAAATGTTCTGGTATCTCTCATTTTCTGCTGATGAATCTGTACTGATATCCTGGTATTACACTGACACTTGCTGCTGGTAGATTTTTGCATGACAGCTCTAACGGTCTCTGTGTCTGTCTTTCTCAGCCTGTGGAAGCTCCCCTCCCTGGGCGATGACCTCACCAGTCTCAGTCTACTCTAACTCCAACACCTTGGACACACACATCCCCAGTGTAAGTGGATCTCTGTTTGTACTCACTGGGACTGTGTTCCTGTGATGGAATATTTCAATCTTAAACGAGTGATGCAGAGATGCCGGTTACACTGGCAATTTTTAAATGGTGAGAAGCCACTGAGAGATCAGATCCTGGTCTCTGCACAAGCAACACCTACTGGATGGCTGAAAAATGCAGGCCTAAAAAAGAATGATTGGCAAATCATATTCATTTACTGTGGACATTTCCCGGAGTTTTTATCTCCTGTTTATCCCCTTTTCACTTTCAACATATTTAATCCATGATGTTTCAAGTCAAATATGTATGACACTGGTTAATATCACATCATAAAAGAAAATGATGATTGTGATGAATAAATTGCACGTTATAACTGCCAAGCACTCAAGAAGTGTTGGCTGCCCCAAAACTTGACTCTCATTCATTGAATGAAGTTGTTCAATGTTAAGAAGTGAGAATATAAGAATATAGTCAGTAATTAGAAATTTATATTTATAGAGCAAGTACAAATGTGTTAGTTGTGTGATTTGGAGCCCCTACTTTACAGCTGCAAACATGCATTTGTTATGATTACATTATTTATGATCAAAAACTAGCAAGTTGACAGCTTTTCTAACACAGCCAAACATCAGGACAACAGGAGCGCTGTTAAGATCTTGAAATACTAGGGGCTTAGCCCAACCCAGAAATCTTCACCTAAATGATCTCTACTTTATCGACCCAACACAAAACTCACAACAGTCGACGGTCTCATTTGCTGTTGCTGACTTGTTATGCCATGTGCCTAGCTGAACCGTCACCTTGTCTTGTCTTGTTACACATTCCATTTTACTCTACATTTTAGTTATTAAATGTGAATAATAAACCTTTTCTAACGGCAACCATTCACAAGTGCCTTGCTGAAATAAATTACTGGATGTCACACAAGTTCCCACAGCTAAATCTTTCTAAATCTGATGTCATTGTACTTGGACCCCCAGCTCATAAAAATTCAAATTATGGCAAGCTAGGGTTGGACAGCTAATTGAAAAGTAATCGAAACCGAAATTCAGAGCCATTAACCGACGTAATTTTACCATTTAGGTTATTTATAAATATTTTCCTACAGTGTGTGTGTTCATGTACTTTCCCCTTAAAAGCACACTACTGTGTGTGTGTGTGTGGTCATGGGACTCCACCCCGTCCAGTCCTGCTGAGCTTCCAGACTGGAGTCAGGCAGAGGTTTGCTGGCACTAACCGGCTTCACTTTCCAGCAGTTGGCAAAACAACGTCTGCCAGACTCGCTTTTTCCGTCACTTTCTGCCGCTCGCACACCACTGTGTGTGAAACTGATTTTTATTCGACTTGTCTATGTTTTACATTGATTGCTGTAAAGCATTTTGTTCTGCACCTATTTATGATGGAAAAGCAAATATTTATGTAAAAGGAAACACAAAATGCAGGTGACAATCCATGTGACAATTCAAAATCGAACAGACTGTAATGCAGTAAGGCTCTCGAGCATTCTGAATCGCTTTCAGATATGTTTCTCCTGTAGATAAACTTCTTATTTAATCTCATCCCTCCTGAGTCAGCACACATGTAGACCTGATTGATTGAAGTAACCTCTTTAAATGTGCAATTGGGACCTACTCATGACAATAAGAAATAAATAAATTTTGATTCCTTTAGAAACCCCTGGACAACTTCTGTGTTTCAGCACTTAATCTGCTCAAAACAGGTTACTCTCTTTTTCTCCTCTTAGTAGAGCTGGACCGATATGGGTTTTGGGGGGCCGATGCCTGTATTAAAGTGAAAAAGTGTCGATTTATGAGCAGATATTTGAATTTAGATAATTATTTGGATAGTAGACACCTTTCCGGTCTACTTAGCACAGGCCAATACTGAAAGCCAGGCTTTATGTGTATACCTTTTTCTAAATGAACTATATTAATAAAATGGATTATAAACTGGCTCTAAAACATGCCATCTATGATACAGTGACCTTCTGTTGAATTCATCTAAAACTACATGACTGTCTATAGCAGGGGTCGGCACATAAGTCTGGCACCGAGCCAAATTTTTTCACACCGTTACATGGCAGGCCAGAACATAGTCAAATTATTTCAAATCCTAATACGCCCATGTGGACGTTTAGCTCAGTCGGTATGAGTGGGAGGGTTTTTGGCGGATATTTTTTCTCTCCCTTGTTAACCAAATTGATTATAAGGACACTTTTGCACATGCTCACAATAAAGCATGTGCTGCAGTGTGTGTGCGTCCCAGCGTTTGATCCGCATTCATAAACCTATGGACACTTATTTTCATTTCCCTGAGGAAATTCAGGGGACTCCAATCACAAGTTTACTGACTGCTTTTTCAGAGGTGTGTCAAGCAGGCCAGAGACTCTTTTTGAATTTCCTTCAGAACTTTTTAAAGTAAAAGCTCTCAATAAACTTGACATAAAGCATTGCTGCGAAAAATGTTCTCGCGCTTGATTGAATAAGTTTAGCATACAACTGTTTGCAATGCAGTTGGTGTAAATATATTAAAACATTTTAATTTTTAATATAAGACCCTCATACCTGACATAAAATCAACAATAGACAGTAACACAACAAAGCTAACAACATATTTCCTGGTACTATTTGTGGTACTTGTTATTTAAATAGCATGAATAAACATTTTATTGAAAGTCAATGTTTACTGAATTGACCCGTACACAAGAAGAAGAATAGACTTAGACCAAATACCTATAGCCTAGCTCTGGAGTGAAACAATGAAATGAAAAATTCCAAATAAGGATAAAGAACAGCACTGCTAAGCTCCTTAAGTCCTCCACCTAACAGTTGGTCAGTTCAACCTCTGAAAAAGGAAAAGTACCGTGTTCATGGTGTCGCATCTCACTGGCCTTTGAATCTGACCACACTTAAACTGGCTCACAGCAACCCTGCGTTCTTCGTCTGTTTCTCCCCTTGTGGTACTTCAACTGAAAATTAAAAGCACAAAATAACAAAAAAATTGTCTCAATTTCACACACCAATCATTTAAATAAATAACTGTATGTGACTGTGATTTATTCCATTATTGAGTTTTTATGCCATGGTGTGTTTTGTGTGTGTGTGTTTGTAGGCCTCCAGAGAGTCTCTGAAAATGGAGTTGTTAGCTGAAGTGTCTCTGCTGCCAGGGGAGGAAAGAATTATAGGTGAGTACATGTTGCTCAGTCAGATTTAAATCATTTGTTCTCTCTGTTTTAAAGAGATGCGTTTTGCCCCTTAGCTTACGGTGCTTTTCACACCTGTAGATTGGTTCATTTGGTCTGGACCAAGTGGAAAACAAATGATACTCTATAGTTCTGGTCTGGTTCCTGTTCACACTGCAGTTTTACAAACGAACCAAGAGAAGTAACCATGGCGTTACACAGACTGACAGGTAACTTGTTGACTGGACAGCTTTGGAGATTGTCATCCTGCTTCATCAGTGCATGATCAGGACCCATGTGAGGAAATCCAATTCTGGGGACTGACAGAAGTTTATGCAGCACTTTAACATTTCAGATCTATATCTCTATATAAGAGCTCAAGAAGAAATACGTTTTATTAGCATGATTAGTCATTTTAGACCGCAAATTACCACATATTATGAATAATGAGGTAAAAACAGGACTGAGATGATGTGTCTTGTCAGTAATAATTCAGGGCTTATTACTGTGGGATCGCTGTCACATCACATGGGATCACATGTTTATGGACTCAAAGTAGGCTACAAAGAGTACTGGCCCCTTTTTATAGCAGCTTTTCAGCCTATTAATCAGGGAAAATATGTGGTTAATTAGGCTATACATGGTTACTAAATTATTTGCATAAACGAAGGCTACACATGGCTTATACAGATCAGTTATAAGATCACTGAACACATTTCACAGAGTCAGCAGATGGATGCTCAGATCTAATATCTGCTATCATAAAATCCTGCAGTTGGTTTATTTGCTTTCACATCACAAGCAAACCGCACCAGAGTTTGTTCGAAAGAGACCTCCTTGAAGAGGTGGTCTAGGTAGGCTTGTACGCACACCTGCCCAAACGAACTCTAGTGTGATTCAGCCGAACTAAACAAGGCAGGTATGAAAGCACCCTTAGAGAACACTGCTCCTGTAAATTATGATCGAACATCTGAATCAGTCTGAAAGCAAATGCCGGGCCCAGAAGTCTTTGCTACTAGCCTTGCAGAGTTCCTGCTAATCCTTGAAGCTGTGCTGTTCACTTGGTGTGTGTAGACCATCAAAAGTCAGATACATACCAATCCAAAAACATGCTGCATATATTTAATAAAGTATTATATATGTTAATGTATAATATAATTCAGGTTCAAAACATCTGTGTATTTTTGGACATAGGTTAGTTCTTTCCCCTTGCTTCCAGTCTTTATACAAAGTTGGCCTATCCACATCCTGTCTTCAGCTTTGTACTCTACACATAAATATGAGATCAACTGATTGATCTTTCAGCAAGAAAGACAATAATGTAATTGGACTATGTTAATGATTGACACCATGTTCCTCGGTCAGACTTAAGTGAATACATTGCCACTGTAACTAATAGGAAACTACAAAATACTCAAGTTGTACCAGACTTATCGTGTAAGACTTCATTAAACACAGATGCATTTGAAACATTTAACTGCAAAATGTTAATTAATGGAAAAATGAAAAACTCTGATATTCATTTCATTAGCAGTCGTCTCAACACTGCGGTTCCCTCTCAATCAGTCTGAAAGGCAGAATAGTACTTTACTAAATACAGCTGGACCTGCTTCTGCTGGAAAGCCACATAATGTTGCCATAAGTTAGTTGTATTCATGACTCAGCCTGTCAGTATTCTCTCGTTCTGACAGTGATTCCACCTGTGATCAGCTGACATGTGATGTAGATGCCATTTACTGTCCTCATTCGTCTCACAGAGTAGATGTCTCTCTTCTCCTTTTCTGCTTCCTCTTTTCTGCATGTGTGGTGATTTCTTCCCATACAGCACTCACTACTTATCTACAATAATGATGAACCTGAGTGCTAATATAAAAAAAGGAACCTATTCTGAGCCATCAAGGCCTGCGTAAGATCATGAGAGAAGATGGTTAAGAAGTCAAATCAGTAAACAATGTTTGTATTCATCTATTTTCAGATAAAGACATCATCTACATCTGTCCATTCAGTGGAGCAGTGAAAGGCAAAGTGTTGATCACCAACTACAGACTCTACTTCAAGAGCTCAGAAGCTGTGAGTCCCCTAAAGTCATGTGGGCCAGTTAACGGCTCAATACCCATGAAGTGTGGGTGTGTGGGTGGGGGTGGTGATGTTTGACAGACAGAAGCCATTAACTAGTTTACCAGCAGCAAGGTTAAATAACACATCTGTGATCTCTCTGTGGGCTGTTTGTGGTGTTTTAACTCCATGCACTGCTGCTGGGGTCTGTTAATACAAACGCAATGGGGGGGTGTTGCTCATCAGAAACTTAACTCATTTTTCCAGATGGCACAGTTACATGATGTGGTCTATAATAGACATGGACATTCAGCAGGAGAAAGCCAAAAACCCCCCGAGGGGGGTGCAGAGGGAGATTATTGAGGCAAAGATACTGCAGGAGGTGGATATGAGTTACAAGTGGTGCTCCTTCTCGTTAAAGAAAAGTCATAACTCAGTCAAAACTAAACACACAGATCATTCAGTGTGGCTTTCAGATACCTCCAATTGCAAAAAGACATACATATATGCAGTGATAGTTGTCTGTAGATCCATTTGTACATTAAATGGAAGTGCTAATTTGGGATGCTTTTAATGGTGCCAGTTTGACTGTATGCAAGAATATTAGTACCTTTTTTTTATGTTTCATTTTGTTTCCCAAGTAGGGAATATTGGTTGATTGGCAAAACATTTTTTGAAACAGCATCTTCTAATGCAATACCAGATAACACACCAGGGTCTGTTTTACAGGAACCAAACACTTAAGGTGTGAAAGCACCCTTATAGAGTCCACAGTGTTGCTTTGTCATACACACATGTCTGTAAGATATTTCAGACAAGCTTGTTATTTTGAGCAACACACAGGACTTCCCTTCACTCGTGTGGAGCGGAGTTGAAGTTTGGAGGAGACCTTCTCTCTTTCCAATTACAAACTATTTTGCCATATATATCATTAAAAACTTATTTAAAGTGAATAATTTGACAATTTTAAAGAATTTTAAATACCTTCACTAGCTAATTTTTTACGCTCCAGATACGCAAGTCTGTCTGGCAAACAGACCTGCCACGTAAAGCTAGCTATGGAGATGCGGGGCATCCAAAGTTGTATATTTACGCTCAATCCAATTTCACCCCTTGCCCCTACCACTTGTTTTCAAGTGTACCTCTTGTCCTGCAAACAGGGTTACAAGGGCCAAATATTTGCCTATGAAATGGAACAACCCTTCAGGAACCCGATACGTCATCAGTAGTCAACAATGGCTCTGACGTTAAGAGAAGTGAAGAGTTTTAACAGGATTTCTCCATGACAATGATTCCAATATGCTGTCTTTTGCTGTGGTAATCTTTCTCGTATGGTAACGTTATATCATACATCAATCGAACTAACAAGTCACTAATTAAAAATAAACACAGCTTCAGGTAACTAACGTTACTAGCGAAGCTGGCTACTGAGGCAACATGCTCGATTTTTTTTATTTTTTATTTATTTATTTTTTTTAGAATTGTTTTGATGAAAATCTCGTATTATGTTGAAATGACATTAAACTAAGAATAACCATGGCTATCGTAAATTTTACAAAGAAAATACTTCTGCAGTCTGGGAACTTTCTCATAGCCCTCCGTTTGGAGTGTGCCTATTCGAGGGCTATGTTGCCCTACCCCTCTATCGCAACAAGAATCGGGACACCCTAGCCATGAACGTGCAAAACGGAGGGCTAGGGCCAAGTGGTAGAAGCAAGGGGTTGAGCTGTAGTGTCCTTTATGCACACTGTATGCAGGGAAACGAAGGGAGCAGTCCTTGTCAGTATTCACACCATTTATAAGTAGTAGAGCGTACTTTATTGGTATTGGTTGATGTCATGGTAATGGCATGTGTGCTTGACTGTGTGACTCATTTTATATCTTGGTGTGCGTAACGACTTGCTGACTCTGCTCTTGCTGTAGGACGTGGCTGTGATGCTGGACGTTCCTCTGGGTGCCATCAGTCGGGTGGAGAAGATGGGTGGGGCATCGAGCAGAGGAGAGAACTCCTACGGCCTGGATATCATGTGCAAGGTGTGTGTGTGTGTGTGTGTGGTACAGCATCAGGAATGTCATTGTCTGCCAGCTGATTTGTTTGTTTACAAGTAGCACAAATTCATGTTCGGGGTTGGGCGATATGACTGTCAAACTGTGCGACCTTAGAAATGTGTTCACCGGTAGAGATTTGGCAATTAGCTTTTCCAGCACAGGAGCAATCCCTTACTGTCTCTGCTCTATATTCTCGAGGGATGTCATGATATTGCACTTCTATGCTGATCTTTCAAATCCAGTGGAATATTGTGAAACCAATGGCAGGGCTATGCATGCCTTAAAGACGAACAAAGCAGAGACTCTCACATACAAATACAGCATTTCAGTGAAAAACAAACCAGCGAAACAAGTTCAGTGCCAACACTGTAGAGCCGAGCTTCATGGCATGAGCTTCTTTAACGCAAGCCCCCTGAAGCTGTCTACTCCAGATGGATAAGTTTTAGCAACTGCTTTGTGCTTTAGCCAACTGTAATGTTAGTTTTGTAATGTTTGTTAGTTTACCGTTGAGAAAACAAGGTCTCATGGATGGTGCTGGCTAAGATGACACTATTATTTTGTTCATTCTGAATAGTAAGGGAAGCAGAGGCAGAAATGGAGGACGTAACAAAAATAATCTTTGACTTTTCGAAAAAAATAATCAACAGAATGGTACCAAAATAATCCTTAGTTGCAGTCCTAGATTACAGGTGCTGAGGAGTATTACTGCATATGTGAAAAACATTTTAAAATGCGTCTTGTGTCAAGTGATGTCATTTGAGGTTTGGCCTGAAAATTACAAGTTTGAAATTAAAAATCTGCGAGTGAGTTAACCACACCCCTGTAGACGGCTCCAGGCTAAATTAGCCACTGCTAGCTTCACATGGCTATGACCTCTGAACTGTTTCATTGTTGCAATGTGGATAATGTCTGTTTTGGCAATGTGTGGGTAAAAAAGACAAGTGCTCTGGGTCTCCTACATTGACTTTGATCCTTTCTTTGTTAAAGGTGTGCAATGCTAAATCTGTGAAAAACTCATTTCAGCTTAATTCAATGATTATTGGATGACAAATCTTGTCGTCCAATAATGCTGTTTGTGTTTCTGTGTGTGTGTGTGTTGTTGGTCTTCTCTGATCTCAGGACATGAGGAATTTGAGGTTTGCCTTGAAGCAGGAGGGTCACAGCAGAAGAGATATCTTCGAGATCCTCTTCAGATATGCCTTCCCCCTCTCACATGGTCTGGTAAGGCGGCTTCTAGCATCTACTGCCATCTACTGATGGGGTTTCCTTTATCTGTAAAATAGGGTTGGTCAACCACAAATCTAAAGTGGTTGATTTTATATTTATTAGAATTTTTTGAATTTTGTTCTGCTTTTCTGACTGGGGTCCATTCAACTGTATGTTGATTATAAAACATGCATAACTTTTACATTTCTCCAAAACTGCATCAGCCTACAGGACCCTCTCACTATTTTAAATCTACTTAATTCTCTCAACTTATTAGTTTTTAATCTCAAACTGCTTTAATTTGCTCACTTTGCTTTGACCTTCAGAAACACATGTACCTGTCTCTGTCTCTCTCAATGTATCTGTCTGCTCTGAAACTTTTCACCACACAGCAGCAGGTGAGCCACGTGTGGGGGGGCGTCTTGTTAATTACTGATCAAGACCACCGTGGTACTGACGGCACCGAACTATCCACCATGTTCCGAGTGTTCTAACGTAATAGATAGCTCTCTTTCTGTCTGTAAATTGCTTTCTTCACTCATGGCGAAAAAATTCCACGCCTAAAACATGTTACCGGTCACCACTCACGGCCGATGGAGCTGAAAATTGGCCAATTCCAGTCCCCAGCCGGTCAATCAGTGCATCTCTAGAGATAACTTTTGTTATAAATTGGTGCTATATAAAACTTTTTTTGTTGAACTGAATTCTGCTCATCCTGCAGACACAGAAACAGCATGGAGAATCTGGTCAATTTTCAAAATAGAACTCCCGATCATATATCAACAATAAACAATTCAAACAGACAAAAAAGAACCAGTTTTACTAAATAGCCTACTTAACCATGGTAGAAGCACAACAATCACGGACATAGGGCTGTGCGATATAACTAGTGGAACAACGGACCGCAGGGAAGTTAGATTCAGGTTGGATAGTAGTTTTAACTAACTTCACCGCTGTGCAAAATCATGTTCCCTTGCGGAAATATTACAGAATTTGCAACACAATGAAATAAATTAGCATAATTGTAAATGTGTAGACGTTTTTCTATCATCAAATGATGGATATCATCATATCACACAGCCCTATAAGGACATATTATCAGTATATATATAATATATTTATATAAGTCAACAAAATCTAAGCAAGTCAGAAAGATCAGGCAGACAAAACGCTATACTGTTGGATATGGAACTATGTCGCAGATGTGACGTTACTGAGCTGTGCCCGGTGGAATCAAGGTGTCATTTTCTCAGATACTTTGAACCATTGCTTAAACAAACCACGAAAAACACCTGTACAATTTAGAGCACAATGGACACTGTGTATATGAGGGTCACTTTAAAGCGAATGCTCCACTGCGTCCAGTCTTGTACACTGACTGTATTTATAGCAGCAAACCATTTAAATCCACGCAGTACTGGCTGAGAAGGCACATTTTTCCTCCATTCCTCATCCTCCATTTGTTTCAATGCCCAGTATTCATGCAAATGTTAAAATGCAGAGATGCATCCCCCTCATATGCCATGACACACTGCTTCCCACCCACACCACAGCTACATCTGTTGGACTAAAAATTTGGTATGCTAAAATTTCTGTCAGAAGAAGCCTTACCAGGGCGGCATTTAAGTCTCTGGAAACGGCCAGTGGAGACAAGAAAACCCTTAACTTATTCTGCCTCTCCCTCCCTCAGACTGAACAGGTGCAGCTCGATTTTTTTCCCCTAATTTTTCAAAAATGGACCTGTACACTGCTCCAAAAGATTTAAGGTGCCGTAGAATACTAATTCTCATGTTCATATATAGGTTTCTACTAGAGGCCGACCGAGATGGTTTTTTGGGGGCCGATGCTGATAATATAAGTAAAATAAAGAGAGACGATTTATGAACTGATATTTAGATTTTTAGAATGATTTGGATAGTAGACCCCTTTCCTGTAAAAACTACACTTAGAACAGGCCGATATTGAAAGCTGTTCTGTATGTGGAATATAGAACCTTTTCCTAAATGGATTATATTAATAAAATAAATTACAGTGTCAACAACTGAACATGGAAAAAATTGCGCATCAATAAATATTTTGCTGCTGGAAGGTGCAATTTTTTTCAGCCATCTGTAAACAGAGAGAGTGAGAGAGAATAAGCATGTGTATTTTACCTTACACATAATCTGCCATAATTTCAATGTAGCATATTCACATCTAGTTTATCCCTTTACCAGCACTCTTTAATTCTAACCAAAGGTACGAGTAACCATTTCTCAAACACCATCTGTCTAAATCATACAGTCTATGATACTAGGGAACAACTAGGGAAAAATGAGTCTGTCCGCAGTGTAGCCTCCAACTCTCAACTACCGTAAGTTAACATTAAACATGCTGGGAGCTGGGAGGAAGCCGTGAGAGTGCAGTGAAAAACGGGAAGGTTAGCAAGTCTGCTGTTATAAACAGCTGATGCCGATAATATCGGCCAGCCGATAAATCGGTCTGGCTCTAGTTTCTACTAGAAAAGGTTTTACATGATGCAATGTTCAAAAAACACATTATTTTTCTCATTCTGTCCACTTCCTCAGCACCTCTTTTGACCCCCCTTTCTGAAAACTTAGTTTTTGCTCCTGTCTCTTTAATGGCTCCCTCCCTGAAAGCCAACTTCCCCAAGCATAGAAAAGGGGTCGGGCTTAGCAACACCTCGCTGAGTCCAGCTGAATTGAGGCCTGATAGGTGAAAGGGCCTCACTGATTACTGTACAAATACACAACTTTATTCACTGGTTTTACTGTAACTGGATCAGATTTAGTAGAGAAGATATTATCCCTTTTCCCTCTGATGTCCTCTGGCTGCTCTGTTTCGACTTTTGCCAATTTCCGGAGTTTATATCCGTAGCAGGGGACTCTTCTGGTTATTTTGCATGTGCAAGATTAAATATGAACAATTCTATGGCGCCTTTAAGGGAACACTTAAATCACACATTAGATCTCAATGAACAAAATGGTTCAAAGTTAAAAATATTTAATATTATATTACATTGTATAATTTGTTGAGAACAAAATGACCTCACAACGGTCAAAGAAAACCAAAATCACCAAATGACTGAGGGCTGGAATCCATCTGGAAATCAAAGTAGAACATTTGAAATCACAGGCGGATCCAACTTACATGACTTTCATCACGGCAACTCATAATTTGACTACTGAACAAAGATTAGAATAATAATACACTGTTGTGCTCAGGCTCTATTTAAGTAATCTGTAATGTTGTGCCATCCACACCAAACTGACAGAAAAAAGGGTGAAATAAATAAAACTGATGGTCACAACATAAACTTACAGAGTTGTTCTATTATTCAGGGGACTCCTATGTTTCTATATTGAGGTATTTACAGAGGACCATTAAAAGAATACTACAGCCAGGTCTCTGTGAAGATGAGGGCACAGCGCTCTCTGCTTTCCCGTTGCTGAGCGAGCCATAGTCTCCATTTTTTGTTCTCCAGCAACCGGACATTAGCCAGGAGCAGGCTGGGAAGTGGGAAAGCCTTTGTGTCAGACTGATTTAGTTTCACTCTTTTCCCCGCTTGCTTTCTTGTCTTCCTTCTTTTTCCGGCTTGTCTGCTTGTTTTGTCGGGAGATGCTGTTGCTAGTCATCATTTCCAGGTCCGTTGCTCTCAGTCCAGTCTCTGCACTTTCCATTCCAATATTGATTAATGTATTTTTGTCATAAATGATCATAATTAGACGAGTTTCTGTTAAAAAAAATAAATAAATAAAGAAGATAAAACCAGATTAAAAACAGCGGGCTGCCCCTGGTCTGACGTGTGGGGGGGTGTGTCAGTGTGTTAAGGTTCACTGTGTAGTCTGTAAGTCTTCTTCTCTTCCTTCTATGCAGCCACTGTTTGCATATGTGACTCAGGAGAAGTACGAGGAGAATGGCTGGAACATCTACAAACCCATAGAAGAGTTCAGACGGCAGGTAAGGAGGAATAGAAGTGCAGCAATAGAACTTTGCAATTACACTACTGCTATTCCTTTTTATGCCAATAATTGAAAAAGTAGGTGAAGGTGGGAGGTAGTGTGACCTTTTTCCAGTAAATTCAAGTTTTCAAATTCATAATGGTTCAAATTAATTGTTCCAATATAGTGTAAACAGGTCAGAAGTGTACTGGGAACCAATCTGTTAAGTGCTTTAAAGCATTTAGCAGAACTGAAAGTAGAATTTGCATTAAAAGCATTACAGTGTTTGAATGAGTCACTGATGATCATCATTACCTTTTGTAGGGCTTACCTAATAACAAGTGGCGTATTACATTCATCAATAAGAACTATGAGCTGTGTGACACCTACCCCACTATGTTGGCTGTACCCTTTAAAAGTAAAGAGGAGGACCTCAGAAGAGTGGCTGCCTTCAGGTCAAGAGGACGCATACCGGTGAGTGCAAAACTGATCTGTATAAAACTGAACCAGATTAGCATGAGTACAGAATTTTGAGTTTGACAAAAAAATCTGAACTCAGGGTCCACTTACTAGTGTCTACATTTAGTTGAATGGCATGGAGAAATCCGATGTATGAGGCTTTGGATACACAGATGCAACATGTTTGTAGGATCAAGTCATTGCTGGTTTGTTAAGTGGGAGGCATTTAATGGTTGGGCTGGGCAATAAAATAATGATTATCATGATATCATTTCACTCACTAACAATGTAATGTTCAATAAATGTTTGATTTAATTCATTAGAATCACGATGAATTCACACAATTTTTTTATTGAGATTTATTTTTTTGAGGACAAGGTACTGAAAAAAGGTTTAACTTGATTTTATCATTATTGTTTTGAATGTTCTACCTCAGATTTATAAAGTGCTCCACTGAAGTATTTGTCGTGTTCTGACTATAAAAAAATTTAAAACCTCAATTAACAGTCTGGTCTCTTCAACTTCAAATTCTGCTTTTTAAACTGATTTGACTTTTATTGTTGTTATTTTGATTATTGCTCCCATCCCTATTTAATAGTGTATTAAATCACAGAAATAAAATGTTAAAATGACCAATAAAGCCAATATAGAGCAGAAGTGAAATGAAGAGGTGAATGCTTTGTAGCAGGGCCTTGGATATGAGTCATGTGGCATTTCCTCATTTTTTGGCTGTTATTACTGAACTTTCTGACGACTAGACCTATCATTTTTGACTTCCTAACAAAGGAATTCAAGAATATACACTCTAATACTTATATTATTTTTTTCCAGCAGTGAGCCTCTTCAGTCACACTGTGGCCCTGAGTATATTGAAGGCAGTCCTTTCTTTCAGGCTGCAAACAAATCCCATCTCCTTATTCCCAACCAGGGACTAACCCTAACTAAGTATTTGCTTTGCAGTGGTTGTTTGAGCAGTACACAGCCCGAGGGGACTCTTTTGAGTTGCCTTCATCAGAGGGGTTGGTGTAGAAGTAACCATCTAGTGTGCTCAGTGATTCAAACTGATGAATTGACTGCTGCCTCTGAAACCTGAAATGTACTGAACATACATATGGATCATTCAAACGAACACATCATCACATAAGCGTGAGCTGAGCCCATTCCTGTGAAGCTGTCTTCTTTGCTTTGTGCTCGTCACCCTGGAAGACTGTGTTGCCATCAGGAGCTGCCTGACAGTGACTCTATTTCCTACAGTACTGACTGGCAGCTGTAAAAATTTCATGTGTCTTTGTGCCTTAGGTTCTATCTTGGATCCACAGGGAGAACCAGGCAGTGATCGTCCGCTGCAGTCAGCCTCTGGTGGGTATGTCTGGGAAAAGAAACAAGGACGACGAGCGCTACCTGGACCTGATCAGAGAGGCAAACGATACCGCCAAGCTCACCATCTACGACGCTCGGCCCAACGTCAACGCTGTGGCCAACAAGGTATCTAACAATATGGTTGCTGAAAAATCGCTTTGATCCACATTCAACACAATTCAACTCCAGCGGCGGGCGGGTGTGTGCGTGAGACGAGCTTGTCGCTCCACCTTTCACATAGCCCGCTCCTCCCTTCCCACCAGCTCACCTCTCATTGAAAATGTATTACGGCATAAATCGCTTCCCATCTGAAAAGGGCTTTAACATCATTTCACTAATGAATGCTTCTGGACATATGGGCAGGAGGCTTAGCCTTATATGTTATTATTGGGCTGTTGATTATTCTCACGAACATGTGGTCATTTACACACAGAAGACATTCATCATGTTTAAGCAGATCATGTACACAGTATCTGAAGTAAGAGCATTTGCTGAATCTGACATGCCCACTGCACAGGAAAAGCAGGAGAAAGATACAAGGTTCATTAGTCATCCAGCACAAGGCTGCTTAACGAAGTGAAGTTTGTTGTTCCATCCTGCTAAAATATGGTAAAATAAAACGATGTGTACAGTTATTGTTGCATTTATTCATTCATTCATTTTTTCATTCATTCATTCGGGGCAGGTCTCTGTAACAATGTAGGAACAACAGTCTCTGAATTCTGTTGTCTGGTCAATATGAGTCCCATTTTATCCAGACCGGCTCTTGAGGAGCAGAATTAAGTCCAAGCTTAAGACCAGCATGCTCCTCTCCTGGCTCTCTCTCCTCTGAGCGATCACCGCACCCGCCGTGGTGCCTGGTCCCGTTGTTTGGGCCAAGTGGATCATGTTCTGCTGCTCTTTAACTCTAAAAACCCATCTTCATTTTCCAATGACTGTATTTATGGCAGAGGTAACACATGTTTTGGCAATAAAGCTGGAAAAAACAAAAGTGTAGCGAAGTTTGAAGGCGCTACCGGCTGCTGCTTCTACAAGCGCTGCCAGTTGCCATAGCAGTCCAAAAGTAAAAATGTTCTTACACAAGGCCCATTGTGTTCACAAATCTTTTGATATCCAACAAAAGAATCAGAATAAAATCATCTCTATCACCATTAAAAAAATGACATGATATCCACTTGAACGGATATCTGTGTCAGGGCGTTCTGTTATCATGGGGTGTCGAACAGTGTTTTCCCCTTATCTGTTTCTCTTAGTAGTAGACATGCTAATATAAGCTGCAAAATGAGAAATAATAAAAATATTGAAGGTTTTATTACTCAGAATAGAATCAAAACTTTCTTATAATTGATTATCTGTTTCGGGATTAGTGTGAATGTTCGATCGTGTGGTGCATGCTGTTCATTCCTTCATTCATCTTTACTGGCCAAGCAGTTTAGTTTTGTCTTGTATTTTCTCTTACCGTCTTTGCTATTCCCCAGGCCACAGGAGGAGGCTACGAGGGTGATGAGTACCAAAACGCAGAGCTCATCTTCCTGGACATTCAGAATATCCACGTCATGAGAGAGTCCCTAAAGAAACTCAAAGACATCGTCTACCCCAATGTGGAGGAATCTCATTGGCTATCCAGTCTAGAGTCTACACACTGGCTAGAACATGTTAAGGTAAGAAAAATAATATCTATTTCATCTAGGTATAAAATATAATTTTTATTCGTATTCTGCCTTCATGGGCTGTCAGTACTGTTATTTTCTGAAAGTCCAAAGCCTGGCCCAATTTGTGTGCGTGTGTGTAGCTGGTGTTGTCAGGAGCCATCCAAGTAGCAGACAAGGTTTCCAGTGGGAACTCTGTGGTGGTTCACTGCAGTGACGGCTGGGACCGAACGGCTCAGCTCACCTCTCTGGCCATGCTGATGCTGGACAGTCACTACCGCACTCTCAGAGGATTCCAGGTCAGTAACTGCACAAACAACATTATGACAGGGAACTGCTCATCCACGGCAGAGCAGGCTTCATTCTGTCAACAAAGACCATGACTTATTTATGTTCACCAAAAACCTTTTGTGTTTTTTTGACGAGACGACATGGCACTGACGTCATTTAACTCTAACTAACCATATTAACATACAGTATTGTTATAACAGATGACAATAAAATGTAAAATACAATTGCCAACATAAAGACCCTATTTTTGTTACAATGAGGCTGAGGAAAAAAACAAATACACTGTGCATAGAGTAGCTGGTAACAATACCACAAACCTGAAGAGACGCATTAAGGCTCACCACTAAAACACTGAGGTGGGTTTGTGAGCTATAGTAAGCCAACTAGTATGTAGGCTGTGTTTAATCAGATAATGATGAGATAAAATCTTACGTAAAATAAATTATTGGTTTTGCCTAGACTAGACTGACTAGCACAATGTAACCTTCATGACTAAATCTTTACTAAAATAGTTTCAGTTTCTTTGACTAAGATAAGACCAAAATGCCCATACTTTTAGTTTACCAAAACTAACATAAAAAAACAAGATTAGTTTGACTAAATATAAAAAATGAAAAGAAAATAACAAAATCAAGACTATGCAAGAGAAAAATGTTTGGGAGCAGCACTGTAAGCTTTAATTGTACATATACAGTGGTTTTTACAGTACATACAAATAAAAGTGTCACTTTTTTAATAGTCTGGCTTTTGGAATAAAGCTTTAGTGAAATGAATGGAGAAGAGTCTGATGTATGGAACATTTTCTTGTGTTATTTCAGGTGCTGATCGAGAAGGAATGGATCAGCTTTGGGCACAAGTTTGCCTCAGTAAGTAATATAAGTAAAGTCCTGTCTTCAGAATCATCTTCCTCAGCTTTGTGTGTTTTTAATATGAATTCATATTCAGTACGCTCACATATTTTACTAATTAATTTACTGTGTGTGTGTGTAGAGGATAGGTCACGGTGACAAGAACCATGCAGATCAGGACAGATCACCCATCTTTGTTCAGTTCATTGACTGTGTATGGCAGATGACTAAACAGGTAGGTTTAATACATGTGAATCATCAAGCTGCGCTCATGTGGGAATGTAACCTCAAAGGTATTTACATCATTTGTCACATAGGAGCTGTAAAAACACGGATAATTATTTTTTTTCCCCTTCACATTTGTTACGTGAGGTAGTGTTACATGTCACAAACCGGCCCTCTGAAAAGACGGCCCTGTTTCATGCATGTGAGCGCACAGAGCAGCAGGTCTTGGGTGTACAGACAGTGTGGGCGTCTGCTAGTTTGGTTCATTTATGTGCAGCAGCTCAGTGTGCAAAAGGGCTGGGTGAAGGTGACTGTAAATCGGCGGTTTTGATAATTTAATAATAAAAACACAATTTAAACACCAATGCAACACTGGAATTGTTTCTCATGGATAAATAGTAAGCAAAGCAAAATGGGCAGAGAGCAGGGCGCCAAAGGGCATAGATTTTCAGGAGGGCATCAGGGCCAGTTATAACGGACCAGTCTGGTGTGAGTAGAGGTGTGTGGTCTTCTGTAGCAGCCTGCTGTACTTTGCATATGTCCTTCAGATGGCTGCAGGCATTAAATGAACTGAAGGAGAAACTTTTCATACAGCATAAAGCAGCTGCGAACAACACATGCAGTTAGAAAGACTGAAGTGGCAGCAGAGACCTAAAGACTATTCTACCAAAGAGTGTTCCCTGATCTGAGATCTGACATGACTGAGGCCATCTTTGGCCACTCCTCTCCTCTCGTCCTCTCTCAGTTTCCTACAGCCTTTGAGTTTAATGAGCGTCTGTTGCTGACAATCCTGGATCATCTCTACAGCTGTCGCTTTGGGACTTTCCTGTACAACTGTGAGAGTGCTCGAGACCAGCATGTAAGACTGGTCATTACTGCCTGCTCTAAGTCGCTCGACAGCATGAATGCAAGCATTCTTTTACTTTGCAGTGCATTTCAGCTTTAATTGTATCCTAATTACACCCTTTGTGTTGTGCAGGAGGTGAGGTCAAAGACAGTGTCTCTGTGGTCTCTGGTCAACAGTAAGATGGAAATTTATTTAAACCCCTTCTACACCCCGGAGTCTGGCAGGGTCCTCTACCCTGTCGCCAGCATGCGCCACCTAGAGCTGTGGGTAACATACTACATTCGCTGGAACCCACGCATACGGCAACAGGTAGGACTTCAGTGTGTTTGTTATAACATACCAGCGGATCAGTTGGTTTGTAGTAATGTGATTAGTTTTTTCTGAATATGCACCAGTACAGTAATTTAAGGTGGCTCCTCCATTATTACTTGTTTTCATGGTGGTATGAACATGTTAACATTAACGCATCACAAAGACTGCTGATGCAACACCAGCTAGCGCCGTGAAATTATTTAAGTGGACCCACCTTGCGCTGTGTAACGCATTAAGTTTGTGCCCAAGCGGTAACGTGACATGTAGAGTTTCAATTTAAAAAAAATATACTTTATACACTTTATCCGAGCTGCAGAAGTTAACATGTGTGGATTTGTGGTGAGATCTTTGCAGTGTTCGAGTTATAGCCTAATCTGAGCTTCGTGGGGGTCTCTAATATAGCGCACTAACTAACGTTACCGGAGATAAATTAATAAATAAATAATAAGGAGAGTGATTCAACATTTCCTTCTCTTACACACACAAACGCAAAAAAACACGTCTCCATCACTTTTTTTGGAAGCATTTGTTAAATTTGTTCTGAAAAATGGCTCGAAACAAGAAATGTTAAAAAAAACAAATGAAAATACTTTGAGAAAGGTTTATTTGCACAATAAGAAAACATGCAATGCAATTTAAATATAGAAGAAACAAATATGCATGTCAATATGCATTCTTTATATATTTCAGCATTGAATATTTCATCACAATAGTGTTAAAATATTGTCTTGTTCTCGTGAACCCAATATTGTAAATGGTGCATGTGAGCTAAGTGTATCATCACACCCCTAATTTGAACCCCTATGTCCCCACCACTTTTCAACAGAAAGTGATACTTATCAAAGTACAAACACACCCCAAAAAGCTTTAGTGTGTTAAATATTAATGTATTATAATAAAATGTTTTATTAAATTCATATAACTTTGTAAATAATCTTCTCGGGCTTAAAATCATACAGATTTTTCATTATACGGCAGTCAAGTTGGTATTAAATTTCATCCTAGGTGCTATTAAAAAGGTCTTAAAGTCTTAAATTTAACTTTGAGAATCCTGGGGGTACCCTGATACTTTATCTGTTGTACTTTTGTAAAGACATCTGTTCAACAAGCATGCAGAAAGTGATATTTTATTTTGCGCTTTGTTTTACACAAGCAAAGCGATGTAGCTCGGCTAATAGCAAATTGTTACAAACAAACTAAAACAGAAGCAGTCTGTCTGTAGTCTAACTGTAGCAATAAGTTATCTGACCATCAGGAAACTCCTTAAATTAAGAGTTGAGGCAGAGCAGCTGGAGGACATCAGAGGGAAAACCAAAATATTTACTGACTTTCCTTCATAACCATAAAAGCACTTTCTGTAAAGGCTTGTGCAGACTACACAACTTGTTGTCTTGTGACGGTGGCGATTTGTTATTATGAAGATAGAAATTAAAAAGACAAAGAATATGAGTGAAAAAATGGATTAGCACACACGGGTTGCAGAGATTGTCTGTGCTAAAGAGAGTAAAAAGGGTTTGGAGGAGGTCCTTCGTCCATGACGTCAAGAAGGGAGACAAATTCAAATGGGTCTTGGGGTCTTAAGACACACTGGGGACACACATTTTGTCTTTAGACACACCACATAATGAAAATGCACTAAACTGTACAGTCTCATGCAAGTGTGTGTGTGTGTGTGTGTGTGTACTCCAGCAGCAGAGTCCGGTGGAGCAGCGCTACAAGGAGCTGTTGGCCCTCAGAGACGAGTACTTGAAGAAACTGGAGGAGCTGCAGCTATCTGACTCCTCCCCTTCCTCCCGTCTGGCTAACAATCCCACTCCCAACACCTCCTCCCCCACCACCTCCACACCATCACAGCAATACACACACCTACAAACTCCCCTCTGAGGGCTGGTGACCCCCCCTCCCCCCTCAGATATATTTGTTGACTTGCACTTATGTCTTCTTCACCGATTTCAGTCTCACACACGCAGGGAATTAATGAGTATTGTCCAGTCCTAACTGTGGATAACAAAGAATCCTATTAAGATTTACATTTGATGGTTAATTCTAACACCATAGTGATAATGATGGTGATTTATGCAATATGTCACAGTACAGCCTTGTTACAAGACTTTTCTACACACACGCATCATACAGTAAAGCCTTAAAGACATTCAGTGGCTTTCAGTCCAAGGGCTTGAACACACAGGACACGCAGTGGGTGTGTGTAGGCACACATGTAGGTGTACGTTATGCTCTGACTTGACAAAAACGTAACAGGAAAACGCGCTGTTGATGGTTATGTATTAATCAGATCACAATAGAACCACATACATTACCTATAGATTCAGTGATAGAACAAGATACCATACTGCTTGAGCCAGAAGGATTAGATTTATATTGGGAATAGTGGCTTGACAAAATAATCTTAAATCAAGGTCCACTTACTCGCATTTTGTAGTTGAAAGCTGCTGATAAGCAAAGTATGTGAACCTGGAGTTAGAATTATTTTGCCAAGTGTACTGTGTTGACCATTAAAGGAACTGACAGCAGATTCATCTCCATGCTTCCGCTATAAAGACATTTCCAGAGCATAGCTTAGCCTGTGCTAGCTTAAAAGTCATCACAAATAAATGTTAAGATTGATGATGATTTATTATCCATTATTATTACTGAACTGCACTTGTCACACTATGAAAATGACTCTTGCATTTTCACACATCAAGTCAGCTGAAGGTATAGGAGCTGTTGTTAGATTGTTTTGTTTTTTTCACTTTTGTCTGTGCTAAGCTAGCAGTTTCCCCTGCTTCCAGACTTTTTGCTAAGCTACACTAACCACAACATGAACCTACCCACTGATCTTGGTGTTCTCATTAACTCGGATAAGTCAAGACACTGGCGGAATAGTAACAATACTTTTCCTTTGAAACACAACACATTTCACAGTTAGATGTCAGAACACTGCTAGGTGAGACAGGGTCTGTCTCTGCCTCTCTCCTGCTACACAACCATTAGTGTCCTGTGTGTAATCAAGATGTGGTACAATTCTCACTTTTCATGCTTCTTACTACGTGCTGCACTGCTGCTGAGTGTTGCCCTGTCTGTTGAGGAACTGATTAGAACTGCTGCAGAGTTCATGCAGCGGAGTTGGAGGCTGGGATTGTCTACAGTGGATGTCAGTGTACATCTCCCGCTAAGTGCATATCAAGTGTGACAGATTTGGACGGATTGATGTGGAATTTGTTGCTTACGACATGAGGATAAAAGCTAGAGCTGTCTCTGTCATGTATGTTTTGCCATTGTTAATAGCTAAGCTCACCTAAGCAGTATTTTCCAGCACTTCACAGAGCAAATACAGTTCTAGCCCACAAGCAAGAGTTTGGTTATTAGAATTGATTAGAAATGAACTTTTATGAATGCAGCTTTGATGAGGTTTGAAATATATTTCAGGTGCTCAAGATAGTGTAGGGAAATGAAGTGGTATTGGCCTCTGATCCTGGATCACCTCTTGTACTTTTATGTTCTCACTAAACACAGACCCTAGATGGAGAATCCAGCCCATTTCCATGATGGCCTTACCATGCCAAGATGTTTGTAACCAGCATACAGTGAGCAGAAATAAACCAGTTAGCGCTCACTTCCCCATAAATAAATTTTTTGTATATCTGCTTTTAGATACTGTCTCCCTCCCTGATCTCAAAGCACATGTACCTTTTGGACAGGTGTTGGCTTTATGTTCAAATGTTTTTTTCCCACATTTCAATTTGATAACATATAGGCCAGTTTTATATCAGAAAGGAAAATTCTAGGCAAGAATTAAGTGTTTTTTAATTTTCTATTTACATTTGCCAGTGTCCAGAGACGTCGGTACTGAAGCTGGTGCAAAACATGTAACTAATAGGAATGGTGGGGAAAGCTTTAACAAAAAAACAAGATAAAGCTGTAAAATTAAGGGAAATTTTATATGAAAACTAACTGTTGACAAATAAAATGTATTTTTCACATAGGAAATTCTATGGAAGATCATTTCTGCCAGAAAAAGAATGAAAATGAAATGCTAGGAATGACAAAAATAGAAATATTCATGATATGTCAAAATGGCATCATGGCTTCAAATGATCACAATCAGAAAATCAGGTTTGTTGATGTACAAGGAATTATCCTTGGTATTTTGGTTCATAACAATAAACACAACGAGATAATAAAAAGTGAAGTGTACAATTAAAAAAATATGAAAGTAGTATTAAATGTATGTACAATATGTCTGCTAGTTTTTAGAGCTATACAGTTTGTGCCAGTGGCCAGGGAGAAAGGGGTCAGCCACAATCTTTCCTGCTCGCCTCAGGGTTCTGGAGGGGTGGCAGATTGCAGCCAGTCACCTTCTCAGCAGAGCAGATATGCTTCAGCCTGCCCTTGTCCCTGGCACTGGCAGCAGTGTACCAGATGGTGATGGAGGAGGTGAGGATGGACACAATGATGGCGTCAGTCAAAGTTGAGATTTCCTTTTATATGTTAGTCGTTTTTTACATTCACAATTTAGACTTGACTTATGTCATTATTCATTTGGACTGATTATTTTTATCATTTTGCTTGTTCTAATGGGCTTCCATAAAATTCCCTGATAAGAACACCTGTCCAAGAAGCACATGCTTTTATAGTTGTCTCTGGGTTTTGGTGCCGTTGTGGGGCTGGTGTCCACAGAACGGTGTGCAGAGTCAAACTCAGGACATCACATGGACAACAGTGTGTGCGCAGATAAAAGAGGACTGTTGGAAACGGAATCCGATTTCTCTATCATGACAATGGAATTAAAGGACTTATATAATAGCGTGATATTAGGATTTTGCTGCTAACTCAAAAGACTCCCATTTTGGTTAGTTTGAAAACAGCTGATACAAACTTGGACAGAAAAATAATGAATGCTGCTAAAAACATCCATTTTAAATGTATGCACTGTATCATTCACTCTGTCGGGATAGAGACAGGACTGTTACAATCGCTCTTGAGTTGAAGTTCTCTGCCATCATAATTGCTCAGTTTAAGGAGTAATGTCTGGTAGTCCTCAGTCTCTTATTCCAACCTGGGCAGCTTAGCTTGATTTACTGGAGTACTGTAAGTTTGGGATTGAAGTGTGGGGCTCTTTGTGTTGCCAGCACATCATAATCAATCAAGAGAAATTTAGTAATATGCCTATGCTGACTTGTGTGTTATTTTGGCAAGGGGGTACATCACTGAAAACAAAACTAAACCAATGGATAACTATTAAAAGGAACTGGTGGTAGTTTAGCTTTGAGGCCCAATTTATTGCGCATTTCATATAGAGCAGGTCTAGACCTCTGTGAAACTCAAATAAGTATTATGTTACAAGACCCCAGAAGTTAAGAAAATATGTAACTAGGCAGACCATTTTAAGGATGTGCTTCCTAATAGAGTGGGGAAGTGTGAGGACCTGCTGGTTCCACTGTAAATACACAGTTGTAATGACCTAACCTTCATAATTGAATATTGTGTTCCAGTAGCCCAGCAGTCTTTCTTAATGGAGACCATACTGACAGAAGAGTTCCTTTACTTTGGTGAATTCATAGATACAGGAACATTTTTTTTACAGTCTGGTCAAGGCACATCAGCCGACCCTTCTCCTGACTATCGAAACACTCCTGGGACTTGTAGTCTTTTTATGTCTAATGTTCACAGGACACAGATTGGGACACTACTTCTTGGAACCCTTGAAACCCAAAATAGCTTCTCCCACTAAGCTTTCTGTGGTGAAAGACATTTGAGTCAAAAAGGCTCAGAAACAGCAGCTCCAACTCCAGTTTTCCCCCAGTGTGTTCAATGTATTGGCTTTCCAGAAGGTGGAGTAACAATGCATTCAGATCATCCAGTGTATGTACAGTGTGAGCGTTGTGAAGAGGTGCAATAAGTCATTTTGCGAAGTGTATCAGGTCATGTCCAGATTTGTGCCTTGATTCTTGTGAGAACCACTTTCACCTCTTCAGACATACTCTAAGTGTCCTGGGTCATGTTTGAGAATGCCTTGTATCCTCGGATTTGGAAAGATTCCATGCTGCTCCCTAACCCTACACTGTGTGAATCAGTAATAGACCACACAGTAGCAAGAAAAACTTTACGGGCCCTTGTTTTTGGGGAAACCCCACAGCCAGATAAGATGGATTTGAGTTGTCAGTACGTTTAGTACAGAGATGGCGTATGCAGTCTAGCTTAGTCCAAAACTGTTTTGTTTATAAGCATCTTGTCAGCTAGCAAGCCAGTCACCAGTCCATCTAAGAGTTGCCAGACTTTTGTCAAACTCCAACTTGCTTTCTTCTTGCTTAACGTGACATGTATTTTTAGAAGAAACCAACAATCTGACATTCACATATTGACAAAAAAGGTAAAAAAGGAGCAAGGGTCTGAACTTCACTTTAGTTCTCTTTTTTTCATTCTTTACACAATAATGTGTGTCACATCTTCACTCATGTGAATAAACATGAATGTTTTCCAGGAGAAAAGTCAGTGCTGTCCCCATATTTAAACAATTTCACATCTCTGACAGTCAGGTTTTTCGCTCCACCTTCCAATGTCGACTTTCAGAACAACTATAAACTCTTCTCGATTAACTAGTTTTGAGTGTAACCCGACCTTTAATATAATTCCAAGGATTGGAGAGCAGATGCTGCTAAATCGTTTAATGAACTTACAAGAAAGAATAGGACTTGGTCTACCTGCAAAGATGTCAGTCTCAAACATGACTCTGTTCCATGTCTGGATGGGTCAGAGTGGGCAGATTAGAGTGCAGCCTGATTCCTATGTTCACGGAGAAGAGAATTAACACAGGTTCTACCAAATTGATACTCTTGACAGGTATTTGACATCCTTGATGAAAGGTTTGATCTCATTGAGGAGGTTTGTGGATCAAACAAGCAGAGAGGTGACCGCATCAGTAAAGTGCACGTCGGTCAGGTGGTTATGTTTTTAGGGAAAAACAGATGAAAATCTATTTTTTTTACTTTGTACAAGCACCATGATGTAATTACCTCAGTCAAAACCTATTTTACTGCCTAAAGTTCTATTGTTGTAAAATACAAATATTTTATGTAGTGTAAAATCTTACCGTTTTATAAAAAGGAAAGTAATATTGGTTCAGAAATTGTTGGTATAAATTGTGGATTTCTGCTCCATTGGTAAAAATTGTATTTTTGAGGGCATTTTCTTTGGTTTGTATTTGTTTACCCAGGATGAAAAGACAGAAGCTTCTAGATACTGTTCACTTGTCACAAACCTTGACATCTTCCTCTAAGTTCTCTGATGGATCTTCAGTTTTTAGATGTTGGCTCTGTGATGATGCATCTGAGAAGTACTCTGTCATTGTTCATTTCAGTTTGAGTCTTTGATGTAGGGGAATATGGTTTGAGGGGTTTTATGTCCTAATATAGCCTGCTTTTAATGAATACACATGAAATGTGTTTCAGGATCTTTTTGACATTAACAAGGGAAAGTAAAAATAATATACACTTCAAATATATTTCTTTTAATCATGATATATCCTCTCCACCGTTTGTTGGATGGCTCCTGTTATGTAAATATTACTGATTAAATTAATTTAAAGATTTCTGACTCTGGCTCCTTGCATGTGTTCCTTTAATTATGTGAGAATGTGTGTTCATCATGCTATTTAAAATGGTCCTTTCTAACTGCATCAACACATGCGATGATTAAAAATGCTGAAAAGTGTGTACAAGATGCATTTTGTGAGAAATCAAAATAAAACAACTTAGCTTGTTTAGAATGAAACTCCTGCAGGGATTCATGGATAGTCCTGATCTAGAATGGTCCTGGGCCATCTTCTTCAAACCCATCTCAACCTGTTCAGGCTAAGGTGCTATCAGGTTAAAATTATCCTGTTTATTCTTACACAGCTAATTTGGTCCTTTGAATGGAGGCTGAGGATGAATTTAATAGTGGATGAATAACTGTTCTTATTATGAAATAAAGGCAAAAATGCATCAGAAACCATGATCAGCTTGTATGATTTGCAGTGCTGATCATGTTCATGCAGTTACACGAGGCAGGTGTGTTAGGAATCCTTCCAGCATGCAACAGGGCAACATATAACAACACATAATTTCATATGTGTTCCTGTGTTAGGGTGTCATTTGAATGTGGTCAGATTAGGTAGAGACTATGATTGGTGAAGATCTCCGTGGACATGCAAGGTAAAAGTCCCTTGCGGACCACCGCGCCGCCCTGTATTAGCACTCTTTCATTATAAATATAAAAAGAAAACAGTTTGTATTTGGAAGTGAGTTCATGTATTGGATTCACCATAAAACATCTTTGTAATGATTCAGCTGCCAATAAACCTGCGCTTCTGCAGGTTTGGGCTTAAGGGCTTGTTGCTCTGACGACAGTTCCTGATCTGTGTAAGTCTGGGGAAAGACACTAATACTGTGTGTCTTTATTTCATTTCTCATTGACAGTGATAAAGTCAGTCACCCCTCAGCCACTGAACTGGTTTATTTCATACAAACACCATTTTAACAGTTTATTGACAGGTTCCTCCCAGTCACTGTTTACTTTTCTGCTAGATTCACCATTCAAAGTAAGTACGTAATAGCAATGCAAAACAAAAATTATAAAATGAAGTGTTTTAATAAAACAAAGTCATGTAAAATAGAACTTATTTATAAGATTCAAAATAATAGTAAATGTTCCCTAACATCTCAATGGCCATTCAAACACTATCTGCTCATACCATTTATTCTTACACTCAGTTGCCAGTTTATTAGGTACACCTTGCTAAAACTAAAGCAATTCATGAAGATTATAATGTTGAGTTTTTGCTGAAACTGTTTTAGAGAAGTGTTGATTTAGTAGTCCACCCCATTCCTATAAACAAGGGTAGGCTAAATAATAGAAAGGCCTCTCTGTGTAAGGCAGCACAGTTCACCAGCACCACAAATTTCTTGTGTGGAGGAACCTTCTTTTCTACAGTCTATGGGGAAGAACTGGACTGGGCTGCTCAGAGGCCAGGCCTCTTTCAAATGAAATCAAAAGAAAATTGATAACATACAGAAATATATTTAGAAAAACAAACAATACAAAGGACGTACCAAAAAGAAAACCAAAATAAGAATGAATTAGATATTAAATCTAAAAGTAAAGCGAATAAAGTAGCACGTCAGCTGTATTAAAGTGAATACTGTCAATGGTATGACCAAGTTGTTGATGTGACTATCATCCATGTTATCATTTAGCCTATCATTTAAATATCCAGAGCATTTTCTATATAACATAATAATAAGGCTATAACCCAAATACATCATTCCTGTATTTGCTAAGTCGACTGGCATGTTCATCTCTTATTTAAGTTTGTGCCTTAGAATCCAACAATGTACATAGTGCCTCCAATAATCAGATTATTGTACTAATTGGTTATTACCTCCATCTCAAAAATTCTGTTTATTGCTGTCTTTTTTTGGAGAAAAGGTGAGTGTGTTTTAACCTAGTTAAAGTTCTGAGTGTCCTGCATCCTGTAGGTAATGGCCTCTGTCCAGAGTTACTTCAGGTGGTGTTACTCTTTTAAAACATTTTTTTAGCAGATGTCTGTTTGATTCTAAATATTTTCATAATAAAGGTTATAACTGAATGCCAGAAAGTTTTTGGTATCAGGCATAAAAAGAAGTCTGATGTACTGAAACTGCTGTGCTAAGAGGAAGTTGTATGTTCAGCCTACTCCTCGTGTAACAAACAACCATATTTGGAGGAAACCATTGGAGGGATTATACAATCGTGCCCTAAAAATATTGAACAAAAGGCCTATTGGATAACATCATTGTCACGTCCTCCTGAGAGACCTGAACATGCTCCGTTTTGACTGTACTATATTGCATTTGCAAACGCAGACCTTATCAGGTAGTGTTTGCATGGACATAGTTCTCAGGCTCTGTGACATGACCAGACATTACAAGACTGAGAAAGAAATTCAACTGCAGGGAACTTTAAAATATCATACAGTAAAACATCCTTTGGCCAGACTTCCTTTTGAATCAAGGGCACCAACACCTGGAATCAGCTGCCTATTGAGCTAAAAATAGAACAAAATCATCAAGAATTTAAAATTAAACAGAAAAAGATAATGATTTCTGTAGCCATATGTAGGGGTGGGGTGGTTACAGTGGTAGGTGGGGGGATGTGGGGTTGGTATATATGCTGGAATGTTTTAATGTGTTTGTTTCTTTTACATTTTTAATTTAAAAAGCTCTTCTAGGGACCTTCATTGGAAATAAGCAGTAGCTATTAATGCTGTGATGCATTGCATTTAAAAATAATACAATGAAAAAATCTGTTGTATGTATTTGGGTTGCTTGTTTATTTCCCAATCTTCCTCTTTCTCTGCAGTCATATTTTACAATAATATGTCAAAGATAGATTTAGGCCACTTTATCTCAACACAACGAAGTACCATGTTAATTGCATCTCCTTACGAAGTGAGCCAAAAGGACAAATCGCTCAAAACGAATCACAGCTGATGTAAATGTAGCCTGAGCCTGTCACAGTACAGACAGCAGTTTCATGGTGAACATGTCACATCACTTCCAGGCCTGAGCATCGGATACTGGTGCAGCTCCGGCGTGTTGTGGTTGTGAAGAGGCGGGGCGACCGAGCGAGGCTGACGAGGAAGCACAACCTGATGAGAGGAAACTACAGGACAGCCTGAAAACTCGCCCTACCAGAACCCGCTGACGGGTCCATTTCATCTTCCGACTCCCTATATCAGAGGAAACCCTCCACCCCAGCCCCCAGCGAGCCAGACCGTAAACACTTCTCTGGCGGATGGAGAAACAGGCCGGAGCTGCCGGGGAAGGGGACGGGCCAGGGGCGAGCAGAAGGCCCTGGGGCTCGCCGACCTGCGGACCAGGCGCCGGTGAAACCCCGGAAAGGTGAGTTACCAAGGCTCCACATTACAAGAATATGTCAAAAGTCAATGTGAAAGGTCGTCAAAATACGGTCGTCTTAGTTTTCTATAGCCTATATTATTTCCCGTGAAATCTTACAAAAAAACATTTCCTGAGTCAAGAGGATCATCTGTTTAATTTGGCGTAACTTTAGATCCAACACATAAAACGGATTCTAGACTCTTTGCCAATGAGCAAATGCTACAACATAACGTTACTGCCAGATTTCATCACGTTACTGTGGTTTGGAGTGACGTTAACGTTACAGTAGAATTCAGCTACGAGACAGGAGGCTAACGGTAAGTAAGCTAACAGTGAATGAGCTAACGTTACAGTCTGATCTAAACCACTGTACTGTGTGAATAAGGAGAAGATTAACATTATAGAATAACGTTACAGTCTGATCTAAACCACTGTACTGTAAGAATAAGGAGAAGATTAACATTATAGAATAACGTTACAGTCTGATCTAAACCACTGTACTGTAAGAATAAGGAGAAGATTAACATTATAGAATAACGTTACAGTCTGATCTAAACCACTGTACTGTAAGAATAAGGAGAAGATTAACATTATAGAATAACGTTACAGTCTGATCTAAACCACTGTACTGTAAGAATAAGGAGAAGATTAACATTATAGAATAACGTTACAGTCTGATCTAAACCACTGTACTGTGTGAATAAGGAGAAGATTAACATTATAGAATAACGTTACCAGCCGGCTAGAAAACAGTTAACTAAACTAACGTTAAGTTAACATTAGCTCAGTAAAACAGGCCTAGCTTAGTGTAAAGTAGCTGCCAGTTGCAGACGTCAGTGCGGTATTGTGTTTCCATAGTTAAGCTGTATGATGTATAGACTGAGCAGAGATGCTCCTCTCTGCTCTAACCTACACGCAGACAAACACGGCCGCCATATCGGTAACTTACAGCGAAGCCTGTGGCGGCAGGAGCTCTGTCCGCATTATAACCATCAGAACTCGCTGTGTAACGTTATATGTTTGGTTTGTTATAAATGGCAAACATGTATTTATGATACAAGATAGATGGTTAAATTGGAAATGCATGTTTGCATACCAAAATACTTCATCCTTTGTAGTAACAGTATATTACTATATTATAATAGTTACGCTACGTAAGTAGTTTGAAAGTATATTCTTTTTTCTTACAGCATTGTAAAATGGCTGCCATTGTCTAATTTGGTTCATGATTCTGGAAATAAATAAAGACTTAATAATAAAAAAAAAGACGCAATTACAACAAACCCTAAAGTTAAAAAAACATTTCTTTCATGATTCACAATTCAGTTTTAAAATTGAAATTAATATTTTGCTCATTTAACGTTACACATAACGTTAAGTAACGACAAGTATTATTTACAAAAAAGCCTATATACATTGAATGAGTTGGGTTGTGCAGAGTTGCACTGTTCAGTAATGTAAAACAGTTGTAACAACATAGCTTATTGATAATAATAATTGATATATGTATATGTGTATATGTATGTGTGTGTGTGTGTGTGTGTATATATATGTATATATGTATATATGTATATATATGTGTGTGTGTGTATATATATATATATATATATATATATATATATATATATATATATATATGTGTGTATATATATATTTCTCCAGCACTGATTCCATGAGTACAACAGCAGGGTCATACTGTCATACTCACCACTCTGTTGCTCCCACAAATACTACTTTTTCTAATCACTTTGAGTTTGCCACTATTTTTTGATCACAGCTTAGATGCAACCAAAGAAAAACAACACTTCCTGCAGAAGTTTCACAACAAAAGCACACCAGAAAAGGAAAGGAAGGGATTACATGTCCAATCAGCCACTGAAAGGCTTTTAATGTGAAGCTTCTATGTAGGCAGCTTAACAGCCATTGAGCAGCAGAGTTGATAGAACTGGAACAAAGTAACTTGTTGTAGTTTTCATTTTTCTCATTTCTGTCCATTCAGTCCAACAGGTTCTCACGTAGAGTGGTGTAAACAGCTGATAGCAGCCACCATCTCCAGTCAGATCTCCGGATCAGTCCCACATGACATCGTGAACAGGGACAACAAGGTAGACAACAGACACACTCAAACTGCTGACGGTAATTCTCATCATTTTTGTAACTGGGCTGGGAGAAGACCAGATTTCATGGTAAGCACATGTGTGCTATATATGCCCTTCAGTGTGTGAGCAGAGCTTTTTGCGTTCAGTGTACGTGTACTGTATCACAGCTTCTGTCAGTGTTGACCTGCTGTACAGTCCTATGCTTCTGTCTGTCAGCAGCCTTCACCAAAGCACGTTTGGTTCATTGAAAATCGAACTCTGTCCTCCAACAGTAGACTGGATTGAGAGAAAAAACACATATTTGCATATTACATAAGTAGTAGGTACAGGTGTAACATGATGTGTGTTCACCCTGAGTCATTTGAACTTTGATTTCAAAGAGGTCAGGACATTGTCTTCATCGGTGTCTTTAGGTGGTGTGCGAGTCCAATATGGGTCAACTTTGAGGGCCCCATCTCCTGAACGGTTGAGAGTAGTCATACACATTGTACCTTTAAAGGGTCAGTTTACCCAAACCACAAGACTGCACATGTTTTCATTTAGTGGTTTCTCTCAATTCCGAGTTTGGTTTTATTTGTCCAGGTTTGGAGATATCTGTCTGTGAGATTTCTGCCTCCACCTGATACACTGGAGGTGAATGAAAAATAGTTTGTGGTGTTCACACAATTAGATGTGTCACTTTTCAGAAACAATGGCCCATTTACACAGGTCAGTCCACGGACGTCACTGACAGCACTCATCTCTGGTATTACTTGCTAAGAAGAAGCTCCAATGAGAAGTGTTGACCTCAACTTCTGATCCAGATTAACAGGTAGACTGTCTCTGGAATGAAACTTAGCTGTTAAAATTTAACAAATGTCATTTTTCAGTGCTCTAATTGCCACAAATGATGAGTATTATGGTGGAATTTGGGCCAGATTTAGTGCTGCTCTGTACTGTTATGGAGCACTTCTGTGACTGAAGCACTTTTATGTTGCTTGTTTCTGAATGTGCATTCACAAATATATGTGCTTAGCTGTTCTGCAGCTTTCTGATATTGTAGCAGGTTTCATTTCTTGCATTTGCTTGGATATTTGTATCAGCATAGTTTTTGAGATGGCAGTGCATTTCTCTTATCGCAGTTGGCTGGGCTCTTTGTGTGTTTGCACCTATCTGCCACCAAATACAGAATGGTTACATTGTACTATTTGATGATGTCAGTTTCAATGTCAGATTTGTCACTTTTAATAAAATACAATATTAAACAGTAAGAAAGATGTAAAGGTAACTTCTGTTTCATGTGAGCTACATGTGTTTCATCTGTGTATGGCCTGTGTACTCGTGTCTTGTGTGTTTAACCTCCAGGTTTCCAAGCGGCTGAATCTCAGGGTAAGAGCTGTAGTCTCATCAGCTTGTCTTCTGATAAATATTGTACATTTCAGACACATACACACAGACCTGTGTACTCAGAGCTCAGTTTTAGCCAGTGTGTTGCTTGGTTCAAGGTTGAAACAGCATTCTAACTCTTACTAGCGTCCTTTGTGTGAACCGGGCTGTGACACAGTACATTTGGTGGAAATTTCTGTTTATGGATAAAATACACAGACAGAAATGTCAGTTTTTTAGCTAATCCAGCTAATTAAATACCACCTGACAGATCAGTGTGCTTCACTACACTGATGCTCAGATCATATTAAAGTCCTGTATTGCCATAGTACATATCACAACTAAGTTGACTTGTTAAACGTTATTAGAATACTCCCAGACTGTTTCACATTAGCAGGGATGTGATTGTGTGGCTGAGGTGTATGACTGATACTGCAGATTTGTCAGTGGTGTCTGAGGGTGGAGGTTAGCTTCCGTCACAAACCATCAGCACTTCCTGCATCAGACCCACTGTACACCGCTCAGTGTGCTTCCTTCTCCTTCTTTTCTTTCTCTGTACCTTTCTTCAGGCTTTTTCTTTGTTCTTTACTCCTACACTCTCTCCGTCCGTCTTTCACTGAGGCTTTATTGGCATGAGCATATGAGTAAAAAAACAACATCACCTCAATGTCAAAATCATGACAAACCTCAGAGGTTCAGTGTCCATCTGAAACTCCAGTTTCTACCATTGGAATGGAACTGTAAGAACAAAACCAAAATCCAGCCATTCATCTCTGTGTGACTGTCGTCCCAACAAGTTCTTAGGCGTGCTGGTGGCGTGGCTCAGGGGATTACGATGTCAATCAAGGATCAGAAAGAAGCTTTGGAGCCTGGCTTCAGATTTCAGCCAGCCAACACACGTCAAATACATTATTATGTGAAGGCAGAATATGCACAGTGTCTCTCCCTACAAGCACTGCAAAGAGAGGGGACTGACATAATAACAGCATCTTACATAAAGAGTGTGGTCTAGACCTGCTCTTTATCAAACGCGCAATAAGATAACTGTTGTTGTGATTTGGCTCTATAATAAAATTGAAAAATTGATTGGAATTGAAGTACATATAGAATAATATCTTTTTACTGCATAATCTCTCTCTCTCTTCCTCTTTCTCACACTTTCTCCATGCTGGCTCTACCCTGCAGCAAGATTCACAAGATGAAGGGCTTTGTTACCATGGAGAAAATGATTCTGAGCATCCTTCCAATGCTTTGGCAAGTCTCTCTCTGTCTGTCCTTTCTCCTGTTTATAGTACTTCCTCTTCACACTGTCCTGGTCTGCATGCCTCATCCTCCTCCTCTCCTTCTGTCTCAGCTTTCTTCAGCAAATGACACATATAATATAGAAGTTGTTTTAAAAGACATGTGTTCACCAGACAGGGAGGGTTTATTGAAAGTCAAGATATCTGCGTCTCTCTGAGAACAGAACCCCCCATGCACAGCCAGTATGTAGGATCAAATGAATCACCACACCCTAAAATTAATATAATATTACACGGAATGCATTTTTTCAAAAAACATGGCATGGTTAATATTATACAGTGTTACAAAAATGACACCTTTCAATTCATCTTAATTAGAAGACTAACTCCCGTGTACTACTGACTGAATAGAATGTACTATTAGCCCTACAGCTGTCCCACTACACCACTAAATGGGATGGGTGAGAGCCAGGGGACCTAGGGTCATTATGTCAACTTATGCTTCCTGGTCCTCTCTCCTCCTGTGGAGGATCGTGGAGGATCATGGAGGATCTTCCAGTCCCTTAAATGCACCTTGAGGATATAACGAGGAGTCTTCTGCAGGAGCTAAGAGCAAGGAAACACAGGTGTACCCTACACTAAAGTATTTAATCAGTTTGCGTGATGTATAAATGCAGCACGTTACATGGTGAGATGCAGTAAATGTTCCATCACCTGGTGTCTGATAGATCTAACACTGCAGAGGATATAGACTAATCTAATTGCAAAGTGTTGTGGCTTCACACAAAACTGTTTGTTTCTTATTTTACAATATAATCAACATACACACATGCTTCTGCAGCTATGTGGTGTATTATTGTGCAGATAACAATACTGTATAATGATGATAACAACAAGTAAATAAGTAGCCTAAGTAATCATAGGAAATAACAATGATGCCTACATAAATTGAAGATTTGAAAGGAATATAAAATAATGAAAATCGTTAAGAATAATAATACTGCTAATAATCTACTATGTGAAACAATAACTTATAAATGAATAAAGGTAATAAAAGTCTTTTCACTGGTCCAACAATCACCAGCTGTGGTTTTGGTGGAAATAAATCCTTAATTCACAGTGTTTACATAAAGTTGAAATGTCCTCAGCTTCCCCACATTGCACTACTAGACACATTTTGAGGTAATTCACAATGAGTGTGAACGGGAGGGTTTCATCAGACCTGAAAGACTTTATCAGCAACATGTTCAGTGATACTCAGTTATGTGTCGGTGGTGCAGGTCTAGTTGCTGGTCCGTGAAGGGTGGTGTGGTCCCACTGACTGCTCTGTGCTCTTTACAGAACCTTCCAGCTCTCAGATACGGGGCGCAGGTCAGGATGTTCCAGAACCAGGTTCCTCTGCTACCAGGAGAGACCATCCAAACTACAGGTATGGTCACATTCTGTCTCATCCTGCTGTCCATATTCATCATATGTATAATGTGGTAGACGTATCAGTCATTTTAAAATCTTGATATTGTATTTAAATAACAAATAATTTAATAAATAATGTTACTTACCTGCCAATTAATCAGTTCCTTATAGTTTTTGTGTGTGTGTGTGTGTGTGTGTGTGTGTGTGTGTGTGTGTGTGTGTGTGTGCGCGCGCGCTGATGTGCAGTCAAGGATGTGATGTATATCTGTCCATTCAGCGGTCTGGTTAATGGAACCCTGACCATCACAGACTACAAGCTGTACTTCACAAGTGTGGAAAGGGTACTGCTCGTTTATTATTCACTCAGCTGTGCTTTAATAGCCTTCATTCACAGTCCCAGGACTATTGTTTCTCTCCAGTGTGTGTTAATGTCAGTCTGTGCACATCCAGGAGTCTCCATTCATTCTTGATGTGAACCTGGGAGTCATCAGCAGACTGGAGACCATCAGTGTTCCCAACCAGGGAGAGAACACCAAAGGACTGGAGCTGGTCTGTAAGGTGAATACTGTGCACTGAAACAGATTCTTCAGAAATATACTTTCCCATACCAGATAAATGACTTCTTTGGAATTTTTTAACCAACAAAGATATTCAATTTACCATAATAGAAAAACACCCTTCACGCTGGAAAAGGTGGAACCAGAGATCATGTAATCATTTCAACCATTGGATGAAGAAGTATTCAGATCATTTACTTAAGTAAAAGTACTAATACCACACTGTGAAAATACTCCACTACACGTAGGGCCCTGCATTCAAAACCTTACTGAAATAAAGTATATATATATATATATATTATCAGCAAAATGTCCTTAAAGCATACTATAATACCTGCTGCACATTAATATGTGTATGTTGCATTTTGTCCTGAGAGAACCATGTATGTCTAAAAAGTCATGAGCTCAGAAACACAGCCTGTTTCCAGCTTTGTGTTGATGCAAAGGGGGTTAAATATTTTATTTAGCTGAAGACATTCACAAACATTCACATTCAAAATCACCACACAGGGGATGAAAAATGTAATGTAATCTGAAAAGTAGCTAGTGACTCGAGCTGTCAGACAAATGTAGCGGAGTTACAGGTGCAGTGTTTGTATCTAAAACGTAGTGGAGGAGAAGTATAAAGTTGGCATAAAATTGATATACTCAAGTACATTGGCAGTTCTTAAGTTCAATAATGGTGTGAGTTTACTTTACATTCCCTCAGTGATTTCAACAATAGTTGTGAAGAGTCTGCAGTTTCTGTTGCCACTGATGACTGACCTGTCATGTTCTCTCTGCATCAGGACATGAGGAGTCCCAGGTTTGCCTATAAGACGGAGGACAGCCATCCAGATGTGGTGGAGGTGATGGCCAAACATGCCTTCCCCCTCTCCCACAACCTGGTCAGTGTCATTCAGATGTTTTTATTAATATTGGCTAGATATGATGTGTGGGTTCAGTATGTTGTGCTGCAAGGCTTCCATACATGGCTTTAACATATAGATATAGAGTAGAATGAACTCTATACTAGGCTAGGGCCAGTTTAGCTGGTATCACATGATTTATACTTTTATGTAAGTCTTCCAACATTGTGTACATCTGTTAAAAAAAAGGTGTGTGTGTGCGTAGGCGTGTGTGTGTTTGTGTGTGTGTGCGTGGGCGTGTGTGTGTCGCTCAATACTGAAATCACAATAATTGATGTTACAGCATCATTTGATGTTCTTCTAAGCAGCAGTAGTATTTGTTGTTGCTTAAAAATAAAATATATTGTGTGTGGAAAAAAAATTGATGTTTTTTAGCCAGACATTTAAAAATAACACATTTAAGGTCATGAAAAGGTGAAAATCTCAAACCTGCCCATGCCTACTCTATACAAATGTTACGATGACAACATAGGCTAGTTATGTTAAGTTACATTTCACACTGTCTCCAGGATGTTTTCCAATTATTTTAAACCTTAAAATTGGACCTAAGGACGATTTTCACTTCTGCACAGTTGAGGTCAGCTTGTTAACTGCACGTTAGGGCTGGGCAATAAAACAATAATGATAATTATCGCAATATAATTTTCCTCAATATCAATATAATTAATGTTCAATATATCGTCAATAAATATTTGGTTTAATTCATATGAATAATGAACAAATTAGCACTTCATTTTTCTGTAAAATATTTATTTTATTGCGGAAAAGGGACTGAAAAAACATTTACTTATCATATTTGTTAAATTTATTTTTATCATAATAGTTTTGAATGTTCTCCCTCAGTGATCCCCTGTTTAGCATCAAGTGTTTGTCCCATTCTGACCATAAAGAAATTTTAACCATATAATTAACCTTCTGGTTTCTTCAATTTTCTCTCAGGAGCAAAAATCAGCCTTTAAACTTGAAAGAAATAACGACTTGACATTTACCTTGATAATTATCGATATCGAATGATATGAAATGTTTTTATCGTGATAACATTTTTGGCCGTATCGCCCAGCCCTACTGCACGTAAATGCCTGAACCATCATATTTCCGTTTGATCTTGACTGAATGCTAACATACAACCTCTGGCAGCCCCTGTTTGCCTTTATATACAAGGAGCAGTTTCCTGTAGATGGCTGGAAGGTTTACGACCCAACAGCAGAGTACAAACGTCTGGTAAGTGCACACCAGCCGTAACACTGACTCTGTCGCTGTCAGATCCATCTCTCACAACACACAAGAAGTCTGAGGCTAAAGCATAACTATTCATACTAGAATTATAAAACCATCTAAGTGTATTGGCCAAATTGTGGTTGGTATGAGCATGATGGCATTTTGACATGATAATGTTCGTATGAGTTCACTGCATAGCTTTATATATCCTCACTTTCTCTTTTCAGTGCAAATACTTTTTATTTGTTTTTATTTTCGTTTTTTTGTTGCTGTCAGTGAAACTCAACACATTTTTCACCTTAAACGCTTGTGCCCCTGAGAAGCTGGAAGACTTAAACTTCTGTGCAGGACGTGTTGAGTTTTATTGACGGTAGCTTAAGAATGTTTGAAAAACTGCTAAATGGAAGTGACTGGATAATTAGTGAATAAAAAGAGTGTTTTTGTTAGAGGAAAGAACCTCAGAGCAGCAGAGTTTCTGTCATTTCTCAAGTAGAAATTTCAAACATTTGCTGGTTCCAGCTTAAATGTGAGGCTTTTTGTCACTGATGAGCGTAAATGAAGAGTGTTTGGGTTTTGAACTACTGTATCACTGAACTGTCTCTTTAACCACATCACACACATGTAGGCTATTCTATGTGACCTCCTTTAGATAACTAATGTAACATTGTTTGACTTCCATTCCCTGAAACTGTCTGGAGCCCCCCCGGGGAGGCCAGCCTCACACGTTGAAAATGTCAGGTTGGAATATACTTTATCATTGTCATACACATTTTTTCGTTTTGTCAGGGCCTCCCTAATGAGAGCTGGACCATCAGTAAGATGAACAGCACCTATGAGCTGTGTGACACGTATCCCTCCATTCTGGTCATCCCCACTAACATCACTGATGAAGACATCAAACGAGTGGCTGTGTTCAGAGCCAAACACCGCATACCGGTCAGTGAGAGGAGACACATGTCCACTACAGACGGTTTGATGACATTCTTTGGATTAAGTGCAGTATTTGTAATAAAAGGTCAAGTCTGTTAGACTGGGAGCCAGACCAGTCGGCCAAGCTGGTGTTTCATGTGCTCTGGTCAACAACGCACCAGACTCACTGAACTCACATCAAACTGTCAAACTAGGCAGAAGTGTTGTAGCTGTGACTCTAAAGTGAGTTGGGGGGTTATAGGTTGGCGTAAAATCCGTTTTATTAATAATATTTGTAAAGACAGATTTTACTCACACATGTTGGTAATGCACTCCAGGCGCTCTGCTCTGGATCGAGGAGGGATAAAATAGAGTAAGATAAGATGGACAAGCATGTGGACACAGGGAATGTGACTGTTTTTTCCCCTTTGCAGTTCCCCCCAAACAATTTAGGAAGATAGAAATAGACATACAGCTAAAAACAAGCACAACAAAGCTGAACAAGATATGAAAAATAAATGATTATGTACACCGTTCAGCCATAACATTCTGACCACTGACAGGTGAAGTGAGTAACACTGATCATCCCGTTTCCATGGCACCTGTCAGTGGGTGGGAGATATTAGGCAGCAAGTGAACATTGTGTCCTCATAGCTGATGTGTTAGAAGCAGGAAAAATGGGCAAGCATAAGGATTTGAGCGACTTTGACAAGGGCCAGATTAGGCTTATTCTGATTGGATCGGCTAAAGGGATGATCAGTGACTGTTTTTTCATGCGCATTAAGGCAATTTTAACTAATCAGAACTAAGATGACATAAAAAGTCTCTAAAATCTGCACCCCACTGCAGTGTTTCCCATACACTGATTTATTTGTGGTGACACGGCACGCCACAATATCAACGCTGACCGCCACATGTACTATTAAATAGGAGTAAATTCAAGAAGTTAGTCTGTGTTCTTAACACAACGCTGTCAATGTCAGAGACCCACCTTCAAATAAGTTATAAGCAAGCATGTAAGGAGCCTAGCTAATAAGTATAGCTATGTTAACATTAGAATACAGCTGGATTGTCGAGGTTAGCACACTGTACATAGCTGCTGTTCAATATCGAATGCACCCCCCATCCGTGCGCGGCGCCAGAGTTACATGGTAATTCTGTGGGAAACGCTGCACTGTGCATTTACAGATGTTTCTGGTGGTTTCTCTTAAAGCTAATAAGCCTGTTTCTTCCATGCTGGCATTTCACTGACACGCTGCAGTGTAACCCCACCCCCCTGGCAATCAGATCGCTAATCCGTGATCTGAAGTAGCCATGATCAGACGATCGCCCAGCCAGATTGTGATGGCTGACGACTGGGTCAGAACTGAACATGTGGTTTTAAATGTATAAACCCAGTGCTGGTGAACATGATCACCATTGTTGGAAAACTTTTCATCTTCAACATTAACCCAGAGAATAGCTTAATAACAATTTGAATGATTTAATCTGATGTAAAATATTATTGTACAGTGGAGCAACGGTGGTGGTGATAAACTGATGAATTCAGTTGACAGACTGTACTTTGATGTACAGTGTCATCTCTTCATTATTACTCAGTCATTATTATAGTGTAATTAATATTAGGGTAATTAGATGGATGAAATTGTAATAAAGAATAACGATATTCTGGGGAGGGGAGTGCAAAATAATTTAGCAATCAGTTGTGGGGGTAGCAGCTGCAGACAGGGAGTGTTCCAGCCCGGAGCTCACAGTGTTCAGATGGTTTTAGCAGGTGACAGAGCTGAACCACAGATAGGATATCGAGCAGCTAAACAACAGGTAGACCTGCTGCGGAGATCAGGCTTTGGTTCGCCCCTGGTAGCGCATTGACACCCAGTACCTGCAGTCCTCGTAGGCAATTTAGCACCCAATGCTACAGACAAGGCAGGATGTGAGAGATGGAAAAAAACTCAAATTCCACAACTGATTCCTAAAATATTGGTATTGTAGCTGCAGTATATTATTTGCTAAGGTGTGTAAGATTTGTGTAGGTGTGAAGGAATCTTAAAATTTGAAGGATCAGTCGGGTGTTACTTTATATTTTCCTTGTTTTCAACAAATCACATGAAGATATATATTTTCTACCCCTGCCTCTCAGCTGCGAGCCCATTACTTCCTACTGAAGGCTAAAATCTTAATCAGTGGCTTACAAATATATCTGTGAGTATCTGAGGCAGCAGGACGGTCTGTTGGATTGAGTGAGAATAAACTACAGTGTGTGCTCGCTCATAGTGATGAAGGAACATGTTTTCTTCTCCCCCTGGTCCTGCTCTTTCTACAGGTCTTGTCCTGGATTCACCCAGAGTCTCAGGCCACCATCGTACGCTGCAGCCAGCCGTTAGTCGGACCTTCAGACCGTCGCTGTAAAGAGGACGAACGCTATCTCCAAATCATCATGGATGCCAACGCCCAATCCCACAAGCTCACCATCTTTGATGCCCGGCAGAACAGTGTAGCAGACACCAACAAGGTTTAAACAGAAAGATGCATCTAGTTTTCCTGTTGCGTCTCTCTCTCTCTCTCCTCACCTTCATGTTGTAGGTTGACTGGATTTGTTCTCTTCTCATTCCCTCCACCACATACAGGCAAAGGACGGAGGGTATGAAAATGAGAGTTTCTACCCAAACATGGAGCTGAACTTCCTGGAAATCCCCAACATCCATGTGATGAGGGAGTCTCTGAGGAAGATGAAGGACGTGGTTTATCCCACCATAGATGAAGCCCACTGGCACTCTGCTATTGACCAGACGCACTGGCTTGAGTACATCCGGGTAAATCACACACACTACAACACACAAAGAAGAACTGCTGATCAGCTGTAGAAACTTCCCAGTTAACATGTGTGGCCTGTGTGTAGCTGTTATTAGCAGGAGCAGCAAAGATAGCTGATAAGCTGGAGTCTGGGAAGACGTCTGTGGTGGTTCACTGCAGTGACGGCTGGGACCGAACGGCTCAGCTCACCTCTCTGGCCATGCTGATGCTGGACAGTCACTACCGCACTCTCAGAGGATTCCAGGTCACACCATACATCACAACATCAACTACATAGTATAGTCTTCACCTGCACAACATAATAATATACTGTATGTCTGTGTCTGCAGGTTCTGGTGGAGAAGGAGTGGATTAGTTTTGGACACAAGTTTGCTGCTGTAAGGAGTTATTCTTGCTACATATTCATTAATTATCAAAAATAAATCTTCTCAACATACATATGCAAATAAATAGTTTTTTGAGCTGCTTCTGTAAGTCTGGGCGTTCAGTAAACTTTGCCATCAGTTTTGAAATCCCAATTAAATTCTTGCAAAAATATGAATCATGTACATCCTACTAGTTACGGGAAGTTGTGTTCTCCCAAACCAGACACACAAGTGTACTGAAAAACACTAAATCATTTTCAAAAGTGTACAGCTGCACCTTAAAAAAACGAAACATTTTCTATCTAGTTGTTTGAGATGCACCTGTAAACCCTGTTGCCAGACATATACTCGCTGTGTAGGGAAATGCAAGTAAAAAAAACTTTAAAACTTAAAACAGTACATTAAGAAAACATGTAACAACCGTCAGTCAGCACATCCTAAAAACCACAGTGCACAGTATGACAAGAGATTAAAAATAAAAACCGCTGAATCAGTAAGAAAAAATAATTCAACAAAGTAAAGCATACAAAAATGAAAGCTCAGTTGTGTACAGTGCTTATTGCTAGTTCCTTAGAGACAAATGTAGAAATGAGTTTGTGCCCACTGGAACAGTGGAAATATATCCCCAGATCTGACCCTTCATGTGAAGGAGAACTCCCTTCATTGTGTGCAGGCTCTCCCTCAGACTGCTGCATGGAAAAGTAGATCTAATCTAAGGCTTCCTGCCAATCACCTTCAATGTATTTCATTACGCAAATCTGACTTATGAAATATTTGACAGCTTCTACACTTCAGAGCAGCATATGTATAAAATGCTTTCCAACAAGATTTGTAATTGATTCTTGAAACCAACCAAAAACAGGATAAAGACGTGATGCTACACATGTCAAATTAAAATAATTTGCAACAAATTGACCACAGAGAAGAAAGTTATCGTTTGTTTTTGAACACATAGCCAACATACATGTATGAGATGTACAGCCAGTCGTATGTGCTTCTGGTTGTCTTCATGTTGAATACTTATTACACACACGTAGAGAACTCTGATGTGTGTGCTGCCTCACGTGTCTGCATTGTTGTCTGTGTTGCAGCGTGTGGGTCACGGTGATGAAAACCATGCTAACTCAGAGCGCTCGCCTCTCTTCGTCCAGTTCATTGATTGTGTTTGGCAGATGACTCGCCAGGTCAGTCTCCACTCTGCTGAACCAGGACATGTCAGAACCAGGCCTGAGTATAGGAGTCTTTACTCATTTTCATGAAGCAGCATGCTAAAAGTATACATGTATATGCTCAGCCAATCAGGTTTAGCCTTTTCATGTGGACGTGGGCTCAATTGTGGACACTTAGAAGCTGCCACTCTGCACTCATAATCACTTCTGTTCTTCTGACTACAGTTCCCAGCTGCCTTTGAGTTCAATGAGCTGTTCCTGATCACAGTGCTGGACCACCTCTACAGCTGTCTGTTTGGTACATTCCTCTACAACAGTGAACAGGAGAGGGCAGCAGAGGTACGTACCGTTCTGTTAACAAGGGTAGCGACTCTGTAAGAGCCATGTCAGATGAATCTCTTCTCCTGTCCTGTGTAGGACGTGCAGACCAAAGCTGTGTCCCTGTGGTCCTACATCAACAGGTAAGATACTTCCCACGTTGAAGTTATAGTGAGTGGAGTGAATGACTGGAGTGACTCTCTGACTGTTCAGTGTTGTCCCCTCCCAGCCAGCCTGAGGACTTCACCAACCCCTTCTATGTGGACTATGAGCACCATGTTCTGTATCCGCTGGTTTCCTCCAGACATCTGGAGCTGTGGAGCAGCTACTACGCCCGCTGGAACCCACGCATGAGACCACAGGTACCCTGCCTCTGTGGTTGGTGATGGAGGATGGGTTTTCCTCTTTGAAGCAGGGATGTAGAGGTTTGGTGGAGTTAGTCTTAACAGCTAGCTCAGTCTGAAGAGGAGAAGAACCAGCCTCTCGATTTACAGCAGCAACAGCTAACTGACAAAAAAAAGGGAAGTGATCAACTAGCCAGCCAGCTGACTTCCTGCCGGCAACAGGAAGTCCGTTTAATCAGTGAAACATTAAAACAGCAACCACAGAAAGAAACAGGCTGAGCAGTAAGTATGTCACAATTCAGTGTAGGGCTGTCCCCGTCGATTCATGTGTGTTTGTGCGCGCCGATTGCGAGGAACCGCAGGTCTATTTGAAGTAACTTTATTAAAAACGATATAATATTCTTTGTTTGGTTCATCAACGGTGATAAATGATCTGAACGTCCCGCGAGGTGCGGACAACTGGAAACAACTCTGTGAAGCTCTGTCTCTTCAGCAAGTGTTCCTCTTCTGCCACTACACACACACACAGAGACGCTACGCCCACACGTGCTCACATGAATTGTAACCCTAACCTAATTGTGGATTTATTTACGCATTTTAAAAACATTTATTAAAAGTTTTTTGTGACAGTAGTGTTACCGCTTCACTTCCACAGACATTTGGTCGTAACTTAAGGCACTGTGTTCTCCTGAGAGCTCATCAGAAAGTATTGTGGCCACGGCCATTGCATCATAACATGATTACTTTCATTATTGTGATGTTATTGTTATTGTTATTACAACTTTAGTCACATCTTTGTATCAGAAGGAAAAACCGTTTTACTCATTTACTCAAATCAGGATATTTTTTGTGAAATGAAACTTTCACGCATGATATTGAATTTTAACTCATAATATTACAGTTTTATTTATGTTATAATATTATGTCTTCTCTTTGACTGGTGACTTTAATCTCATGATAAGCTTAGACTCTGTAAAGTCTATGATATTACAAACCTTTTTCTCAAAAAAATTAAATTTTATTATTATTTTTAATGACAACTGCAACTAACGGTTATTTTAATCATTCATTAATCTGCAGTTTATTTTAGCAATTAATCATTTCATTCATAAAATGTCAGAAAATAGTCAAAAAGTCCACCCCAGTTTCCAAGGCGACGTCATCTGACCACCAGTCGGAAACCCACATCTATTCAGTTTACTGTCATGTGATCACGTCAGATATTTCCATTTGAAATGCTGGAAACATTCTGAACATTCTGGCACGTGTCGGTTGTTTCACCTCGAAACTTAAGGACAAGAATAAGAGGAGAGCTTTAGTCACTGACGCCGGGACTGTGTGATGTGTTTCAGGTGCCGGTGCACCAGACACTGAAGGAGTTGCTGATCCTCAGAGAGGAGCTCCAGAGGAGGGTGGAGGAGCTGCAGAGAGAGGCCTCCTCTCACTCCCTGTCCTCCTCCACTGAACACTCCCCCTCACACAAAACAGGAACTCCACTGCACACTGTGGTCTGACACACACACACACACACACACACACACACACACACACACACACACACACACACACAGTTCAATCCATGTTTTAGCCTAGGTATAAGTACTGAAGATGAGAGTGTTTACAGTGTGAGGGAGGCTTTACAGATACATTCCTAAACACAAACATCTCTATGTATGTTTTTAGCAAAGTGAACCGATCTCCTTCAGGTGTCTGTGAAGTGAAACAAAGTATTTAAAGAGAGTATTAAAAACTAGCTTGTTACCTAATTCAGTGGTTCTCTAACTTTTTCTGCCATTTCCCCCCCCCCACCACACATAAACAGATCATTAACAATAGTGGAGCAACAAATCAAAAAGATGATGGATTCAATAAATGAAAGGATTCAGGTCAGCACTATAGCCTCAGCCAACTCATAAATAAATCTTACATGTTCATTCAACTTAGTTGCGCTCCATATTTTTGTTCTGGTTGTCCAAGTCCCCCTAGTAGTGGTTCTGTGTTGTCCCGGGGGGGCCAACACCCCAGTTTGAGAACCATTGAGCTAATAGAACCTTCCTATGCTTATTATTTATATTATTTAAAAATTCAGAAATGCCAGCTCACCCTGTACTATGGGAATCTTCTGATCCCCTTCAGACTTGATTCTCAGTTCAGTAAAGTGTTTTTATTTTTGTATGAAGAATTTCTACTCTTTGTCTCAGGGCTCTGTTAGTCACATGAGTGCAGGAGGTGGCCAGTAACATATTCCAAATGACTGCAGTTAGCTGGAGTGCTGAACTAAAGTCACTGCATGATCCCTCACACTTTCCCTGTCTCACACTGTCTGAGTGATCCCAGCTCCGTCACTGAGAGACGGCTGTGTTTCCCCTCTTCATTACCTGCACACTGCTTTATTGTACATGTTTTTTGTTTCTTTTACGTTGTGTATGTGCCAACCATGTCCCAGGTCCCACATCCCCAAAGTGTGCTTTTCTGTTCTTCTCTCATTGCCAACCACTTTGTCCTTTACTGCATAAAATCACTTGAATTCCTACTCAGTGTTTCTCACAAGTGAAGTAAAGGTCTGTGTATGTCGAGCTCTTCTGAAACTATAAACTGTGTGGATTCACTGACTGAAAGAAGCACATTTTGGTACATTTAAAGCCATGTTCAAACATCAGAGTGTGCTGTGTGATTTAGATTTTTAGAACAGCCAAGATTTTCCAGCCCAAACCTTCAAAAATGCAGCTGAACTACATTCAGAAGAAATCACTGTCAGATACTCTGTCATTATGTCCAAAACATACCTGTTTTGAAGATAATCCACTGACCCCTAATAGATAACTGTTCCATTGGTGTGTTTCTGATGAGTAGCAGGCACCTCAGCCTCTGGCTGAATGTGAAGTATACCAGTACAACCATTTACTGACGGAGGTTTTGACTTCTTAAGTTTCCTTTCTTTACGAGTGTGGAGATGAGTGATGACCACGACAGAGCCGCTGTGGTTCTGTGTTGGTTCCTCTCATGTCTAAGGTGCTTTATGAGAGGTTTTTGGCAGGTTTCACTGCATACCTAGAAGAAACTGCAGTGAAAAAGTGCTTTCTGTTACAGTAGTGCCGTGCCAGCCGATCATGAAAACTATCACATGACCAGCCAATAATATGAGTGCTAATCATGGTTCCAACTGTCCTCATGTTGCCTTAATTTCAGAGTGCGGTTATTTACAGTAACTAACAGGTGAGCTAAACAGATCAATCCTCTGTGTTCCAAGAACCAAATTAGCTGGATGGGAATGAACAGGATAACTTTAGCTGGCTAACATCATGCCTGGATTAGTTAAACCACACAAGAGCAGGACACACATCAGTTTAACCCTCTCACACCGGTCTTATTTTTTGTATTGTACAGTGTTTTGACATCCCATTATTCTAATGTAATATAACCTATAAATCACACTGTCTACCTGTGGCATGGGATCATGTGAATCGTGTCTTTTGACAATGTAATTAATGTGTCTGTCAATTTCCATTTTAAAAATAAATAAATAAAATTCAAAAGTCTGGTCTCTTGTCTTTTGACATGGTTTCTTTTATTGGTTCATATTAGTAACAAGTAACTGTAACATATTGCCATAGAGTTATAGTGGAATAAGAGAGAAAGCAGAGTTCACTATTACACTTAAAGCAAAGAAGACTGTCCAACAGAGTGGTCAGAAAGACACAGTGTTTAACACTCTTAAGTAAGGAGAGAAAAGCATGCATCAAAGTGTGAGCGCGTGTGTGCGGTACATGACAGGTAGCCTTGCAAAGCCAGCTCTCAAATATCAAATGATAAATAGCTTTTCTGGGCCCTCGTTTGGCCCCTCCAAATCATGGAATCTGTTTTTGAATCAAAACGTGTGGTTGCAGGATTTTGGCTGGCTTTGCAGGACACGGCGACAGGCACTAGAGTGTACTGAAGGGAGAGGACAGGCAGAGTGGCAGCATGTACAGAGAGGGCAGGGTCATGTGACTGCGCTACAAGACCTCAGGCACAGCGGTCATATAAGACCGTGCAGTTACCATACAGTGTTTGGAGAGCAGGGAGACACTACAGAGCTAACCGTTTATACAAGGTAGATTTATTTGTTTAACAGGTTGTAAAGTGAAATTGAGTTTTTAACTCCCTTCTGCTACGTAGCAGACAATATTCAGTAATATAAAACAAATTTAATTAATTAATTAGATTTTAAAAGTCTGATAGCTTGGGGGATTTTTTTTTATTGTGTGAGTGGTCTGCATCAGCCAGTGAGCTGCTCGTTAGGACAGCCTTGATTCTTTCACTTTGTAAAACTCCCCCCTCTCCATATCTATATGGTCCCTGAATCACTGCTGCATCTTTGGGCCTTTTTGCTCTGGTATTGCATACACCTTCCAACCGTCCCCCCAACGCAGTCTAATGGTATGACCCATCACCACAACAGACTGCATCTCAAGCCCTACGAGAACACCCAATCAATCTCCAGCTATTTACAATGGGTGGACACAGTGTCACACACCTGTACAGTCTGGTATAGAACAACACAAACTACCACCTCACAAATTAAACAAACACATCACAAAGGTGGTGTTTGGAGCAGGGTGTGAGTCCCACCGTATTTTCTGTACAGTCTGGTCACCAGCTCCAAACTGCAGAATGGCACGTGTTCCAGGATAACTGTCCACACTGAATGTTAAAGCACCGCAGTGCCAATAATAACACACTGTGTATCGTAGTCAGCATTGTAAAGGCAATTCAACATGATTGGATATCAGGTGCATCCGTTCTGTCTTTTCATAGACATAAAAACATTCTCACTACTTACTCTAATCCATCAAGTCCTCATCTAACCGTCAAATGTTGCACTTCACACAGACATCCTATTCCTTCATGATTATTTCAAAAACACATAATTTGATTCCCAGCACATAAAGGCAAAGTCAATCTCAATCAATTCTTCATCTTTGGTGAATTTGTCTTTTTGCTACAAGCCAAAGGTTTTTGCTAGATGTTCAGTACATTCAGTAATACGTTACATACAGAAAGGTTTGTTGTTTTGTGTTTGCTTTGTGTGAATTAAGCTTTCAGCAGCCTGAACATGATGAAACACCCACACCTTTCTGTCCTCTGGGTACTGTAGCCATGCCCCCCTCCCATTGCACCAAGGTAACCACCCAAAGGAGCTGAAAGCCGTGGCTGTTGCTCTTGCTCAGGTGCAGCTATGGGGTGTTAGATGAGTACTGTGGCGCGTCCCTGTGGGACTGTGCAGGGTATAAGGCAAAGAGAGAAGCACCATTTGAATTACAGCTGATAAAACACAGAGGTTATCCATGCGTGACTCATACAAGGTGAGCAGATCAATGAAACAGTCCGTTACTCCAGCCACTCATAGCCCCTGAACACCACTCAAGTTTAAAAAAGCAGTTCAAAACAATGTTGGACTGCTATAAGAAAATGTAAAGCCCACTAAAAAACAGACATTCCTTTGGCTTCACTTTCTCTACGTGTTCTCTTCTGTGACACCCTGGGTCACCAGTCACATGACGATGTTTCGCTATCAACATCTGTCAAGGCCTGGTTGCACAAGGATCTGTCAGGCTGTTTTCTACCGACATCAATGGAGCTAAACTGCTTTACAGTGAATGTGTCCTGTTTAAGACTGCTGTGTCTAGCTCTGACTTGACTGATGGGCACACTCTGTCTCATTTATTTGGCATAGACAAGAGCTTTGCACAACCAGCCTCTGAGCCCAGTGTTCTATTAAGATTCAATAGACTGACTAGCAGCTGGACTGTTTTTAGAGAGGGACAGTGCTGCATCCTGTTGGACACATAACACTCATTTTATAGGCCACCAACCTATACAAGACCTACTCCCTCAGTTTCTGAAATGACACAATCCGACAAGGGAGTTTAAACTCATTCAGGCTAAGAGCCAAAATCCTTCACGCATTCCCCTCTGTAAATACAGACTATTCTAGTCTAGTCAGACACTGCTCGGGTCGTTAACCATGCAAAATGGCAGTTGGTTTACCAATCATTGCTTATGCCACATTCATGTTTACTTCCACTGGCTTTGTTCTTAACATGCGTGGCTCACTAGCTCAAATGACATAATTAGGAGATTTAAAGAAGTACAGAGAGTGTCAAGACCAGCTCAGGGCCCAAGTCATAACTGTGACCGGGAAACTCACCGCCACCCACTGGGAAGCACTTGCCTCACGTCAGCCAAAGTCCGTCATTCAAGGTAAACAGACAAATCCAATGGATTGAGTGCTACATGCTCATGCTACATGTATTTATTAAGCCTCACACAACCAACTGTAATCATAAAGTGTCTGATAAAGTGAACATTCTCAAGTTGTAAATCTTTCCCATTGCTACCTTCCATCACATGATGTGACCGTGGCAATGTTCACTGTTTTATGTGACATGGTGGAATAATTTCTAATAAGTCCACTGCATAGGGTTCAATAAGTCTCACTGGAGATTGTGAGCAGTGCTATAAACAGACAGATAGACTACATGTCAGACGGTATAGACAGCAGTGACTGATTTCCCAGGTCGTCAAAACACGAGCTTTCTCGCTCAGGAACATACGAGAGTCAGAAGTCTTTAGGAAAACAACAAACCACTGGCAGTACACAACAAGCTCACTCACCATGAAGCACTAACTACCTACAAAAAGTTAAGCTAAGTTATTAGGAAAAGTCAAGTCCGGTACAAAGTGTAAAAAGGGTAAGCGAAGAGTCTAAACACACACACACACACACGCTAAAGAGTATAGGTTAATATGGCGCATAGTTATGCTCTCTGCTAACAGTAGAAACACAGAACTGCTCACAGTAATATGTACAACCATCACAGCTGTCCACAAGCACTCGTTATGACACTACTCAAGATCCTAAAGCTAACTACTGCTGCTAACTTCATCTACAGCTACGACTGAGTTCTACTAGTTTTCTTAACCAGTCTTTGTGGCGGTGGCAACCGATTCAAACTCCTCCCTGACTTCACACATCTTTTACAAACACCTCACATCCTCTCTTTTAAATCTTTCCTATTGGTGCCCATTTTAAAGTCTACTTAAGGCCGAGCCTCGGGGACCAGAACATCACAGAAACAACTTTCAGGCCTCTGTACACTTCAGAAATAGGACTTCAGGGAGGGGTTGGCTGCCTAACCTTCCTCGAAACAATCTGCTGATCACGCCCATTTTATGCATTGATGCAGCCAATAGGAAACTATACCGTCAGCCTTCCACCCCTTCAAAGCCTCCCAGTGTTCCTGATCAGAGGTTTGTTTCATACCTCATACTAACTAGTTAGTTTGAAGCATACTGAGAAAGTAGCTGTAATGAACTGGGGAAACTTTGGATGATTTCACAGATTCTCAATCAAATATTTCAGAAATAAACTGATTTTACTGATGAATTTTAAATGTCTGAGTACGTTTTTAAATTCAATACTATTATCATTGAATTGTTAGTATCTCGTGCGTGCAGGTTACGCTGGAGGCGGTAACGTATAAAGAAATGTAGCAAAATGTAAACAGCTCGACGGCTTTGTAAATCATTCATCGTGTTTGTTAGACCTCACTATTCCACAGGATACCTTAAAGTCGCATGTCACACATTTTCTGGCTCTACACGAGTCTGCTTTTTCCAGAACAACAGAGGTTTCAACTTTTCCAAACCATTGAATAATTGCCTTTTAAATTACCGGAGAAAGAGAAAAGAAAGAAGAAGAAGTACACGCTGTGCATGTTTGAGCTCTAACTGCAGTGGAACTGATTTAGCTAGCAGTTTTAGTGTGAAGTTCCATATTGTGTCGCTACGTTGAACTTCACGAACTCTTAGCATTACAGGGCTGAATGTTGCTCTAGCTTTTCCTTTTAACTTCATTTGTTTTTCTTCTTTAACATTTGGGCGTTTCTTTGACAGCTGCTCAGTCGTTTACAAAGAGCTTCACTGACAGCCGCTCTCGTTACAATCATTTCACCATCACCACCAGGTTTCCTTCATTAGGCATTGTCATTAAAGGCTAATGAAAAAACTGATTCTACTTTTTTCGCTTTTTTGTTTTTTAAATATTAGGCTATTTACATTATAAAAAGTCACAGGTTGAAAGTACACAGAAATGTTTAGGTGCCTTATTTTTCCCCTCTGCAAAAAGATCCCAATCTGAATAAGGCAACTTTGTACATTAAGATAGACAACATGACGAGGGTGGAAACGGAGCAGGACGTAGCAACTAATGATGTAACTGTCACATGATGTAAACAGTAGTTAACTAGAGTAACTCCAGTTCTATGAAAATGTGCCACGCCCAACGAGGGACTTCATTAGCTAACAGTGGAGCTTACTAAAAGTCAATGCATGCTCCAAGTTGGTCATTATGTAATTAAACCTGTTGGACAAATACCCGTGATTATGAAATCATAAATAGCATTATTATAATTATGAATGATTATAACACCATATTGATATTTTAGTAAATTGAAACGTAATCACATTTTGTAGGAATAAGAGAAATTCATAGTCAGTCAACATCATCATTACATGATGTAACTTCAGTTAGTACAGTTACATCTGACCATTTACATATTGTATCACATCTCAACATTTGACATGTCCTTACATAATTAGCTGCTACAAGGCTTCACATCTGAAGAGCAAAGACAGACCTCCAAATCATGGATTCTGTAAAGTGTTGTTCCAGTTTATCTATGACTTGCGACAAATAATTAGTTATGGGTCAGAGGGGGAAACTGAGAGCTACTGTAATCAACTCAATGTCAAGAAATTTGATATTGCTGATTACAATTAACAACTTTCATTCATCTAAAAAAAATTAAAAAAACACTGTCCATGTCTCACAGGGCTCCCTGCTTCATTTGGAGTTCAGCTGCCTAAAAATTTCCCCAAATGCTCTTTAGGCTGTGCAGCAAGAGCATCTTCAATGGAATCACGCTGCAAGCCACTGACTCAAAGTTCAGTCAGTCCAGTTCACTGATCAGTGACTGACTCCCTGTGAACTCAAAGCAGCTCGACACCGACCCATAGATGCCCAGAGGAGTTTCTTTCTCCAACATATCATTTCTGTTGTTTTATCCCAGTCATCCAGCTTCACTGTGTTCCTGGAGCTCTGCAAACTGCTACAACTGAAGCCAAAGCTCACAGCAGAGAAATCACAGAATACTTGCTGAAGGCTGGATAACTGGAAACCAACATTGTTAGTGGTGTTTAAACAGTAAACAATAAATAACTATATACACATACATTTGGCAAGGTTGGATACACGGTTGGCCATGTTTACAGCAGACAATAAAAACAAATATCCGTGTTCACATTCAGCGTAGAAGGGGTACAAATCCCAACTTCTGCAGCAGAGAGCTCCAGGGTCAACATGGACATGCTACACAATAGATAGTATATCCTATAGCATTGCTGTGTGTGTGTGTGTGTGTGTGTGTGTGTGTGTGTGTGTGTGTGTGTTGTGTGTGTGTGCGCGTGCACAGGGGGGGTTAGGTGGGGGTGAAAAGAATGCATGTAGGTGGGGACCTTTGTGTGTTTGTTACACAGCATTCTCTTCAGTGGGGGGTTCAGCATTGGGTGGCTCCAGGAGAGTCTGCTGGACTGCAAACAGAAAAACCAAACAGACTTTGGTTTATGAAGAGACCATCTCTATCAGCTCTTACAAATTACACCAGACATTAGACTGTATCTGCAGGTAGTACGGGATAAGTAACTTAATAAGTAACTGCACTCTCTATTTATTAGTCTCTGTAACTTCCACTGTACATTTCCAGCTAAACTGAGGCTTACTGTTGACCATTCTCTCTCTCTCTCTCTCTCTCTCTCTCTCTCTCTCTCTCTCGCCTGCCATTCATCTGTCTTGTGCAGAATTTTGCGTGCATGGCATGCGGCTGCCAGCTGCATGCACATCACGGTTCCTTGTAGGCCTATTTCAAGTAACTAAATAATATTCTTTGTGTGGTTCATCAACTGTGATAAATGATGCAAACGTCTCGCGAGGTGCGGACAACTTGCCACAACACCGGTGAAGCTGGGGCTCTGTCTCTTCAGCAAGTGTTTCTCTTCTGCCACTTCACACACACACGCTACGCCCACACATGAGCACTGAAGCCCATTCTTTAATGCTGCTTTCAGACCAAAAGCGAAGCGAGCGTTCAGGGCGGTGAGTTTACAAACAGAGTCGATGCAAAGATGCATAGAGTCGCGATTTCCTGTCGGGCGGCACGAAGGAATTCGCGTGATAGCCTATCAGCGTTGAGATTGTCCGTTCTTCACTGAGGCTTCACAGCGATGGATGGAGAGATTTAGCCATCTAGCCTACAAACTGACATTAGCAGTGCAATCTTTCCCACCAAATATTGGTTTTCATTGGACAAGCTAGGTCCAGGACCGTCTGCTCTGCCTGTGATAAAATACTGACGTTACTGCTTTATTGAAGTAGGTCTCTGGGCTTTTCTTTTACTGCATTTATAGGACCTTCTTGAAAATGAGATGAAGCATCTCAGGAGGCTATCCTTTAATAATAATAATTTCTCCTTCTCTCTCTCCAGCCACTGGAGTTATCAAGTGACGACACAGTTAAAAGGACACCTTTGTTGTATTTTCTAGAAAAATATATTGTTTTATATTTGGGCTTCTATAGTAATCGATATGTATATTCATATAGTAATGGAGATTGGAACAGAGCGTTAGTAGTAGATGTGAGTAGAGTGCAGTAGGGATGTGTTTACCTTGTGGTTCTGTAGCCACCACAGCCTCAGGGTTCTCAGCCTTCACCATGTCAGTATTCAGGCTCTCTGCCACAAAGCAACAACACAGTTAGTGAGCATCAACAAATACAATTCCAGTGGTACTGCTGCTGTTAGTACTGCTACTACTGTTACTAACTGCAACTGAATCTACTGCCTCTAACAATGCTTTTTATACTAAGACTACAACTGATGAGCAGGTGTTATCTCCAGACTGGGTTTGCATCAGCTATTCATAAATAAATTAAGTCTCAGGGAGAGAGAATTCAGCCTGTCTGCCTCGTTTTTAATGGACCGGTTTTCTCCAAAATACCAGCCCTTAACAGTGTGAACATAAAGTCCTTCCTAAGTTCTTAGTCACTAGCAGCGAGAGTAAGTAGTATTCATACAGTATCGTTTATAATGAGTAGAAAAAGTCAAAGAATGCTAACCTAACATTTTTCACTCATTCTAATTAAATGTTATCAGCATAACATTTTGTAATTGGAGGTATGAGTTAATATTTCCATTATTAAACAGCATTTGGCAAGTTTAAGGTCAGATGGGGTGGTGATGGCACATAGATAAGATGTTGCCTTTGGTGTGGGAGACCTGGGTTCAATCCATCATTGTGTCCCTGAGCAAGACACTTAACCCCTAGTTGCTCCAATGTATAGCAATTGTAAGTCGCTTTGGATAAAAGCATCAGCTAAATAAATAAATGTAAATATATCGACAGTACTTTGTATTACCTCTTTTACTCTTCACTCTAAATCGGTCAGAAACTATAACAACACTTCTTACTCTGAAACACACATATTTCTCTGTGTGCATGAAGAAATCAAACAAAGTCATACCTACATTTGGTAAACACTATGTTTAATTTATCACTTGGTCCCTCAATGTATTAAGAAGTGACTTCCTGTTTACACAGTTGCTTTTGATTGTCCTTACTCGTTCAAACATCCTTTAACTCTGCATGAAATGTAAAGCATTTTGATTCTTTGGCCACTTTAGTGCAACAGAACTAGCTGTAAACTCAACAGTGACAGATTATCATGTTTGTGTCTACCTGATGAATGTAAGTCCAATAGTCCCTCTATTAGCTTTAGTTTGGTCTCCACCAATTCCTGCTAAATGCTCCACTGTGTTCACCAGCTAGTTTCTGACTGTGCTGAGCAGGTAGTGGACAGGTAAGTGAGAGTGCTGTGAGACTGAACCAAAACAGTAAAGTTGTTGCTCGTAAAACCAAAACATTGAGCTGAAAGAAGGCAAGAAGCTCAGTAGAGCTGAGGGGAAGTGCAGAGTAGAGTGGCTGACAACTCATTACAGTATATAATTTGAAAACCTTACGTTGTATACCGAAGCACAGCTTCTTCTTCTGGTAGGAGATGTAGCTGCTGACTGCACCCACCAGCGCCATCGCAACCGCACTAACTATCCCTGCAATAGTGCCCACTTCTGCTGTGGTCTCTGGAAACACACACACACACACACACACACACACACACACACACACACACACATTAAGTTCAGGCAGCCAAACATACATTTATGAATAAAAACTAGAGAGAGAGAAAACCCACCATTGTTGTCATCATACTGGTTAATCTGATCACTGCCACCACTTGGATGTCCGCCTGTTCAAACACAGTTCAAACATGAATATCTGGCCTGTTTTTCTGTTCTGTGCAGTGTTGGTGTCTTCTATAACGACAGGCTTAAATATTCTGTAGCTCCAGAGGTGTACATGGACTTTTTATTAAAAAGTGCAGACATTACCTTTGCCTTTGTCGGGTTTGTAGGTATCATCTTTACTAACGTCAATCAGATCACTGTCAGAAAATCCACCTGAAAGAGGAGATATCACCACACTGAGGATGATGAAAGTTATTGAATGATAATCTATAAACTAAAGAAAGCTCATGGGGTTGTTAAAGTGATGTGGTGTATGTGATGCAGAAGATGGTCTCATTCATCATGTGTACCAAACATCCATTTGGTTTCTTGTAGGGCTGAACGTGCCGCTCTGAAGTGTTTCATTACAGGTTGTAGCCCAGAGTCCCTTCCACCCCCTGGAACCTTATTCAGGAAAAATGATGTACGATACTAGCCGGAATCTCCAGGTCAGAAAAATGAGGCGAGACATTACAATTTTTTTATCTTGTTTGAACTGTACCCTGAGTAACACATATGATGTTTGTGGATTTAAAATATTATGTTGTAAGTAAAAACAGATGATAGCTAACGTAGACCGCTTGCTTACTACTAGCTAGGTAACTAGCATTAAGTACATGTACATTAAGTGTACTTCTCTGTTTATTCTCTTTTCAAATTAATTGTAACTCAATTATTTGCTCAACCCCTCAGCCTGTTTTTATTTTCCATTTAACTCTTTTAACCCTGATTGTACACTGCACTGTAACTTTGATTATTTTTTTAATGTGTATTTTTTCAATTTTCCTATGCTGCTTTTAAACTTTTTTATATTTCCCTGTTGCTTTTATGTTTTGTGTAAAGCACTTTGAATTACCTTGTTGTTGAAATGTGCTATACAAATAAACTTGCCTTGCCTTACACAAATGTGTCTCACCTGATGCACAATTCAAACGGAAGCAAAAGGTTGTTGTCTCTCACCGTTGACTAAAGGACATATTTTTTCTGAAATAAGGTCCCATGGTGGTCCACCAGAAGGAGGGGCTTAGGCTCTCTATGTCACTCATCAGGACTTCCATGGGAAATTACTGAATTAATTACTACATTGTACATGCATAAAATATTAACTGAGAATGAAATAAGGAAAATGTTTAAATGCATATGGGGATGGACGAAAGCTATATTTTGCTCTTCAGCAGTGAAACTCAAAGAAAATGAATGCAAAAGTAACATGTGAAGCAGAGGAAAGGGTTCCTGTTAGGCTATACGTATAGATTTTATATTATCATACTTTTATTGTATGTAGTGACTGAAGCTGCAAAAAGAATATTATATTATTCTTTTTTTAAATTTTTTTTTTAATATTATGTTGATAGTGTCCTAAATAATGTTCCATAGATCTATTAGTCCTGTACTTCAGTGTGTGTGTGTGTCGGGTAGGGCTGTACATAACGATTATTTTTCAAATCGATTAATCTAACAACTAATTTTGTGTATTCTAAAGAAAAAATATGTTGCCTATTATGTGATTACTGTGCCAATTTATCCAAAACATCTATCAAATACATGTCTAATCAATAAATCAATATTTTATTCCATCATCCTGATGAAGCACATTAGAATAATGACTATAGTAGCATATCTTAAAATGCATCAAATTTCCATGTCACCGATGTGTTGTGATAATAACAATAACAGACATTAATTGGGCTACTTTACTTAAAACATGGATTTATATCAATATTGAGTAATGCAGTATGATAATCACATGTCTTTCTGCATCAGTGTGGGGCAAAGAAAACAGCTGAAACGATTCACAGACTGTGCAGACAGTCACAGATTGTCTGTAATTTTCTCGCTCAGACGTGGCCGTTAATTAAAGCAGAAATTATGAAACAGCCGAACATTAGATGACACGCGGTGTAATGTTACGCTACTGTGACAGCAGCGGGCCAGAAATTACTTTTAACTAGGTCTGGGCATGTTAACGCTTTAATTAATTAATGCCAATAATTATTTTATCGCATGTTAACGCAGTTTTTATCATGTTGAAAGTCCGAAGGTCAGTGAAAAGCAGTGCAGGGAGGCGTCGGCAGAATACTTGCAGCGTGTGGGAGAAGTAGATAAACAAAAGCAAGACAAGCGATCAAATGCCACAGTGAAGTGGAGAGCGACTGCATGCTGGTTAGTACTGGGGAAGATGTCGATCTTAGGAACGTTCTTCAAATCACAGCGAAGTCGCTTGGCCCCGCAGGGTTGCTCTTTGCTCCCCAGGTAAACGGGAGACAGCACTCTGCGAGTAAACGGCAGGCGGTCTATGGATAGTAACCATAGCAACAGCTTCTGTGCGCTACACAGCTGTAGCCTGTGCAACTTAAGTTAAAATTATAGGCTACATAACTTTACCTGATTGGCCTTCATCTAGTTTTGCGGGGATGCTCTGCCGTGTGAATTCCCTCCTGTTGATGTCTAATTTAGTAAACAATAATAGATTCTGGAAACTCACAAACAGCGTGGATCAGTCTCTTCCAATGATCTGTGCTGCGCGTCGCCTACAAAAAGCCTCACCTCACCCTGACAGGGACACTTGAACACAGGCTCTTTATGCTGCTCCCTGATAAAAGAAAAACGTTTCTGCTTATACCTGTTCAGAAAACTTTTTTCTAACAAGCTAGATAAAAGGTCATTCCCTGGCAGTGGAAGATAGCTTTGGTTTAATATTTGATTTGATTACATTAATGTTTAAGTTGAGATTTACAAGAAATATTTTATTGCTACTGTGTAAAGGGAATACTGCTGGGAAAAAGCACCTTATTTGTTTAAAGTGTTTGCAAACCACGTTATTGCACTTTTGTGTATATAGCAGTACATTTACATTAAAAGTGTGCAATACACTACTTTAGAATTCATTATTCAAGTTTTAAACTATTTAAATCGTTTGCCCAGCACTACTTTTAACATGATGGCGATGAAGAAAATACATTTTAACGGACTACGTGTGCTGATAATGTGCTGTGCTCGTGTGGAGACACAGGATTTGCGGTGCTGCCGTCAGCGCTCCGGGATCCTTTCGCTTCACGTGTTCGTGGACAGCAGTTCTACTGCAGTGAAGCTATTTACAGTTCACAGATCAGACGGAGCAGCACGTGTTTGAGTTTATGTCTAAAATACTTCCAAACTTTAGACGGTCGAAGGCGCTGTCTTGTAGCTGGAAACTGTCACTAACAATGGATGCGGCGATGCTTCTACGTATTTACGTAATCGATTACGTTGACTAAGCCGACGAATCGTCCCAGCCCTAGTGTCGGGTACCAAAACTCAAGTCACACTGGCACCAGTACCAAACAACAGTACCATACTGTACGTCACTGAAATCTTACCTAACCTGACTTATTATCTCTTAAAAATCCCTTGTGTAGAACTTTAGAACATTAAGCTGTTGAGGTGTCATGAGTTATTGGTGGGGCTATCAGCATATATTGCTGTTTACAACTGTGTCTTTTTGTCAATACATCCAATTCTGAAATGTTCATATTCTAAAGATATTGACTTTAATTCCACATGAAATCATTGTTAAGTCATTTATTTCATAAATAATGATGATTTTAAAGTGAAGTTAAACAAATAGCTACAAATACTAATCTTCTGGGAGACACGTCAACCCACCTCCCTGCCCATGGTTCTTATCCCGGCCACCAATGTCATTTTTGGGGTCCAAGGCATCAGCAAGGTCAAAGTCATCACCAGCTGTAGAGGTCAAAAGGTCAGGGATGTTGTTGCAAAATAAAGGCAAATGCAGGATGTTAAAAAAACATTACTGTAAACTGAGAAGTCAATAACCAGGGGGAAAACCAAACCAAAATCAAACTGACCTGCCTGCTAAACGCTCACGCTGACCTTTCTTTTAGAAAGGACTATACAGTGAAATGTTTTGGCTCCTGTGTAGATTTGTCTCTAGCTGTATTGAACTGGACATCTGTGACCACATATACTTTGTATTTTATAGATCATCAGCCTGTTGTACCAGCTGAGCATAAACATGACTGAAGGTTCTGGTGTAAAGTCAACACTGTAACTAGTTTATAGTATTTATATAAAGCAGGGAAATAAAGGCATGCTGCTGATATAAGTCTGCTTCTAATACAGGTGCTCTCTGCAGCTGAGGTACAGGCCTCAGGAGGAAAGTTGGCTATAAACACAGAGGAGGGTGCGTTCTCTCACCAGGCTTGGGTTTGGGCTTGACTGGCGTCTTGGTACCTGTGGGGACTTTAGGCACAACCTTGGGTGGAGCTTTGGTGGTAGTGGTGATGATGCCATCCTCCAAATCAAGCTCTGCAGAGAACATTGACAACACTGACTGTATCTGCTGTATCTGAGTACGGTATAGAGCCAGGAGCCATGTTTCCATCTAATTGTCATGCACATTTTAAGCGGATTTTCGAAATGTTGCAAAAAAAACAACAAAAGTCAATGCGAAATATGTGCATTTCCATCATCTGGTTTGGAGCGAATAAACCAGGCTACGGTAAGTGTAGTTACGTCACGTCAGTAGGCTGTAATAAACAAGACCTATGGGTTCCAAACCAGAAACAAAACCAGTCGCATGAACCTGATGGCCATTGATCTTAGAAAAATGGAGAGAGGTCCTCAGGAATGTGCTTCAAGCGGGCAAACTGCTACCAGCCATGTCTCCGCGTCTGCGCAGCTGGTGTTGTTTCATATTATCCAATTGTATAGAATACAGTGTTGTAGTAATTCTATTCACATTTTACGGTCAGTTTGCATAATTAGAGAAACTGTTGTCACTTATAATCATCTTTAGTTCAAAGTGTTTGCTGTGACCAGGAGAAAGATGCCTGGTGATCTAACTGGTGATTAGGTCCCCTGATCCAGAGTTATCCAGATGTCTGATCACCATGGCCAAGTCTTATCTGAGCTGGAACTTCCCCAAAACACTGGAGTCGGATGATTGCCCACTAGACACTTTTCAGAGGACTGCTGACTCCACTAAAAGTTGTCCATTTCTCTACTTGCACAACATAGTGTGATGTACAGTATATCCGTTTTACGAACTGCGTGTCTGCTTCCTGTCAGCTCTAAAGCAACATTAGCTTCACCGCCGTTCTCCTTACTATCTGTTTCATCCTTATTGTAGCCACTTGTAACAGTTAGCTTATACTGTATTTATTATTTCGTATTCACTTTTTTTTGTCTTTCAGCCTGAAATCAAAACCCTTAAAAAAAATCCAACTTTATTTACACATTCTGCCATTCAAGTAATGTAAAAAGGCAACACTTCTGAAACTTAATAAGGAAAACTACAAAAACAGAGTTGGAAAAGTGATCAGTCCCATGACTGTCATGACAGTCCCATTTCTGACTTCGTTTCATACAGATACTTGTTGCTTTAATTACAGCCATCAGTCTCTTTGGATATGTCTCTATCAGCTTTGCGCACCACGATTGGGGAATATTTTCCCGTTCGTCCTTGCAGAATTGTTTGAGTTCACTCAAATTTCGTGTTGAGCTGGAATTGACTGCTCTCCATTTTCCGATTTTCAATGGACGTTGACCTTCCTATCCTTAAGCCTCTGCGTTGTTTTTTTGGCGGTGTGTTTAGGGTCATTGTCGTGCTAGAAGGTGAACCACATGTCCATCTTAAGCTTTCTAGTAGAGGGCAGTAGGTTCTTCTCAAGAATTTGACTGCATCCATTTTCCCTTCAATCCTGACCAGTTGCCCAGTCTCTGCTGTAAACAACATAATGCTGCCACCATCATGCTTCCTAGTAGGTATGGTGTGTTCTGGGTAGTGTACTTTGGTTTTTGCCAAATATTACACTTGGAATTCAGTCCCAAAAGTTCAATCTTGGTCTCATCTGACCGTAAAACCTTGTGCCACATGGCATTAGTGTTTTTTTGCAAAGCACAAACGAGACTCAGTGTGGGCCTTTTTCAGGAGAGGCTTCTTTCTTGCCACCCTGCCATACAGGCCAGCTTTGTGTAAAGATTATTGTCACATGCACAGACCGACCAATCTCAGCCATAAAGACTTAAGTCATTCAAAGTTGCCAATGGCCTCTTGGTAGCTTCCCTGATTAATATCCTCCTGGCTCGGTCATTCTGTTTGGAGGGACGGCGCGATGTAGGCAAGGTGTTGGTGGTGCCATATGGTTTCCTTTTCTTAATAATGCTCTGGGGTCTCATTCATAAACAGTGCATTCAAAACAGGGCTGGAAACGTGCGTACGCCACTTCCCACGCAAAGGTTGTGATCTCTAAAAAAGAAACTTGACGGGAGAATATGCGGTCCTGTAAGTAAACTCTGAACCATGCGTACGCACATAAAGAGGAGAAATGAGAAACGGCGACTCACAGAGTCAGAAGGGCAGAAGAATGAAACAGTTAGGCCTTCTATTGTGAAAAGTAAATTGAAATATCACCTCTGAGTATTATAAGCTTAAAGCAGGGGTCGCCAAATAAGTCTGGCATCGGGCCAAGTTTTTTTCAAGCCATTACATGGCGGACCAGAACCAAGTCAAATTATTTCAAATCCTGTGTGCACGTTTAGCTCAGGCGGTACAGTGCGGAACTCTCGTTTGGAAGGTTTTAAGATCGATTCCAACTAACTGCAGATATTTTTTTCTCCTTGTTAAACAAACTGATTATAAGGACACTTTTGCACACGCTCACAATAAAGCATGTGCTGCAGTGTGCGTGTGTCCCGGCGTTTGATCCGCATTGATTAACCTATGGACGCTTATTTTCATTTCCCTGAGGAAGTTCAGGGGAATCCAATCACACGTTTACTGACGGCTTTTTCAGAGGTGTGTCAAGCAGGCCAGAGACTCTTTGAATGTCATTCAGAACTCTTCAAAGTAAAAGCTCTCAATAAACTTGACATAAAGCATTGCTGCAAAAAACATTCTCGTGCTTTTATTTTGGAGGCACAATCACTGAATGATTGTGTGAGTAACTGTAGCTGTCATGACTGAGATCTATTTTAGCACCAGCCGCTCTCAATTTATTTATTTTCAGGGATCAAAGTAATCTGGCCAGATATTATTGCTGGCGGGCTGCTTCTGGCTGCCTATTGCTGACCACTGGCTTGAAGCCTTTCTGAATAAACAAACACAGGTTTGGTTGATTTTCCCTGAAGTGCGCAAAAAAATTTGCAGCGCACACAAAGAACCACATTTAGGATGATAAACACAAACGGAGATATCTGTTTCTGCAAAAGAACGCCTCAAATATGTTGTGCAGTTTAATCCGGTATCATTAATACTTGCATGCAGTGCAATTTATTTTAACAGGAGGACAAGAGAGCGTAGTTTCATATAGCCTATTATTATCACTTATCATTATATTATTATGTTTGTTGCCTTTTCGAGCCAAACGCTATGTGCTAGCGTGTGGATGTGATGCGCTGCTTGTAAAAACACATCATGGAAATATAACACTATTTTGTGTCATATTTAAGTCATATTTATTTGAACTCATCGGCAGCGTCGTTAAGTGAGTGGACTGTTTGTGTAGCCTAAATAAATGTTCAAACACAAGCGGGATGCATTTGGTTTAATCTCTTTTTAAACGGGGAAATCCAGTGTGGGTCCACACTGGATTAAATTTCATTTTGTAGCTTTTCTGTCAGATTTTGCCTCTTTTTCTTCCTGCAGTCAGGACGTATTAATATTAATGAGGGGTGTTTCACCATTTATAGGCAACTATGGACGTTTGAAGGGTCGGACATGGAGCTCCCTCACATGCACCACTTTTCAAGTTGATTGTAATTTATAAAGGAACTTTCTTACAAGTGTGCGTACGCAAGTCTGAATATTTTTTGGCTTTTGGGGGCATGTACACTTTTAGTGAGGATTCTATGCACAGTTTTATAAATGAGACCCCCTTCACTGGACTCGTAGTTAAAGCCTTTGAAAGCTTTTTCTATCCTAACTTTTGAAAGAACCTTTCCAACCATGGTATGTTCTTTGCGTTTCTATGCACTACTAGTAATCGAATGAAGTATGTGAATAATCAACACCACTACAACTGATGTCAGGTGGGAACCATTTAGCACCCTTTGATGTTGAGGGTTAGAATGTGTAAATACAGCTGGAAAAAGTTAATTTGTATGTTCTTGGATCCAAAGAGCACCTGTTTTTTGATGCCTGCATTTGTAAAGTAGCACTCCTTACCCAATCAACTGGCATTTTGCACTCTCTTAAATGGTCGCTGTATCAGCAGCTGTGTGTGGTTCTTACCTCCTCCTGGTCCTCCTGCTGGTGCTGCTGGCTTTGGTGACGGGGTCACTGTTGTGAAATTGAAAGATGAATTATATACTGTTGATTGATTTACCTGGTGTGGTCTGCAGTCACACTTACACAAACAAAACACTCAGAAAGAGACAGAGCCACCTGCGAAAAGCTAAACCAGGAAGTGTCCCATGACACATCTAAACCAATCACGTTGTTAGAAATCAACACTAGCCAATCAGATTTTGAACTTAGCTAAAATCTGACTCTGGACTTTCTTGATTGGTTGCTGGTACAAATGAAATGACCATATAGTCTGAAAGAAGACATGTAAAGGAAGAAAAGTAGTCCAAAATCTCAAAATTGGCCAGTGCGTGAAAATATTATGTTTTTGCCTGCTGTGTCTCACCTTAAGAAATACAGTCTTTTCTGAGCTTTCTTTTAGCTCCCCATCGCTAAATCACCATGACGATAAATCAGAATCAGCTTTATAAATCGTCTGTTGATGTTTTTAACAGCTGATAAATGACAATTTAAAAAAAAAACGACAGACGGAAAATGTATCCTTCACTCATGTTGTGAGTTTTGTTGTTGCATAGTTTATCTACTAGAGGGCGCTCTGCAACACCTCTGTTAGCAACACAGTAGGTGTGTTTGACTTTCTGCGGCGCCGCTGACTTAACGTGATGCATGCTGGACTTAACATAAGGCATGCTGGTTAGAAATTGTGTCACCATGACATTAAAACCTCACAAGAGCATGGTGGCTGTAGGCGCCGAGTCCAGCGGCCGCAGTTGCTTTTCTCCAGCTGCACAAAGTTGGAAGCACACTATTGCCTGGTCTTGCAGCATTTTTCTTTGAAAAATATCATTGATCTCACGCAGGTGTTTTTTAAAATCCTCAAATATCCAAATCGATATGGTCTTAAAAATCCCATATCAGTCGGCTCTACTTTCATATGGTAACATTATATTATCTCACAATGATAAAGTAACAAATTACTGTCTACCTGATGTTGTCATGGATTATACAACTCAGTTTAAGTTTTAAGAGTTTCTTTTTTGATATTTATATTGTACAAAATGAACAGAAACCAATGAAGATACAAGATTTTCTGAGAGATACATCTGGGCGTAGTGTGTTTACATAAGAATCTACCGACAAACTCACACGAGCCCTGCAGGATGCAAATTGAGAACTTAGTGTGTAAAGATTTCTGGGTAATAGAAGTACTTACAATTCATCCATCTATCAAGCACCATAGCTACTACTGTGGACACTGAGGTAATATATTCTGTATTTCTCAGGGAATTAAAAAAAAAAAACTAACACATGGTTATATTTTTTAGGCTGATTCCAGCATTTTAGACTGACAAGTGGTCAAATTAAGGATTTATTATTCACCCCACCAGAAATGTAAACTATTGTGGAGAAGCCTTACAAACACATTCAGATATTTGTGCTGGGAAATAAAAAGAGAAAAACAAATTACACAACAGTTAACTGAATACATAAAACATAAAAAAGTGAATTCACCTGTGTGGATGGACCATAGATGTGCAGCCTTTAATCTAACTGCATTCAGTTCAGAACTGTGCAGAAAAGTAACAGGTCCAACCTTTCAAATTACCGCTGTGACTCGGCGTTTATTCAGACATGAGACCAACATGTTACTCTGCCTCCTGATTTACGTAAAGTGGTGCACGTCTACGGGGGGCCAGAGACTCCAGTTCATTTTGTCTTTGCACTGTGAGAGAAAACTCCAACAAACACAGAAGACATGGAGAAGATACAAACTACACACACAGGAGGACAGGTGTGACAGGTGGGTGGTGTTCTATTGTACTCACACAGTGTACGGTCATCATCATCGCCCAGAGCATCGGCCAGGTTTAAGTCCCCCTGAGACAGGACTACAGTCCAGAGAGGGACAGAGGGAGGAGCAGAGGAGAGGGACAGAGGAGAGGGACAGAGGAGAGGGACAGAGGAAGCAGCAGAGGAGAGGGACAGAGGAAGCAGCAGAGGAGAGGGACAGAGGAGAGGGACAGAGGAGAGGGACAGAGGAAGGAGCAGAGGGGAGGGACAGAGGAAGGAGCAGAGGGGAGGGACAGAGGACGCAGCAGAGGAAAGGGACAGAGGACGCAGCAGAGGGGAGGGACAGAGGATGCAGCAGAGGGGAGGGACAGAGGATGCAGCAGAGGGGAGGGACAGAGGATGCAGCAGAGGAGAGGGACAGAGGACGCAGCAGAGGAGAGGGACAGAGGAGAGGGACAGAGGACGCAGCAGAGGAGAGGGACAGAGGAAGGAGCAGAGGAGAGGGACAGAGGAGAGGGACAGAGGACGCAGCAGAGGAGAGGGACAGAGGAGAGGGACAGAGGAAGGAGCAGAGGACAGGGACAGAGGAGAGGGACAGAGGATGCAGCAGAGGGGAGGGACAGAGGATGCAGCAGAGGAGAGGGACAGAGGACGCAGCAGAGGAGAGGGACAGAGGAAGGAGCAGAGGAGAGGGACAGAGGACGCAGCAGAGGAGAGGGACAGAGGAGAGGGACAGAGGACGCAGCAGAGGAGAGGGACAGAGGAAGGTGCAGAGGAGAGGGACAAAGGAAGGAGCAGAGGAGAGGGACAGAGGAGAGGGACAGAGGAAGGAGCAGAGGACAGGGACAGAGGAGAGGGACAGAGGAAGGAGCAGAGGACAGGGACAGAGGAGAGGGACAGAGGACGCAGCAGAGGAGAGGGACAGAGGGAGGAGCAGAGGAGAGGGACAGAGGAGAGGGACAGAGGAGAGGGACAAAGGAAGGAGCAGAGGAGAGGGACAGAGGAGAGGGACAGAGGACGCAGCAGAGGAGAGGGACAGAGGAGAGGGACAGAGGATGCAGCAGAGGGGAGGGACAGAGGAGAGGGACAGAGGACGCAGCAGAGGAGACGGACAGAGGGAGGAGCAGAGGAGAGGGACAGAGGAAGGAGCAGAGGAGAGGGACAGAGGAGAGGGACAGAGGAAGGAGCAGAGGAGAGGGACAGAGGGAGGAGCAGAGGAGAGGGACAGAGGAGAGGGACAGAGGGAGGAGCAGAGGAGAGGGACAGAGGAAGGAGCAGAGGAGAGGGACAGAGGAGAGGGACAGAGGAGAGGGACAGAGGGAGGAGCAGAGGAGAGGGACAGAGGAGAGGGACAGAGGGAGGAGCAGAGGAGAGGAGCAGAGGAGAGGGACAGAGGAGAGGGACAGAGGAAGCAGCAGAGGAGAGGGACAGAGGGAGGAGCAGAGGAGAGGGACAGAGGAGAGGGACAGAGGGAGGAGCAGAGGAGAGGGACAGAGGAGAGGGACAGAGGAGAGGGACAGAGGAAGGAGCAGAGGAGAGGGACAGAGGAAGGAGCAGAGGAGAGGGACAGAGGAGAGGGACAGAGGAAGGAGCAGAGGAGAGGGACAGAGGAAGGAGCAGAGGAGAGGGACAGAGGAAGGAGCAGAGGAGAGGGACAGAGGGAGGAGCAGAGGAGAGGGACAGAGGAGAGGGACAGAGGGAGGAGCAGAGGAGAGGGACAGAGGAAGGAGCAGAGGAGAGGGACAGAGGGAGGAGCAGAGGAGAGGGACAGAGGAGAGGGACAGAGGGAGGAGCAGAACATGCAGACACGTTAACTGAATCTGACACATAAATCCAAAATGGATTCAGCACATGCTGTATGAATGTCTTTAAGCTGAAATTGATCTCTTTGATTGAGTATGACCATTGTAGCGATCAGTTTCCCAGGCCCTGCTGGTGTTACAAAATTCCGGCTCTGGTGCCAAACTGGGCCCACAGTGCACTAATCTTCTGTTTGTTGTCCGTATTGCAAAGCAGAGAACATTAACCAGACAGAAAACAAAAGCAGAGACAAAAAAAACACTAGCTAACTCACAACTGAACACATGGCGCTGTGTGTGTGTGTGTGTGTGTGTGTGTGTGTGTGTGTGTGTGTGTGTGTGTGTGTGTGTGTGTGTGTGTGTGTGTGTGTAACAATATGGTCAACATGCAGCTGCAGTACAGGACAGGGCCACACCGCTTACCGCTACCTGTGCATGACAGCTACCATGCTGAATTGGTGCAGCTGGCAGGCACATGGCGTCCACACTGACAGCACTGCTACTACCAGCCTTATCTTTCTACACAGACTTTGCTTTTGATTTAAAAAAAATACAATAAAAGCCCTGTTAACACAAAGAAACATCAGTCGCACACCTCAGGAGCGGTCTCCCACACCAAAGGTCTTATCCACTGCGCCATTGCCAGACACTGAAACTGTAGTAAAAAGGTGTAGTGTTGTTGGTATGATGTCTATATGATTATCAACAAATCATTTTCACTGTCTGTTTTTCCTGAGAACCATGCGTGTTATGCAAAACAAATAAGCAAGATGCCGAATCCTTGATGACGCTGCGCTAGGGCTGGACGATATGGCTAAAACTGTTATCATGATAAAAAGTTTTATATCTTTCAACGTCGATAATTATCACAATAAGTATCAAATTGTTATTTCTATCCAGTTTAAAGGCTGATTTTTGCTCCTGAGTGAAAGTTGAAGAAACCTGATGGTTAATTGTGGTTTAAACTCTTCTTCATGGTCAACACTTGAAGCCAAACAGTGGATCACTTAGCAAATGTGAGGCAGAACATTCGAAACAGTTATGATAAAATCTTTGTCAACAAAAAGCTTTTTTCTCAACAAAATAAACATCTTAATAAAAAATTAAGTTCTAATTCGTGTATGATTCATTTATTGAATTTATAGAATATTTATTGAACATTTGTTATATTGTTACAGAAAAAAATGATATTGCAATAATTATTTTTATTGTTTTATTGTCCAGCCCTGCTCTGGCTTATGCTTGGCACAGTGTTAGGCTCTGTGGGCCAAAAATGACGTCATTACTTCAAGCCGCAAATTGTCGTGGCACTTAGTCATGTACTTCTGAATTTTTAATACTAGGCTCGGGCAGTATCTGTTTCTTCAAACCTTCCTGACATTTCACCGGGGTAGGCCATTTTATATCCTAATAACGATATATATCCCGATATAGAATTTTTATATATTTATTTTTATAATGTATATTATATATTTTTCATATTATAAATTGTGATTTTTCTCTGCACCATGATAAAGAGTGAACAATGACACAGCAAGTAATGTAACTATTTAATGTTAGCTAGGTAGTGGGTTAGCAAACTGCTGCTACTTGCTGCTGCAAAGCTGGCTGAAACGGCTGGAGTAACTTAGTGTTGCGTGGCTCAGACTTCTCTCTTTGGCATGAGCTCCTCATTTTTGCGTGCATGGTCTGATTCCTCCTGTTCAGTATTATCCAGTTATGAGTAAACTTCATTCTCTTTCAAAAATGACGTCATTAGCCGCAAGTTGTCTTAATCTTAATGCAAATTTCTTCCCTGCAACACTGGCAAGTGTGGAAGAACGCACTGCGGTGAATAGTTGAATAGTCTGCAGATGTCTGTCGAATGTCCAACGTAAAACTAACTTTACTGCGGTGCAAAGCGTTGTATGCTCTTAAACACTGAATTTACGACACAACAAAATAAACAATAGAGCATAATTTTAAACGATAGACATTTTGCTATCATCAAACGATATATATCGTCATATCGCACAGCCCTCCACCGGGGTATACGATATATGAACTGCTGGTGGGAGGAGTCACTGTAGCATGTATGATATGGTCCAGCCTACAAAGCTGTGTCTAAAGCCCCTTTTCCACCGCGTGGTACCAGCTCAACTCGCCTCGACTCTACTCGCCTTTTTTTCTACTTCTACTTTTTTCGCCACTTCTGAGAAATTTGGAGGTGAGAAGTCAACTATGTGGATCTATGTGGAACTCTTTAACTTAAATCAAGAGAGAGCTGTGTGTGGGTCACGGCAGTTGTGTGTGGTGTTGCTAGGATGACCAGCTACATTGAGGGGTACTATCTGCGATGGAAAACGGAGGACAGCGGGCCAAAACTGAATCGAGGCGAGGTGAGTGGTGGCGAGTTGAGCTGGTACCAGTAATGGAATAAAGGCACTTGAAAAGCAGTTAGCCTGCTTAGCGCTACACCAAATGTGCTTTTTTTTTTAACATTCTAAGCTTCTATTGAGATTTTCGAATGAAGCTTTTAATGTCTATCGTAGCGCTAGACGATTAATTGAAACAGAAATTTAGAACCTCTAACCGATGTAATTTTCCCTTGTTGGTTATTTTGTTTTTTTAATCCTGTTAATACTTTCCCGCACTGTGTGTGTTCATGTCCTTTCCCCTTAAAACATACTACCAGTTAGGGCTGCTCAATAATGGCAAAAATCATAATCATGATTCTTTTGGTCCTGAAATTGTGATTTGGCGCTATATAAATAAAATTGAATTGAAACTGAATTGAAAATCATGATTATTAACATGATTACTGATGAACTTAGGAATCATCATGTATTTATTGAAGTTTTACAATTGAATGATTCATTTTTTAAATGATTATGTATTATCCAAAATAGCCGATGAAATAGGAAATCAGGATTTCAGCATCTGCTAAGAGCAAGACTGCAATGCTGTGTGTGTGTGTGTGTGTGTGTGTGTGTGTGTGTGTGTGTGTGCGCGCGCAGACGGGGTGGAGCACAGCAGGTGACAGGTGAAGTTGGAGTTGACGTCACCTCCTTATGTTGCCACGCTGAAATTCAACCGTGGTGTTCTGTCGGGAGATGCAGTTACATAAACCAACGGTGAGGAAAGTATAAATCCAGAATATTTTACAACTACGGACCAGGTAAATGCCAGAGGCTTAAGCTAATAATGTTGACTAGCAAGTTATTACCCCGTCATCTCGGCTGGAACAACATCACAGCCGCAAATCGTTTTAATTTAATTAACTTGTTTTTATAATTGTTGGAAGCCAAAATTAAGAACCGCAAGAATATGTTGATATTTGATAGTAGATATTTTGTGCATATCTCCCATCTGAAACTACAGCCTCACACCTGTGCGAACACATGGGGAGTCGCCGGTTGTTGGGCTGACGGTGGCCGGTTTTTTAACATATCGCTCCACCCTAACCCGACCTCAATACAGCATCTCTATTTCAGTGTAATAGAAAAAGGACTATCTGTATTTTTGATCAAATTGAAAGTCATACCTTTGGGATTTCTAAATACCCTGGATGACCGTTATACAGTATCTCACAAATGTGGGTACACCCCTCCCATTTTTGTAAATATTTGATTATATCTTTTTATTTATCAACAATGAAGAAATGACACCGTTATACAAGCTGTACACTCACTACTTTACATTGTAGCAAAGTGTCATTTCTTCAGTGTTGTCACATGATAAGATATAATCAAATAGTTACAAAAATGGGAGGGGTGTACTTACTTTTTTGAGATACTGTACCTTGATACCACCCTACTACAAGCCCATCCACCACACCAACCACCACAGTCTTATGGTGCTATCAGACCAAAAGCTAAGTGAGCGTTAGGGGCAGTGAGTTTACATACAAAGTCAATGCAAAGATGCGTAGCGGTGCCGGCGACGCGAAGGAATTCGCGCAAGTTGAATATTTTCAACTCAAGCGATAAAGTCGCATGACGCTGACTGACGCGATAGGCTATCAGCGTTGAGATTGTCCGTACGTCACCGAGGCTTCAGAGTGTTGTGTGGAGAGAGCGGGTGGCTGGCTGTGAGCTCCTAAATTTGGGGAGAGGTGCAGGGAGCAGCGCTCCAGCTTTTTGACAAATAAACACCCGTAGTCGGACTGGATTATGCTCTGACAACTACGCCGTTTGCTCTCAGGAGGAGCTCGGAGTAAACTGCTTTTATTAAATTAGATTTATACTTCAGTTTTTGGGATTACAACTTGATTTATCTTCACTCGCATGGAATAGCCCTGATCGATCCAAACTCCATTCAGAAAAGAAACATTTTAGAAGTTGTTGTCCTGCTGACAGACCTGACAAAGCATGAATTCATATGTTTAACAAATCTGCATCATATTGTAGTTATTTTGCCATCGGTTTGATCCGTTTATTGCTATTTAATTACAGCAAAATGTTTACTTTGGGTTCATACAACTGTAGTAATGGCAAGTTGTGTTTATTCGCGTTATCGTGTTGTGTGTGAACACTCAGCAGTTGTCCAGCAATAAAACCCTGCCAGGACAGCGTTGCGTGGATTAAATTCGCGTTTGGTCTAAATGCCGCATTACTTTCTGCATCACTACATAAACATAATTCCAGGCATCAGCCAGATGTGACCGGTCCTCACTGAGTCCAGCTTCTTCTTTTTAGCTCCATATCAATCCCTGTCTACCTAGCTATCTGTGTGCACTCTGCCAGTGCATTAATTTGCCAATTTTGGATACTTTCTAAATCTAGCTGTCTCTTGCTAGTTCTCCAACACTGCTTACCCTACTACATCATGTCATTTGCATAATCTGCATCACAGTATTGCATTTACTAGCCAGGCTCTGGTTGGATAAAACGTAGTTAAAATGCCAGGAGGATGTCTCTGCACCTGGTTGTCTGGATGGTGGTAATGTGAAGATCATAGAGTATGAGGACAAGAGCTACAATAAGACAGAATGAAAATACCTGCTTTTAAATGATCCACTTCAAATGACTAACTCACTGAGATCTAACCCCATTTTCAGCAAGGCCTGTGCAGCTGTGGTCCAAATAGACAGAGGTTACTGTGGGTGTTGCCACATACCTTTGATAACTACCACATGTAAAATCACTACACCTAACATTACTGTAACAAGCGGTATAGAATCAATAATTTAATAAATATATTACAGCTTATGCTACAGTTAATATCAGTAAGGTTACCAGTAACATCTGGACCCAGAGCAAATGGAGACACAATAACTGAATCAAGCTTCAAAAATACAATCTCTACATGTAACTTTAATAACTTACTTAACAGATTATTATTTTGAGTGGATATAAGTGGATATCTGCTCTCTGTCTCTTAAACGTCTGCCTCCACGCCGGCGGACCGTTAGTCGGCCTCGAATCGAAGTGCGGCACAAAAGGCACATCATGCTTGCTGAGGTGTGCGGGACAAAGCCTTACCTTCCCGCGGCAGCAGCAGCGCCAGCAGCAGACAGACAGACCACAAAGAGCGGTTAGCCATGACTCCAGTCTCCACACTCACACCCAGAATACACCGATAAAACAGCGGTTAAGTAACGAGCCCGTCGCCGTTCAGTCTGTCTCAAGCCTGCCGCAGAGCTCCGTCTCGCTGGAAAGCCGCATTCAAGGCGTTCGGCTCTGTGACACTCCCATACAGTGCCACTTCCTGCCACGCCTTTCAAAATAAAAGTCTCTACTCCATAAAGACTCTTCCAACGGTTCGGTTTTGCTGAACAGTGAAGGTGACCAGATGTCTGAAATGAAAACCGGAAATATTCCCAGTTAATCAGTCAATATACAATTAAAATACCCGATGTTATTGTCTACGAATTAAAAAGGGGGACAATTCCGGTTTCATTTAGACTATTTATTTCATTTATTCATGGTAGCCTAACTGTTGTACTGTAAACTATGATAAAAGTGGTTACTAAGTAACTTTGTAAAAACGTGGAAAACTATGGAACACTCACTAAAGAAACTGGTCTAACTACAATGACTCAAAGTGTGTTAAATTAGCTATATGTATAAGACTGGGAGACAAGCAACACTACCTAACACGCTGTAACAAACAAGCTAACAGGCACACTGTAATACACAGAGAAAACAACTATATGACAGAAACACTATAGACAAGAACTGTTCGATCTAAATAGCCATTCAGTGGTCCTGGTGTTCTGGGAAGAAGAGCAGAAGAAAACATGAGCAAAACTGAAAAAAAGAGAGACTAGCCTTTGTAAAACATTATCAGCATAATAAAGAAAAATGATGATGATGAGACTGGCAACTACATACTTATACCAACCTAATTTGTATATTTCTCAGAAGGACATATTTTATTCAGGACTCTTGCAGGCCAGTAACCTCGTCAAACAATGCATCCTCATTGATGGTCACATAGGGGCATTTTTCCTGCAGTGTGGCTGCTGCCTTCTGGAGCCGCTTTGAGAGTCAATTGGACACCATACCCCATGACTCATCCACCCAGCTTCAGCCTCAGTCCACCACTTCTTCCCCCCCCCTCCTCAGAGCTGGCCAGCTCCACCTCCTCCCCTCCTCTCTTCATCACAGAGAGTAAACGGTCTTTTCAGGAGGCAGAAACCCCGCAAAGCAGCTGAGCCAGACTCTGTCTCCCCATCCACCCTGAAGCACTGTGCTGATCAGCTGTCTCCGGTGTTCACAGATATTTTTAACACCTCACTGGAGACATACATGTGCCAGCCTGCTTCAAAGCCTCCACCATCATCCCTGTCCCCAAGAAACCAAGGACCACTGGACTAAACGACTACAGACCCGTCGCCCTGACCTCTGTAGTTATGAAGTCCTTGTGTTGTCCCACCTAAAATCCATCACAGACCCACTCCTGGACCCCCTGCAGTTCGCCTACAGAGCCAACAGGTCTGTAGATGATGCAGTAAACATGGCCCTTCACTACATCCTCCAGCACCTGGACTCCCCAGGAACATACGCCAGGATCCTGTTTGTGGATTTCAGCTCTGCTTTTAACACCATCATCCCGGCCCTGCTGCAGGACAAGCTCTCCCAGCTGAGCGTGCCTGACTCCACCTGCAGGTGGATCACAGACTTCCTGACGGACAGGAAGCAGCATGTGAAGCTGGTTTCTGATTCCAGGACCATCAGCACCGGTTCCCCTCAAGGCTGCGTTCTTTCCCCCCTTCTCTTCTCCCTGTACACCAACAGCTGCACCTCCAGTCACCAGTCTGTCAAGCTCCTGAAGTTTGCGGATGACACCACCCTCATTGGGCTCAGGTGGGAGATTGACCATCTTGTGACCGGGTGCAGCCAGAATTGCACAACGCTCAGAAGACAGTGGAGATGGTCGTGGATTTTAGAAAGAGCACAGCCCCACCCTCCCCCATCATTCTGTGTGACTCCCCAGTCACCACTGTAGACTCCTTCCGCTTCCTGGGCACCATCATCTCCCAGAACCTCTAGTGGGAGCTGAACATCACCTCCCTCACTAAGAAGGCCCAGCAGAGGATGTACTTCCTGCGGCAGCTGAAGAAGTTCAGCCTGCCAAAGACAGTGATGGTGCACTTCTACACTGCCATCATTGAGTCCATCCTCACCTCCTCCATCACCATCTGGTACGCTGCTGCCACTGCCAGGGACAAGGGCAGGCTGCAGCGCATCATTCGCTCTGCAGAGAAGGTGATTGGTTGCAATCTTCCTTCTCTCCTGGACGTGTACACCTCGAGGACTCTGAGGCGTGCAGGAAAGATTGCAGCTGACTCCTCCCACCCCGGACACAAACTGCTTCAGACTCTCCCCTCTGGCAGGAGGCTGCGGTCCATCAGGACCAAAACCTCTCACCACAAACACAGTTTCTTCCCGTCTGCAGCCTCATTAACAAGACCCGGGTCCCCCACTGACTCTCCCCCCCTTGCAAATGATACAAATGTCTTTGCACATGTAAATATTGTTTCATCTCGTTGCGCACAGACCTGGCACGTTTCACATATTTGTCATTGATTGTTGATCTTTGCTGTTACACAATATTCTCTTCCGTTGCGTTACTTCTGCACAGACCCAGAATAATGCACATGTATATATCTGCAATGTTGTTCTTCTATTCCATATTTATATATTTCTATATTTATTTATGTCGAATGTATGTTTGTCTATATGTAGCACCTTATCACAACAGCAAATTCCTCGTATGTGTAAAACACTACTTGGAAATAAAGCTCCTTCTGATTCTGATACCGATCTGGCTCACGCTGAGGTTGCCTTTTTTTAGTGAAGAATGATTGGGATGTTTTGAGAAAGCTCTCTTAAGACATTGCTCCATTTTCCTCCAGCTCTCTCAGAAGTCCTCTAACCAAAACTGAAATGAAGTTGTCATCACGTCTTGTGGTCAGTTTTGTCTCAACGTTTCTCAGTTTGCAGCTGACTCCACAGCACAGAGTCCTGGTCTTCAAGCATCTTGATCGTGTCACTGAAGAAAGTTAGGTTTCCACTGACAAAGTCAGTGGATCTTCAAACATTGTTCATTGTCTTCAAAAAGAAAAAAGGATTTCAGTGGTGCACACAGTTGTGCTCAAAGGTTTGCATACCCTTAGAGAAAACATGCTGCATTCATCTTGCCATCAACTTTCACAAGATTCCCTGTGCCTTTATACCTCACACACCACCAAAACATCAGTGAGCCACCACCATGCTTCACAGTGGGGATGGTATTCTGTTCACCTTGTTGACTCCTCTCCAAACATAGCGCTTATGGTTGTAACCATAAAGCTCTATTTTGGTTTGATCACCCCAGACTACAGTGTGCCAGAAGCTGTGAGGCGTGTCGAGGTGTTGTCTGGCATATTGTAACCGGGCTTTTATGTGGTATTGGCGCAGTAAATGCTTCTTTCTGGCAATTCAACCATGCAGCTCGTTTTTGTTCAAGTTACAGTTATTCTTACAGTTTTAGCTGACATCTTTCTTGGTCTACCTAACCTTGGTTTGGTATCAAGACATCCCCGAATTTTCCAGTAGTCAATAATTGATTGAACAGTACTGACTGCCATTTGCAAGGCTTTGGATGTCTTTTTATCTCCTTTTCCATCTTTCTGAAGTTGAAATACCTTGTTAGCAGGTCTTTTGACAGTTCTTTTTTGCTCTCCATGCAAAAAACAACTGTCAAAAGACCATACAGTTCAGCCAGTGCCAAAATGTAAAAAATTCTGCCAGGGTTTACAAACTTGAGCACAACTGTATATTTTCAGCACTCTTTCTAGAGAAGGGAGCACGGACAATAAGCGAACATGCTGTGTCCTAAAATATTATGGTACTCCTGGCCAACAATCTGCTGGCCAACAAGTTCTTCAGTTTTTCTACTCTGACGGTGAAAATATGAAAACATCAATCCCAAATATACCCAATATAAAGTGAGTAGGTACTCAACATCAAGGTGAATCATATCCAAAGCTGTTCTGGCCGTGTTATAAATGATGTTGGCAGGACAACCTAAGCCAATCACCTCCTGCTGCAGAGCATTTTAAACTTTAGTGTGAACATTGACCCTCCCAGGATTTTTTGGTCTTCCAAGAGATGTCTTCGGGAGAGATGTGACCCCGGGAGTAAACCGGGAGAGGGCAATGAAATACGGGAGTCTCCCGCGAAATTCGGGGGGGTTAGCAAGTTATGTGCTGACCTCTCATGCTTCTTTACTTCTGTATGACAACGTGCTGTGTGTGATGTGGTTTTATTCTTCTGCACATGCGGGTCATTTTAAGGCAGTGGACAGTACACACTGGAGTCTGATATGGGTAACATTTAAGCAATAATGTGAACTTTCAAACAAAAAAATCGGATCTGTGAAAAAATAGGAATTGAGCATTGACCCCTAGGAGCAGGCCCTCTGTCTGGACATAGGCTATCTGATGTCGGGAATACTCTATCTAGAATCAGCACACCTAAATATTGCACAATATTTGATACATGGACTATGCTATACTTTCCAGATTTTAACTGTTTATGTGAATTTCTGTTGATTCTTTATTATTACCCTTGTGAGTTTTTTTATCTTTATCTTCACTGACTGTACATTGAGGGGAGTTGCATCAAACCACAGCTTCTGATTCTGATTCAAACCGGCATGCTCAGGGCCGAGGCACGCCTCACATCGGGTGTGAAGATCAGTGCACACAATGAAGCCGGTGTGGCAGACACATCAGAGCTGTAAGGCATCGCTGTCCGTTCTCACTGACTTGCTAGCGAAGGGAAGGGAAGCTGGTATTTACTTTACATTGAACATTTACAAAACGCAATCAAGCCATTACATGGTTAGTGTGTGTCTCGGTGTGATAGAGAGGGAGGGAGAGTGAGGTAGGGTGGCTGGCTTCATTTCCTCAATTCACTCCGCTGTCAGCAAATACAACAAGACAGTGGTGGAGAAACTGAGTCTATTTGACAGACCTTTTATAAAACGACTAATAAAGCCTTATTTAACTTATATTTTGGTTGTCTGTGTGAGACAGAGGGAGAGTGGGATCAGATGCTGATGTGGGCTGTATCAAACATTTACCAATGCAGCATTTTATAGGCCTGAGGACAGAGTTAGATGAAGTCCAAGATTTGCAACAGTTTCATCATTTAAACAACACATCCTCTCTTTTTCCTTCTCAATCAGTAATATATGCTTTGTGTCTGTCTGTCTGTCTGTCTGTCTGTGACAGAGGGAAGGGCTAAGGGTGCCCTCTATTGCTCACTTCACAGCGCAGTCAGTACACGTTGAGAAGAGAACGTGAAATTGACTATAAAACTCATAAAACTCATTTTGAGAGATTTAATTGATAGGGCTTGATAGAGGTCAAAGATCACCATCCACCAAATCGGATACAATTTTTACAGAAAGTGTTTTATTATACTCTCTAGTGTGCGAGTGAAAATCATTAGCGCATTGATATTAATAAATTTTAGCAGTGTGGCCATTCATTCAGCAGCAGCTGTGCACAGAAAATAGGGGAACACTGGTCTCTGTAGGGGAACACTGGTCTCTGTAGGGGAACACTGGTCTCTGTAGGGGAACACTGGTCTCTGTAGGGGAACACTGGTCTCACGCCAAAGGCTGTCTGTTGCGTTCCGTCAACATTACGTTATCAATTAACATTTTGAAAATCAATCAGAAAATATGTAAATTGATTCAGAAACACTACATCTGCATCCAGATGCATCTAATTTAGATTCCCCCCCCCACCCCTACACAGCACCTGACAAAACATCAGCAAGTACATTCGTAGACCGTTTCTAATGAATGATTTAAAGGTTGTAGTCTTGAACTATAAGGGACCAACGCACAAGACCTTTGGGTCATCTCAACTGCATTGGGAAAGTTCTCTGTAACCAGAAAAGAGTCCAACAAGTCAGGACCATGTTTCTTTAACTGGGCTCTTACCACACAAGGAGGAAAGATGTCAGAAGGCATGGGGTAGCAATGCTGCAGTGGATACGACCCATACCCCTGATGTGGGAGATCCATGTTCAATTCCCTCTGCAACACGTCTATCAAAGTGTCCCTTCCTTATAACTATGACCTGGATGACTGAAAACCTTCACAGACAATCGGCAATAAGGTGACCCTTCTTATGACGAAACATGGCCAGTGAGTTTGGCCATGACGGTTGCTTTAGTCAGTGAGGTAACCTTTTGCTCATTTAAGAATATTATTATTTTCTTTGGTAAAGCATACTTGTAATTTGACAATAACATGAACTGATGAAGGGATTCACAATAGTCCTTTACTTCATTTGCAGCACACCATTTATCAAAGAGAACTAATTTTTCTCGTGCAAACTAAACATATTTTTGACCAGTGGACTTTTATGATTTCTGATTTTCTAGGCCTCAGACAATGCAATATATATAAAACAAAATATAATGTTGTAGTGGTGGAAAGTACTTTAAAGCAAGGGCGTCACACATTTAAAGGCTCAGATTAGAGTTACAGAGTGACATAACCCTAACCCATGAGAGGTGATAATGCAGAATATCAGGGTCACAAGAACAGGACTAGCATCAAAGAAATATTCATTGATGAAATATAAGATTTTTAGCATTAAACACTCAATTTCCTGCATTCCGGACACATTTTGTGCACCAATTTATGGTGGAAATGTCTTTATTTATATAAAGGTGAACCCGAAATTCAAAATTTTTAACCTTTTACACCACTAGACATTTGTTTTGCAGATATAGTTACTAGTTGTAATTTAGATTTTACAGAGAAACCCCCCAACAATACAGGTGCTGGTCATATAATTAGAATATCATCAAAAAGTTGAGTTATTTTAGTAATTCCATTCAAAAAGTGAAACTTGTATAATGTATACATTCATTCCACACAGACTGATAGATTTCAAGTGCTCATTCCTTTTAATTTTGATGATTATAACTGACAACTAATGAAAACCCCAAAATCAGTATCTCTGAAAATTAGAATATTGTGAAAAGGTTCAATATTGAAGACACCTGGTGCCGCACTCTAATCAGCTAATTAACTCAAAACAGCTGCAAAGGCCTTTAAATGGTCTCTCAGTCTAGTTCTGTAGGCTACACAATCATGGGGAAGACTGCTGACTTGACAGCTGTCCAAAAGACGATTGTTGACACCTTAACCAAGGAGGGCAAGACACAAAAGGTCATTGCTAAAGAGGCTGGCTGTTCACAGAGCTCTGTGTCCAAGCACATTAATAGAGAGGCGAAGGGAAGGAAAAGATGTGGTAGAAAAAAGTGTATAAGCAATAGGGGTAACCGCACCCTGGAGAGGATTGTGAAACAAAACCCATTCAAAAATGTGGGGGAGATTCACAAAGAGTGGACTGCAGCTGGAGTCAGTGCTTCAAGAACCACCACGCACAGACGTATGCAAGACATGGGTTTCAGCTGTCGCATTCCTTGTGTCAAGACACAGCATCAGAAGCGTCTCGCCTGGGTAAAGACAAAAAGGACTGGACTGCTGCTGAGTGGTCCAAAGTTATGTTCTCTGATGAAAGTAAATTTTGCATTTCCTTTGGAAATCAAGGTCCCAGAGTCTGGAGGAAGAGAGGAGAGGCACAGAATCCACGTTGCTTGAAGTCCAGTGTAAAGTTTCCACAGTCAGTGATGGTTTGGGGTGCCATGTCATCTGCTGGTGTTGGTCCACTGTGTTTTCTGAGGTCCAAGGTCAACGCAGCCGTCTACCAGGAAGTTTTAGAGCACTTCATGCTTCCTGCTGCTGACCAACAGGACTTGGCACCTGCACACAGTGCCAAAGCTACCAGTACCTGGTTTAAGGACCATGGTATCCCTGTTCTTAATTGGCCAGCAAGCTCGCCTGACCTTAACTTTATAGAAAATCTATGGGGTATTGTGATGAGGAAGATGCGATACCCAACAATGCAGAAGAGCTGAAGGCCACTATCAGAGCAACCTGGGCTCTCATAACACCTGAGCAGTGCCACAGACTGATGGACTCCATGCCACGCCGCATCGCTGCAGTAATTCAGGCAAAAGGAGCCCCAACTAAGTATTGAGTGCTGTACATGTTCATACTTTTCATGTTCATTCTTTTCAGTTGGCCAACATTTCTAAAAATCCTTTTTTTGTATTGGTCTTAAGTTATATTCTAATTTAATAAACATTTGAAATATAACAGTCTGTGTGTAATGAATGAATATAATATCCAAGTTTCACTTTTGGAATGGAATTATAATAAATCAGCGTTTTGATGATATTCAATTCACAGCCTTTTTGGCTAGTGGCCCCTTATGAAAAAAAGTGTCTACACTGGGCTCTGTGTTTCACATGTCTATTAGTTGCTCCACCAAATAGAAATTTATTACAGCAAGCAAACCCTAATTTATTTGTAGCTTTGGCAATATTGTTGTTTAACATTCATGCCAATAAAGCTAGATTGAATTTCATTTAATAGAAATTTTCCAACATTTCCCCTCTAAACCTCATCCAACTTGATTATTTATATTTGTGCGTCAGAACTTAGTGTTTCTGTTATTTCCTCTCCCATTAATCATCGAAGATCCCCTCAGGAGTACTGTGTCTGGTGACCCTTTGGAGGGGCCCCTAGGCTGAGAAACATCACAGTATATAAAGTAGCTAAAGCTCCAATTCAAGCATCTGCAACAGTACAATGGACATAGATGGATCTGATAATGTAGATAATAATATATCAGTTATTGGGGACATTTTATTGCATGAGGCTAACAGGCAACTTCTGCACTTTTTCTTAAGAAGGATTTAAATACAGGACGCTCAGATCAGAGCTCTTCCACCACTGGTGGTGAAGTACTGTACAGACCTTTTTATATTTAGGCTGCTGTTACTAATATAGTAGTATTAAAGTTGTTTGCGTGACGATGTGGGCGTGTTTTTTTGTCTCTAAGCTCCGGAAACAGGCTGAATGATCCCAAAAAGTTGGCAAGAACAGCGAACAGCCCGGACCAGCACAGACAGCAGACCAGCACATCGGCGACTGTCCACAGGACCGAGGAGATGGGGGACAAAGCGGGGACCAGGTAAGACAATCATCAGCTGGTTCATGTGTGCTGTAAAGGATGGAGATCGGAGACGTTCACTCGAGGAGAAAAAGGGAACTATTCAAGCTCCTTTAAAAACGGGAATATTTAAACCTCTTTGTCGCCGAAAGTAGCCTCTATGCCAATAAACTCCCAAAATAAACTATATAATAGACTATTTATTCCATGCTGAGACTACATCTGACAAGCTCACAGCAGGGCAGAATTTAAACAGAATCTGAACTGATTCACATGACTCGCCGTCATCAAAGGACTGAGTTGAGTTTTCTTTAAAGAAATATAGATTCGTTGTGATGTCGAATTGAAGAGTGGGTGCCAAAACTGCACAAAATGTAAGTCTAGTCCTGCCATGCATGCATTTGTTACGCCTGACTCAAGGCAAGGCATAAAATGTACATTTTAGAAGTGTGGCGTAACTTCCTCATATGAGAACACAGAGGTACTGGGGTGTTGAGCACGAAGGAGAAGTGGAGCCATCCGAGGCGGGGCCCCGTGCTATGCACCTCCAAATACTGCTTTTAAACGCTAGAATATCCTTCGTGGGGTTCATAAATGGTGATAAATGATTCGAAGTATATATTTTTTTGAACGTTTATAGTCGTTTTATAATTTTAATAATTAGCATTCACTGAGATTCAGCTAAAAGATGAGGTGATACCGCTTCATCAGTGAGCACAGCAAAGAGTCTGAAAAGGACCTTGGGAGGTGGATGCATAATAGTCTACCTGCCGAGATTTGCATCCACTTCTTTTCTCAGCATAAATTAGCTTTACCAGCCGCGAGGTGCATGCAGTTCTCGGCAGGCAGAATTCGGCACGACACCTGTATTAAAGTTCCTCTGTGGCGGTGCATTTTGTTGTAAAACTGAATAATCTTGCACTTTCACCTTTGAAATGTCAGTGGCGGTGTTTGTAGTCTCAGCTATAAGAAAGATGATCACGTGAGACAGAAAGTGGAGATAGACACTCTTCCTATAGTTAGGCTACCACCAGGGGTCTCTAAAGACATAAATATTTAAATCACAGAGAAAGTTTCAGAATGTTTAAAGTCTGTCTTAAAACAATAGTGAGGTGCCCATTTAGAGTGAAAGAGGTTTTGCTTGCTGTAGCCTAATCATTCCACCACATTAAAAGGTCTCTCTCTAGAAGGGATGTCCCAATCAAGTTGTTTTGGCCCCGATCCTGATTCAAATCCTTCAGTATTGGGTTCATCCGATACAGAGTTGGATCCAATACTTATAATCAGTCCACCACCTTATTATGTTTAAATACAGCTAATTTGCCTCTGCAGAATAGGTTTTGAGGTGACCAAATTACATTTTCTAATAACATCATTACAACAGTTGTTAACTAACGTAGTTGGCAAGTCACCAAGATTTTTAACTATACATTTGATTTCCGCCAAGGCAGAAAGCTACGCAGCAGGCACTCTTGCAGTAGGCATACACTATGGTTAATGGAGTGACTATTATAGCACCTTGCAGGCAGAGGCTACCATGCAAGGTGCACATCAGAATGGAACTAATATTCACACACCCTCACCCAGCCTGCTGGGGGCGACTCCACTGCACATGCAGCAAAATGCTCTCATGGTGGTAAAGCTTTGTTTATGCTTGACGCAGTGTCCCTGGCTCTAGAGCCCACATCGACAGGGGCCTCGTCACGCCTCTTGCATTGAGTACCTCTCACCGTTTGAGACTAGGTGCCGACTGCACGTGGGGCTTTTCAAGGTAGACTGGCTGAACATCGATGTCACCCTTTGTTGAGAGACCACAGGGACAGTCAAATGGCCTTAATGATCTTACAGACAGACCTTCACCTCTTGCGTCACTTTTTTCTGTTTAATAGCCATAAACAACAATCATTCCTCAACACTGAGGAGCTGTATAGCAGAGTGTGTGCAGCCATGTTTAGTCTCTGCCGTTCTTCCACTAACAATTGACTTCTTGCCTCTTCACAAAAATTTAGTTTGAACGCTCCTGGTGTTACGCAGAATACCACAATGGAGAATGTGTAGAGAATAACAGCATCTGTGCATGTTCATAGCTCATGTGCCATCTGCTGAGGCCTGCACAACAGTCTCAGGCCTCAGACTGTGAACAGGAGGAATTAGTATAGCAAGTAAATCCTGTTTCACTGTTCATATGGGGATGTGATTATTGTTGAAGTTGGTTTGAAGCAAACTTTAAATCACCTGCTGAACTTGAATATCCCCTTAGCAGTTAGTTTTATGAAACTGTGGAGTAAAGAGTGGAGTTTAAGAGTGTGACCAACATTTAAATGACATTGTGAGTTGAAGGGCTTTTACTGAAAGGTTTTATTGTGATTAGATTCTTTCACTTTTAGGATAAAGAGTTGACAGGAAAGGGTTGACAGTAAAGGACATTTCTGTTGATGATCAGGATGTGTACTTTGGTCTTTTTCCCTGTTTTCTTTCCTCAGAATTTAAAAGGCAGCACATTCCTGCATAGGGACATTCTTAAAACTGCAGCGGTGCGCATAAACTTGGTAAAGCTGACTTGGTCTGAATGGTCTTGACAACAGCTCTGCTTGTAGGCCAGCAGTATATTTATAACAGTCTTTTTCTACAGTAATGTTTTCATTTTGTGCTGTTGTGGTCGCACACATGGACTTAAGGTTGACTGATTAATCACAACACTTGGTCACAAAATTATTCCTGGCATACATATTACTGGCATACACTGGCCACATTTCCTGGAATACTCTTCACCCTCTTGCTGTACAGCTCCAGTGCAGACACTTTGATCTTTTCTCTCTGCTTCACTTTTGACTGGCTTTTAGTCTAATTTAATCTTTCATAACTGTGATGTTACATTATATCACTGATTGAATGGAATTGAGTGTATGTTTGTGTGTACCTCGAAGTCTAAAGTCTAAAAACTTTTGTGCTTTACTTTTAGAGTGAGATGCTAAAAAGAAACAAAGGAGTTTAACATTTAACAAAAGTCCTCAGCTGATATCAAACCTTATACCAAAACTGTATCAAGTAGAGGCAGATGAGGACCGAATCATTCCTGGATGACGTGGTTAGCCTAGCTTAGCATAAAGACTGGAAGGAGGGGAAAGCAGCCAGCCTGACATCAACTAACACCTCTAAAGCTTACTGCTTAAATGCTAAATTGACTGCACTTATATAGCGCCTTTATAGGCAGGAGAGGTCTCAGGTAAGAGCTGGGTTAGTTTAGCTCTTAGCCTAGCTCACATCTCTTTCTTCCTGAATTGGTTGCGCCGGGTGTATCGGAGGCATGTAGGCCTGGATAGTAGTTGTTGTGGGCGTGATCATCTCAAGGTCCGCTGCACTTATTCCCGTGCTTCTTTTTCTAATATTGTTGAGTGTTAGTCTGTAAAGGTAGTATGTGTTTCTGTATTTTGCACTCACTACATCAAATCTTTTCAGCCGCATTGGTTAAAGTAAAATCAAAATAATCCAACATAAATCTCATGAATCATGAATCAAATTATTAAACATAATGGAACCTATGATATTCAAAGAGAGTGAAAGTGTGAAAGCAGGGTTTCATTGAACTAAGTGTTGCTGCAAAGTGGTTATTTGTCACTACATGACTCTGCAAACAGCACGCTAAATGGATTCATTGTCGATACTTTAACATATTTTCCAGTCTGGATATCGACCACAGTATGGTACTGAGCCTGCCCTTGTTAAGGTTTTAAATGTCTTTTATTTAGATATTGACTTTGAAATCATCTTACTTCCTGTGTAATTGAATCTCAGTGCTGCATTCAACCATTGTACATTACCTAGACAAACTGGAAAACACAGACTGGAAAACTGGGTTGAACTTCTTTAAATTGTGTCGAATCCTGTTTATCAGATAGAGACAACTTTTTACTAATTGGTAGGGCTGGACGATATGGCCAAAAATGTTATCACGATAAAATTTCATATCATTCGATATCGATAAGTAGGCGGATTTTTGTTCCCGAATGAAAGTTGAAGAAACCTGATGGTTAATTGTGGTTTAAACTTTTCTTTATGCTCAACACTTGATGCCAAACAGTGGATCACTTCGCAAATCTGAGGTAGGACATTCAAAACTATGATAAAATCTTAGTCAACAAATATGCATGAGAAAAATTCAGTAAAAGCTTCTGTCCTTTTTCCTCAACAAAATAAACATCTTAATAAAAAAAGTAAGTCCTAAATTGTATATGATTCAAGTGAATAAATTCAAACATTTATTGAATATTTACTGAACATTTGTTACATTGTTATTGAAAAAAAAAATATTGCGATAATTATTGTTATTGTTTTATTGTCCGGCCCTACTAATTGGTAAAAAAATACATTTAGTTCCCAGAGCCTCCTCTGTTCAGTCTCTACATGCTCCCACAAGCTCAAATTTAGCAAAACAACACAAACACGTAATGTAATTATACAGATGACATTTATTTTTTGAAGTGAAGCATGCAACCTAGTTCAGGCAGCCAGGTCAAGTCCCCTCACATGACTCACTTTTCTCACTGCAACTTACAGTATATCCAACACACCCTTTTGACCATGTTGTACTAAAGCTTCATTACTCACCTTTAAGCTGTTCTGTCACCTGTTTATACTGCTGCTGTTTCAAAAGACCCGGGGCGGCTGTGGCTCAGGAGGTAGAGCGGGTTGGCTGTTTGGAATTGGAAGGTCGGCGGTTCAATCCCTGGCTCCCCCTGGCTCCCCCTGGTTGCGTGTCGAAGTGTCCTTGGGCAAGATACTGAACCCCGAATTGCCCCTGGTGGCTGTTCCGCCAGTGTATGAGTGAGTGTGAATGTTAGTTTCCGTTTGAGCACTTAGGCTCAGTGTATGAATGTGTGTGACTGGTGAATGCAGATGTAGTGTAAAAGCGCTTTGAGTGGTCGAAAAGACTAGAAAGGCGCTATACAAGTACGGAGCATTTACATTTACATTCTGTCCAGCATTCACCTGTCTCGGTCTTCATTCTCCTGTCATCACTCCCCACTCCCTGCTTTGACAGGCCACACACACACACACACCATATTGTTAATCTGCTTTCTTCTGTTACACATATAGGGAGTGATGAGAGAAAATGTCATCCAGTTCTGTGACACTCTGTGAAACTCCAGAACACATTTAGTTTATACTGACTTTCCTTTTCTACAGTTCATTGTGCTGTCAGCCATCACTGCTGCTCACTTTTTGTTTACACCAAGATTGGTTTTCTGCTGAAGTGTGTGAGAATGACAGGAAATATGACGTGTTTAAACTGCCCTTGGTGTGTATTGGACTGTAATGAGTTCCTACACTCACAGCTTGTTGTCTGTCCTAAACACTCTCATTAACCACGCCAAGTTTCCCCGTTTACTTTAGAACACAGAAGCATACATGGACAAATATTTGTTCCTGTACTGGTCATTTAACCAACATGCAGGCCTCAAATCTTCAGTGTTTGTGAACAATGCTAGTTTTTAGCACATGCAATTGACTAGAATGTGCACTTTGTCCATGTTTTAGGATCGAAATGGGAGAGGTGCTGGGGCATCCTGGCGGCCTAGTGGTTAGGACAAACACAAAAACTGCACCATCTTTGGTTTGATATCAGCTGAGGACTTTTGTTAAATGTTAATCTCCTTTTTTCCTTTTAGCATCTCCACTCTAAAAGTAAAAAACAAAAGGTTAAGGTTAAAGCCTGACCAATACTGGAATTTTGCTGACATTACCCATTATGCACCTTGACTGCCGACAGTTCATTTGGACATTGGGGGGTGTTATACTATTAGCAGCTGAGGAGGGAGATACAGAGGTCTGGTAATCCACACCCCCAACTGACGCTGAATGAAGTGGTCAGTTGAGGACGTTCTTCAGACTTTACCCAGCTACCTCTGGAGACACTAAAGGCTTTATACATCTTTTTTCACATATGTAGGTGTATTTCCCAAAACCTGGAAACACATAACATAATCAAACACGTTCTTAAAAAATTGTGATAAAGATACAGAGTGGGACATTACAGTTACAGTTTAAATTTCAACTTGTCATTGTCTCTGGTGGACAAACTACACTCACCTAAAGGATTATTAGGAACACCATACTAATACTGTGTTTGACCCCCTTTCGCCTTCAGAACTGCCTTAATTCTACGTGGCATTGATTCAACAAGGTGCTGAAAGCATTCTTTAGAAATGTTGGCCCATATTGATGGATAGCATCTTGCAGTTGATGGAGATTTGTGGGATGCACATCCAGGGCACGAAGCTCGCGTTCCACCACATCCCAAAGATGCTCTATTGGGTTGACATCTGGTGACTGTGGGGGCCGTTTTAGTACAGTGAACTCATTGTCATGTTCAAAAAACCAATTTGAAATGATTGGAGCTTTGTGACATGGTGCATTATGCTGCTGGAAGTAGCCATCAGAGGATGGGTACATGGTGGCCATAAAGGGATGGACATGGTCAGAAACAATGCTCAGGTAGGCCGTGGCATTTAAACCATGCCCAATTGGCACTAAGGGGCCTAAAGCGTGCCAAGAAAACATCCCCCACACTATTACACCACCACCAGCAGCCTGCACAGTGGTAACAAGGCATGATGGATCCATGTTCTCATTCTGTTTACGCCAAATTCTGACTCTACCATCTGAATGTCTCAACAGAAATCGAGACTCATCAGACCAGGCAACATTTTTCTAGTCTTCAACTGTCCAATTTTGGTGAGCTCTTGCAAATTGTAGCCTCTTTTTCCTATTTGTAGTGGAGATGTACCCGGTGGGGTCTCCTGCTGTTGTAGCCCATCCACCTCAAGGTTGTGCGTGTTGTGGCTTCACAAATGCTTTGCTGCATACCTCGGTTGTAACGAGTTATTTCAGTCAAAGTTGCTCTTCTATCAGCTTGAATCAGTCGGCCCATTCTCCTCTGACCTCTAGCATCAACAAGGCATTTTCGCCCACAGGACTGCCGCATACTGGATGTTTTTCCCTTTTCACACCATTCTTTGTAAACCCTAGAAATGGTTGTGCGTGAAAATCCCAGTAACTGAGCAGATTGTGAAATACTCAGACCGGCCCGTCTGGCACCAACAACCATGCCACGCTCAAAATGGCTTAAGTCACCTTTCTTTCCCATTCTGACATTCAGTTTGGAGTTCAGGAGATTGTCTTGACCAGGACCACACCCCTAAATGCATTGAAGCAACTGCCATGTGATTGGTTGATTAGATAATTGCATTAATGAGAAATTGAACAGGTGTTCCTAATAATCCTTTAGGTGAGTGTATGCAAGGGAGACACTGAACTACTGCAAACACTTCTTTCAAATTTGTGTACTTTTCTTGTTAGGTATTGGCCAACATACAGCTGCGGTCAAAAGTTTACATACACTAAAGAAAATGCCATGGCACTTTGAGTTTCCAATAATAACTACAACTCTCACAAAAAGCATTCATAAATGTCCTTTTATGAATTTATTATGGGTCTTCTCAAAATGTGACCAAATCTACTTGGTCAAAAATAAGCATACTGCGATGTTAATATTTGGTTAACACCTTTGGTAGCCATCCGCAAGCTTCTGGTTGAATCTTTGACCACTCTTCTTGACTGATTTGGTTTTGATACGGACCTGTTTCTTCAGCACATTCCACATGTTCTCAGTGGGGTTTAAGTCCAGACTTTGGGAAGGTTAAAACCCTAATTCTAGCCTGATTTAGCCATTCCTTTACCACTTTTGATGTGTGTTTGGGTCATTGTCCTGTTGTTGGAACACCCAACTATGTCAAAGACTCAATCTTCTGGCTGATGATTTTAGGTTTTCCTGAAGTGGTGCCTGTGAGGTTGAAGGCGGTTTGCCTGTGAGGCATTTTTAACGGGAACTGCATCTGGTCTTCCACAACGAAAGAGAATAAATTTCTTAATTGGGAGAATGTTACTGGATATGGTTCGCCAATGTGTTTATAATCTCTTCATTGCTCCAAATTTATATTACATAGTTCTACACTTCACACTGAAAACACAAGATGGCACGAACGCATTAATGACGTTAGATTTCATTCCATATATTCAGACTTTCATTCAATATATTCAAGGTTTATTCCAAATAATCAAAGTTCACACATTTCTATTTATAATTAATTTATATATACAGTATATGCAAGGCTGGGCACAGTTATGTATTGTGCATGTAGATGACAAGCCATGCTAACACATGGAAAATGTCTTTACAGTTTTTCTCAGTCGCTTGCATCAGAATTGAAATTCCCAAAACTAATTGTTCAACCTCCACATCATCTCGTCACTTGTGCACATCATAAAAGTAATTTCCCATTATTTTGAACAAATTGCAAATGCTTTGACACATTGAAGCAACTGATTATGCACAATTGTCTGCTGTTTCCTACATTATCAATTGGTTATGTCCTGCTGATCACAATGTATTATAGCAGTCTGTGTTGAATAGTCTAACCCCCACAAAACATCTACATGTAAAATGGTTGGACACGTTGTCAAAATCAAAGTTATATGAAGTCAAACTTTATTGTCATTGTTTGCATACAAGTATGGACCATAAACAAAGTAAGAATAGACAACAACAAATTACACCACAATACCATACACAGTAAACAGTAACAATACACAGTGAGCAGTGAATAGTGCAGTCAGCAGTAGATGAATATATCTATATGTATACAGTAGATAGATATTTTATACATGTCTATTAGGCTTTTTTTTTTGGAAATGTGTCCTGAATTGATGAAGATATTTGTTGTGATGCGGAAGAGAATCTGTGACACGACAGACAGGAACATCTGCTTAAGGGGTGTATCCTATGCTTACGTTTCTAATTTTGTTTTGTTTACAGTTGTGCTATGCAATGCTGTAAAACAGTCCTGTCTTTTTCTTTTCTGTATCACAATGACATGCTCTGTGAATCCTGTCCTGTCTCCTGCAATCTATAACTTTGTACTGGTGAATGTGATGAATGCCGTACTGAAAATGTGCAGCCTTGTGCATTGTCATCCAAACCTTAGCCAGAGTTTACATCAGAAAACACTTACGGAGTACAGTTATATTGAAAACATGGCCAAACATTTTGACTATCTTGTTCGTAAACAATGACACAAGGACTTGCCATTCTGAAGGAACTGACATCTTCACTGACATAAATATTTACTTTTGAGAGAAACACTATTTTGTATTTTGATAGGGCTTTTGCAGGCAATCCACTGTGCTGTTCTGTTTGTGCGATCTGTTTCGAGAAATGCACTCACTGTTTTGCAAATGTAAAGGGTGATCCGTACCAAAGCGATTGAGAAAAACTGTAAAGGGACGATACAGAAAAGACGGGTCAAACTAGGCCACTTTAAGAACTGAAAGACCAAACATAAGACACTGACAGTATATAGCTCAGTGCTTGCATTGCTTGAATAATTTCTGGGGACATTTTCAAACACAACAGTACATTAAATTTGTGTAACTCAAAGTGCACACACGTGTCAGATCTAACAGGTGTTGAGACAGGGTGTGTACTTCCTGCAGCATGCTTCAACTCAGGTTACTGATTTTGTAAACGAATCCCAAATTTGAGTTTCACATACACACCCTCTCTTAACAAGATTTGCTTTCTCCCTCTTTCTACAGAGTCTTTAAGAAGTCGAGTCCGAACGACAAGGTAGGATCTGGTTTGTGAGGAGCAGCTCTTATCACTGTTTCTTTATCTGCTGTGGATTATCCTAATCACTCCCATTTTTCGTTCTGCCTGTCTGTTTCTTTCTACAGCTCACTGTTTATCTTGGAAAGCGAGACTTTGTTGATCACTTAGACCACGTAGATCCAGTAGGTGAGTCTGAACAAACACACACACACACACACACTCACAGATACAAAGGTAGAAGAAATTACCTTTTAAGATGAAGATTTAAAATCCTTGAGGAACACAGTCTAATTCAGACAGAGATTGACTACAGGGAGAAGAACTTTTCAGTGCACAAATAAAATTTATCGCACTGCTGATCCAAATCATGTTCTGTTTAGGTCCCTTTTTCATTTGGAAATCCTAAATGTACAGTCAGTAAGATGCCCTCAAACTAACAAGTTTCATGATTTTAGAGCTTATATTAAGAGCTGTGTTTTACTTCAACACCATGGTGGCTTATAGAGCATGGAATGCTGAGGGCTGCAAAGGACACATAAGCTGTGTGTGAATCTGGGCAAAAGAAGGCTGAATTTCGCAATCGCATTTGAGGGAGCCTGAAACAAGATGGAGCTTGTCTGTTCTTTATGATGTATATGGTTTAGAAATGCAGCCCCTGAATTGGGTTGCAAGTGTTATCCACACTGTGGAAAGTAAACATTTCCCCCAAAATGTAGGAGTGTTCCTTTTTTAAGACACTGTTTTAGTTTTAGACTGGCATATATACAGAACCACACACAGAATGCTTTGATCTGCATTTGTTCAACATTGGACAACATCATGTTCTATATGATGAAGCAACGTGTGTTTATTCTCTAGATGGAATGCTCCTTGTAGACCCAGAGTATCTGAAAGGTCGAAAAGGTAAGAAAACTTGAAGACAGACACAAAGTAGCAGACTGATTTACTGACTGAATGAACGGTTGACCACCCATTTAATCAATTTCTTCATCCATCCTCAGTGTTTGTGACTCTGACCTGTGCGTTTTGTTACGGTCGGGAGGACCTGGATGTCCTAGGCCTTTCCTTCCGTAAAGATCTGTATGTCAGCACCGTCCAGGTCTTTCCTCCTCTGCAGGAGGAAAAGAAGCCTCTGAGCCACCTGCAGGAGAGGCTGCTGAAGAAGCTGGGTCATCGTGCCTACCCCTTCAACTTCACTGTAAGACTTCAAAACACGAACACAGCCTCAGCCTCAGCTTCATCCTGAAACTACCACCGACAAGCATACCCAGCCCTTCATCTCACATGACCATTATTAACTCTACTGATGTTAAAGATTAGATTAGAGAAATTGCTATTGGTGCTACAGCTAACAGTACACATACCTACCTATTTTACATTCTGTGAAGTATAGTGGTTAAGATTTGGTATGAGTGCTAGGGATGGTAAGATTCACCGATTTGCAAACGATTTAAGAAAGTGTGCGCCGGTAACAATTTGGGATAAACTCGATTCTAACATCCTAAAACTGTTTAAGTGTTAAATGTGTGAGGGGGTATAAAAGTGTAACTGGAGACAGAGAGCAGGAACGAAGGACTGGTTTAAGATCCAGGCCAGTTTGATTTTGTTTTTTGTCAGATACAGCGGTCAAAAAGAACTGCATAGATCAGATGCTTACCTTGTTGCAAGGTGACTTCAATCAAATCATCAATCACACTTTCTGGACCATTATGAATTGCATAGCTTCTGCTTATTCTTTTGCATCATGTCATATCACATTGACCACGTTATGTTGAATAAAATTGTGTCGAATCGTATCATACCACAGTGGTAGTTGCTTCATATGTATCTTTAATGTATTGAATCGTTGGTAATGCATAAAGATGCATATTGCATCAGCCGTAGTGATTGAGATTATGAAAGAGATGTTATAGTGCATAGTATTACTAAACAGCGCACACACTGTTATCTGTGTTACATTCTGTGATGTGAATTTAAAGGTACTGAGGTATGAAACAGTCTTAATACCTGCTCTTACCCACTTTGCATTCTATGAAGCGAAGTAAAGTAAAATTAAGTCAAGCGCTAAAAATCCTCAGTCCTCGTACCCAGTTCACATAAAGTGACGTGACGTGACATGAAGTAAAATGAATAAGAGAAGGTAAGTGCACTGTTAAGTATTACAGTGTTATGCATGACGATGCACCTAGAGCTTCAATTTGGATTTCACTTTGTTTGTTTGTTTGGATGTGTCAGATCCCCCAGAACCTGCCTTGCTCAGTGACCCTCCAGCCAGGTCCAGAGGACACTGGGAAGGCATGTGGTGTGAACTATGAGCTTCGAGCATTCTGTGCCAAGACTGTGGAGGAGAAGATCCATCAAAGGTTCAACACATTCAGACACATGAGGCTACAACCTAGCTAACACTCCTAGACAGACATACAGTGGTGGTTCTCTAAGGAACACTAGAGAACACTGAGCAGTTCCTGACATGATATTTTCTGATACCAGCTGCCAAAAGCTAATCTTTTGCGCCATCTTCGAATGTATAACCGTATATGAACCTGCTGTGCATGTAGGAACTCTGTGCATCTGGTGATCAGGAAAGTTCAGTACGCCCCAGAGAAGCCAGGTCCACAGCCGATGATGGAGACCAGTCGCAGCTTCCTGATGTCTGATAGAGCTTTACACCTAGAGGCCTCATTGGATAAGGAGGTAACACACTTACACCCTTTGATGTGCTACTTGATGACTGGGATATACACACTGCTAAGTCTCTGTTTATCTCTAGCTGTACTACCACGGTGAGCCCATCAGTGTCAATGTCCATGTCACCAACAACTCTTCTAAGACTGTCAAAAGGGTGAAGATATCTGGTAACTCCACCTGCTCTAAAACACTCACACTCTTGTTTCAGTTATTATCACTTCAAATCAATAAATGACAGAAAGACATTTTGGACCACTTGGGACAACAATTTAAGGTTATTGTGTGCTTCTATTAAAGTCAAGTACTGCGTCTTGCATCTACAGTAATCGTACTCAAAACTGACTTGAAAGACAGATTAGAGCTAAAGGAAGTGCTTAAAATATATCTCCTCTCCTCCTTTCAGTTCGTCAGTATGCTGATATTTGTCTGTTCTCCACCGCTCAGTATAAGTGCCCAGTTGCCCAGGTTGAAGCAGAGTGAGTTATTTTTCTATACTGTTATCCTCTTTTTACCCATGTTTTATTCCATTGAAACTGAATTTTCTAGGGTATAAAGATAAATATTAAAGCTGGTGATGCTGTACATCCACAAGAATTATTGGCATAGTCTGAACAAAACAGTTTTTTTGTGGCAGATACAGATATGAATATTTGAGAGAATATTGAGAGAGAAAGGCATTTCTCTACTGCAGTTTCTTGTTAGTTTCTTTTAGGGCTGTCTTGCAAAAATAAACTTTCCTGCTCATTTAGTTTTTATAACTCAATGCTAGCATTCAGTATGTAGCTACAGAAAGAGATCTGAGATCAGAGATCACTCTTTAACATTCCCATATTTTCTTCCATTTCTGCTTCTCTCTCTCCCTGACGCCTACCTCAACGCCAACCCCAGCCACCAGGTTTCTCCCAGCTCCACCTCCTGCCAGGTCTACTCTCTGACCCCCGTGCTGGGTATAAACAGGGAAAAGAGAGGCCTGGCCCTGGATGGAAAGCTGAAGCATGAAGACACCAACCTGGCCTCCAGCACCATGTACACACACATATATAAATATGCATCTGACAGACAATTACACAAACTCATGGATATGTATCCTGACGAACGTTCACATTGTGTTTCTCTCATCCCTGTTTGCATGTGACCTGTGTGTGCTGCAGAGTAAAAGAAGGGACCAACAAGGAGATGATGGGCATCATGGTTTCCTACAGAGTCAAAGTCAAACTGGTGGTGTCTCTTGGGGGGTAGGTGAACCCAATCAGGCTTTCCATAGGAATGGTCTCTCGAAATTAACAGAGGATTGTGGAGAATAACTCTCACCATGTTCAGAAAGAGGGGTGGCTTAAGTATACCAGGGGCCAGATGCATAAACACTGTGTACACAAAAAAGACAGAATTATCAAGCTGACACATGGTTTTGTTTTATATATCTCTCTCATTGTGAATCTGGCCTCTTGTGTCTGTACAAAGCCTTTTGAGAAGAAGCTGTGTGAAGTCTGATACATGTCCTCTTGGGGTGTCAGTGTTTGTTGGGGCTGCAGACTACAAGTTTGAAATGAAAAATAAATGTGTGGATGTGGAAGTTATTTTACCAGACCTCTATAGCCCACTCCTCATTTCTATTAGCTGCTACTAGCAGAACACCCAAACTGTCGTTGGATTAGGGGCAATGCAGACAGCAAGTTTTGACAAGGATGAAGAATGTATTGGATTAAATGTGTGTGTGTGTGTGTGTGTGTGTGTGTGTGTGTGTGCGCGCGCACAGGGATGTAGCAGTGGAACTTCCTTTTGTCCTGATGCATCCCAAACCTATAGACCAGCCCAGCTCCCAACCACAGTCAAGTAAGACAGACACAAACACACAAACACACACACGGTGAAGCTGGGATTAGAATGTAATTGAATTACTTAATGTGTTCTTGTTTGTAGTTGCTCCAGAGGCTGATGCTCCTGTGGATACAAACCTCATAGAGTTTGACATGCAGTAAGTGTGTGTGTGTGTGTGTGTGTGTGTGTGTGTGTGTTTTTGTGTGTAAGAAAGATGAGATTAAACCAAATGTTTCACTTTAACACTCCAGATTGGCTGGTTGTGGTTTGCGTCCTCCGATCATTTAGCAACATGCTGGATTAGAGAAATGTCACATGTCATGAATTAGAGAGCTGCAAATGGAACCAGGTTTTTTTTAAATTAGTGGTAACACATGTTCTGTAGTGAGTTAAACAAAACAAGATTTACCAAGAATAGCTCTAAAAATGTAAAAATACCGATAAGAATCTTCCATGTAGTCAGTGAGGTCCACCCAGTTAAATAAATTACAGAGGAGTGTGTGAAATTACAAAGGCTTTTTGGACCACTAGTAGCACAATGGAGCAATGTTTTGATGAGTGGGTGCCTCATTTGTCAAATGACTAATATACAACACAAGCATGCTGGCAATGTGGTTTAAGCTATTCCGCTGATTGCCAGTTGTTATTATTATTATGATAATAGCTTGCATTTTTAGCAGCTTTCACTATAATTAAATTCATTCATTTATATGGCACCAATTCATAACAAAGTTATCTCATTGCACTTTTCCTATAGAGCAGGTCTAAACTGTACTCTTTTTAATGTTATTGAGACCCAACAAAGCAGGCCCTTGGAGACAAAGGCATGAAAAAACTCTCTTTTAGCAGGTAGAAACCTTGAGCAGAACCGTCACTTGGCCATGTGCCTCGACCATTTTGGGGGGGTTATGGGGGGAGGCTTTATCAAAGAGGAAAGTCTTAAGCCTACTCTTAAATGTGGAGATGGTGTCTGCCTCCTGAACCCAAACTGGGGACTGGTTTCACAGGAGTGGAGCTTGATAGTGGCTCCCATTGTACTTTTGGAGACTTTAGGAACCACAATTAACCCTGAATTCTGGGAGCACAGTGCATTAGTGGGGTAGTAAGGTACATTACATTAATCGCTTTTATCCAAAGTGTCTTGCTCAGGGACACAGGTAATATGAGTTCTTTAAGATAAGATGGTGCCTGACCATAAGAGATTTGTAGGTGAGCAGAAGGATTTTAAATTCTATTCTGAATTTTACAGGAAGCCAGTGCTTTTAAAACAATATTGATACATTAAGAACAGGATTAAAATTGAATATTTTAGATATGACTAAATGTTGTTTCTAGAGCAGCAACAGAACAACAACAACAACAAAGTCACTATGTACTCTATATATAATATATACACTACTTATATACACAAGTATTACACAAATTGTCATCAACTCAGTAATCTTGGAGTTATCTTCCCTTCTCTAGCTTCCTTCCCCTGCTGCTGACAGCTGACTGTGCTGTGTGTGTGTGTGTGTGTGTGTGTGTGTGTGTGTGTGTGTGAGTGTGCTCACAGAGAGCAAGATTTCTATGATTTCAACACAGATTTGTTATTCACAATGTAACGTTAGCATAATCATGGGAAAAATAGGGTGTGTTAATAGTGAGTTTAGTTTCGTATTATAATGTGTCAGACGTACCTATCAATGGCATTCCCGTGTGTCTTTACGGAAACTTACTTGCCTTAATTTCTGTAGGAATATCTTGCTTTTTATCAAGGTATGTGATGACTTTCTTTTTCTTTCTAGTACTTCCTCTCAGGCTGATGACTTTGTGTTTGAAGATTTTGCTCGTCTGCGGTTGACAGGGATGATGGATGACAAGGATGAGGACAAACCCTTCTGTTAGCTCCTCCTCCTTCAGCATCAGTTACTTGTCTGAGCGAAAGGTTACAAGCCACTCAACCAAGAACCCAAGAAGAAGAAAATGAGCAGACGGCCAGATGTGTGAGGACAACCTCTGGAATCTTGCCACATGCTTTGATTGTACCATTTACTCTGTATGGGCTATGGTATATGTCTGTTGTTTAAGGAGCAGCCAACAAAAAATCAGCTGCTTGGTGTCTTACACATATAGACCTATCATAACATAAATGACAGGTCACTTGTTGTTTTCAGGTATCAGTGAAACCGCTAAAAGCTATGACAGAGGAACCTAACTTTTATTGCTTCCTATTGATTTGTCCTTCACCTCTTTATACTCAAGTAAATCGAGTGCATTTTTATGACTGCACCGGCCACAGCTGTGGCTGGAGGCTGTATGTTTTCAGGTTGTCTGTTATCTGTCCGTCCCATTCTTGTTTTTCAGATGTGGTGCAAACATCCACTTAAACTAAAGCATGAACTGAGTTCATTGAGTTTGGTGGTCAAAGGTCAAGGTCACTGTGACCTCACGCCTGTCCCATTCACGTGAACGTGGTATCTCAGGAATACCTGGAGGGAAGTGGCACAAACGTCCACTCTGACTCCAGAATGAAGTGATTTTAGTGGTCTACGCTCCACTTTATTACATTATTCAACACCATAACTCAGGAACAGAAGGTATGATTGTCACCATATTTCACAGTGGGTTGGACACTGAATAGGTAACACTTTTGACTGAAAGGTCAAAGGTCATTGTGACCTTAAAATACATTTACACATTTTGGGTAGCACTACTCTGTAAGAACCCATCTTTACATAGTAATCGAATTTATGTGTACCTTTTCAACCAATACATCTATGAATAGTTCCACAATGTATATTTACTGGTATCATATCATAAATATAGTAGTATAATTACCTTTTTTCAAATCCTAGTATTAAGTAAGTAAGTATTTACTGCATCTATGAGTCTGGACACATAGATGGAAACTACAACTCACTGGTTGGCCGAGGCATACAATTGCGGCAGTTCTGGTTATATTTGGATCAGAAAAAGCTAGAGTTAAATTTGTAAACAGGAATGATTTTATTTTAGTAGTTATTTTTGCTAATATATATTTCCCTTATCTCAAGTTGGATGGAACAGATATCAATAGGTGAACTAACTGAAACAAATTCCCATCATGCATACAGATTTTTAATGTCTGTTGAACAGCCAGGAGTTGTTTGACTCTAGCTTTGGCCTTCCAGTGCGAGATCAACTCTTCTTTAGTGCACCTCCAAAAAATACAGTAGTATTCTGATGATTAGTGTGTAGTTAGTATGCTTTTCCAGGTCCAAAATTGTAAAGTGAAAGGGGTACACTGATTTTCACTTATTTGAGACATTCTCGTGCTAGGTGCACAGTGCCTCGTGTCTCTCCTGGATCTACACACAATCCTAATGCCCAGTATGTACAAGTTGTAAGTATGTAAGGCCTGTGTCCCAAATGCATACAATTTACTCCTATATATGACCACATTTTGAATACGCAGTTTGTTCTCACTGGCAAATAAAAAATAAACACTTACAAATGCTGCTTAACAAACAGTAGTTGTTTTTTTACATTTGGTTAAATTTAAGAATTGTAACCAATGCAGAGCCTGCCAGTTTATCATTAGGGCTATACTCTCATGTAATCCTTCTGTAGGATAGAATTGGGACACATTGTAGGACCATAGTGTGTATACAAAAACTTTTAGCTAGAGCCATCAGTATACATGCGTTATTCTGTCAAAATAATTTAACATGTAAGTTGACTAGCTAGACAATCAACCACATATTCACTGGACTTTTTAACAGTATTCTTTTTTCTTGGTCTCTATGCATCTTACTTGAGCTGTTAATTACAATGAAAAAGAGACAGTGTCTCAGCTGGGCACAAAGTCTTTCCTGTGTCCTGAGTTAAGCTCTTGTGTTTTTGTATCAATGAAGATGAATGATGATGATTATGAATGAGTCAGATTTTTCCCCAAAGAGTTCTAAATATGAGCTGTATAAGTGTAAGATACTACAGCTATTATCATTATAATCTATTGAAATTTGAAATATAGTTACGTAAACATATTGCAAGATCTACCGTGAATTGGATTTATTTTATTCTGCGTGGGTTTCGTCCGGGTGCTCCGGTTCCCCACCATCAAAAACATATTCTTCAGTCAGTGCCAATGATCAGACAATGATATAGATCTGGAGTTGGTCCCCGGGCGCTGCACAGTGGCTGCCCACTGCTCTCTTGAAGAATGGGTTAAATGCAGAGAATGAATTGCGCTACATGTGTGTATGTCACAATAAAGTCCCTTCACCTACGTTATTTTAAAATGAAATAAAATGTTCAAATAATCAAGTGTTGACTAAAAATGTCTTTATTTTGTTGCTTAAAAGATAAGAAAAGTAGTTTTACCTGTCAAAGTGAGGGTGATCTTGAACAGATGTAAAACAGGACAATTGAAATTACAATGTTTAGTGAACTGTGGTCAGCTGCATGGTTCATCAAGTTTGCAGCACAAATATAATTACATTTTGAGAGTCAATAGACATAGTTTGGTGTATATAACTGAGGTTTTAAAGACACAAGAGACTTTGACCTATTTGGACAAGCTTGGCTTCACTCACTCCCCACTGCCCTTGACCTGAAAGTGAAGCATCTTCCTGTTCGACCCCATCCTCTTAACTTCAGGCTTCTTTCAACAGCCCTCATCTAGAACTGTCATGTATCAAAGCCATTTCATGAAACATGGACATTTCAGTCACTCAACTCGCAACTCAGATTATTCATTACAGGAAGACTATTGAAAACAGAAACTCACTGGATGGAAGGCAATTATCTGTGTGACTTATGTTGGCAAAAACTAAAGATAGTGTGCAAAGCAACAGATACTACATATTTGACTGAGAAAGGTCTTATCTATTAAAGTCAAAACAAATGTAAAACCAGCAATAAACTGTGCAGCCACTGGAAGCTATATTCCAGGGCAAAGAGGGCACAGAAGAAATCCTGTACCATCTTTGATCCTACATGTGTTGTGCTGCCTTAATGCAGAATACCTTTCTTGGTTTTGTTTCTTGCGTTGCACCCTAGAACCGCCTTTTAACTCTTTAAGAAGGTTGTATACCATCCAGTGAGTAAGTGTTTTCAACATTCTTCCTGTAAGATGATATAATGAAATGGACATCCAGGCCTGTGAAACACATTACGACAGCCCAGAGTTACTTTTCACTGTTCTCCATCAGCATTAACAATTGTCCTAGTGACTCAGTGCAAAAGATATAACACTAACAGCCAGATATGGGCAGGTCTTTTAGATGCCTTAATGCTCAGGTGCTCAGAATATGACAAAACTGATACTGTCAGCACATTTCAGAGTAACCAAGTAAAGGTATCTCAATGCTTAAGAGTCTCTGTTCACTCTCAATTCTTGACATGTATTTTTGTCACTAATAATATTATGTACAGCTGAGGTTCTACTGGTTCTCTCTGCTTTACTTCTGTTGGGTTTCTCCCTTTATGATCACAGCTTCAGATAGAATCTGGAGCCTGACAAGTGCTGATTATGCTGAATCATTTGGTATCAAAGTTCTTTAGGTTGAATTAGAAGTATCTTAACAAGGTCTACATATGGCTTTTGATGCACATGAACAGGTAAAATGGAAATCCAAAGAAAATATACCAAGAAATGCAACATACTCTACAAGTTCTTGAGTTTGTCTTTGCGTTTCTTCTGCTATTTCAATTATTTTAATAACAATAAAAAGGATCAATGAAAATATTTTAAGGCTGTAGGTAGAAGTAGAGATTGGGGGCAGTTCCAGTCACATCAGCAGTCAGAGTGAAAGATCTGTCACTATCACTCTTCCACCAGCTTCCCTCTCTGCTCTCATGTCTGCTGCTGCTGCTGCTGCTGCTGCTGCTGCTGCTGCTGCTCCAGCATGACTTCACAGGTTCGTCCCAGTTCTCCCAGTTTGACCTTGGCATACTCGGCTCTGTTCAGTGCCATCTGACAGTCCTTCCTGGCTGAATAAGTGGAACCTTCATGAGGTTGACCAGTGGCCACCTGGTGAGGAGACAGGGGAATTACTGCTTTATTCTGCTGCTCCCAGTTTGATGCACTTTGACTCTACATTTATTGTAGTATTGGACAATACTGTGCTTATATTGAGATTGAGATGTGTTTCAGTAGTACTGAGCAATTTCTTTCAATTATCTAAAATAAAACCAAAAAATAACCTGAAATCCAAAGCCTACAATGTAATTATAAAACAGTGCTCCCCATTTGATTACATACAGTCTCATTTTTAGTTTGAAGTTACAGATTGTGTCAAAACCAGTTATTATCAGCTTTCATGGCAATAAAAATATATTTAGCTTTAAAAACTACTAAATATGACTACTTTATATGATAAATATAAGAACTACTATTGTGTATTTGACCTGTGTGAGGTAACGGATCTGGGCGCTCAGTTCGCTTTCCACACGGTTGACGGAGCTCTGGAACTGGACCAGCTGTCTGTCCAGGAGGCTGGCATTGTGTTTGTCTTTGGAGAGCTCTAGAACTATGTTACCTGCCAAGGAAAACACACAACATCATCAGTTTCATGACAAGACATGTTAACAAGGCCATAAACATTATTTTGAATTTACAATGAGTCACAGATTGCACAATAACACACAATTACTTCAATTAGGGCTGGGCGATATGGCCAAAAATGTTATCACGATAAAAACATTTCATATCATTCGATAATTATCATGATAAATGTTTAAAGGCTGATTTTTGCTCCTGAGTGAAAATTGAAGAAACCAGATGGTTAATTATGTGGTTAAACTTTTCTTTATGGTCAGAATGGGACAAACACTTGATGCCAAACAGAGGATCACGTAACAAATCTGAGGGAGAACATTCAAAACTATTATGATAAAAATAAATTTAACAGTCCCTTTTCTGCAATAAAATAAATATTTTAACAGAAAAATGGTGAACGTATTCGGAAACAGCTGCCTATTTACATATCCAGCTGATAAACATTCATCAGACAGACAAACATCAGCATTCATTTGGAGTTGTGTTTCTTTCCACATATTTTACATATTTGTATGTACACACACACACACACACACACACACACACACACACACACACATATGAATCTAAGTTCAATATTTAAATCCAATATCCTCAGGTTTGGTCTCCACCAACTCCTGATTATCTGTCTCTTTAGCTTTCACATTACAGACTCAACTGATCCATGGATAATATGAAAATATTGATTAGTGCAGCTTTAAGAAACATGTTTTTCATACATAATTATCAACAGTCAATTCCATGGCCAGGTAAACCTATTTGGGGCCCTTGGCAACAGGGCTCCAGTAGGGCCCCCCTACAAGACTCAAAAGATTGCATAATAATGTAGGCCATGTCTTTGCTCATATTGTCCTTTATTATGCAAGTCAAATTTCCAAAAAGCAACTGACATGCAGTGAACTCATAGGGTCCTTGGTGGTCTGGGGCCCGTGGCAATTGGCCGCTTTGCCCAGCTGGTAATCCTGTTTTAGTTAAGTTGTACTATTTTTTAAATTTACATTGTACTACTGTATTCATCCTGCTCTCTCTCTATCCAACAAGTGGAGGCAGAGGGCCGCCCACTTTGACTCATGGTTCTGCTCGAGGTTTCTGCCTGTTAAGGGGAGTTTTTCCTTTCCTCTCTCTCTTTCAATCTATTAGATAGAGTAACGTTCCGGTTTACACCTGAATGCTATGAGATGACTTGTGTTATGAATCTGCGCTATATAAATAAAACTGAATTGAAAGTACAAAAACAAAAGTGTGCAGCAGCTGTGCTGTTTGGTGAAATATGTCCTTACCGGCACACTGCAGGATCATCGCTATCTCCTTCTCCACATCCTCCAGAGCTCTGAGCCGCTCGTTAGCCATGAGTAGGCAGGAAACAGTCAGCAGGTCCCCAAGAGCAGGTTCTACTGTTCACTAACACAGGGTGGCCCCGAAACCCCAGATCTGTGTTGACCGGAGTACATCTAAAGCTGTCGAGCCAGCTCTGCAACATGCAGCATGAAGGCTGAGCAACAACAAAGAGTTCCGTAAATCGACGTCATCGAGTCGCACACTGGTGACGTTCGCTTGGCGGAGAGGCAAGATGGCTACATCGGCTGGGCTGCGTGGCCCATCTGCTATGAGACTAACAGAGGGTTTGGTGTCGGTTCTGAAAGAACAGCGTCCCGAATATTTACCTGCTCTGGTGGCAAACTACAGGGAACATGGCGTGTTCCCGTCCCAGGTAGAGCCCGGCCCAGTGACGAATGTTAGCTTGGAGGCTAGTTACATGTGTGCCTGCAGTAGCTGAGCTGCTAGCTCTGCTGTTCACTGAGCTGACCTGATAAATTCGGGCTGAGAGGAGGTGTTGGTCTGGTTGTTAAATATGGGTTTGACTTCACTGTTTATTAAAACATTTGTTTATCTCTGCAGGGCGCGAGCGCCGTTGGGGGTCTCGTGGCTTTCAGCAATGCCAAACTGGGCTCGAGCAAGACCAGGTGAGGAAATGAATGTTTGTCATCTTATGTATTTCGGCATTAAGGTTAAATTAATGTTGTTCATTGTGGCCTTTCTCTGACAAAAGTGCCTTTTGTATCAAATGCAAAATGTGCACAATTTGCTTTTTACTAAAAACATTGAAAAGAGCATTTTGTTATGGGCTCTAAATGGTAGCACGAACGACTGAATTTTTTTAATGACTTCTTACACTTTAAACTTCCCACCATTCATACATCTGTAAAGTTGGTGCGTCATTCACTCATAGGGCTGGGTATCATTTCAATATTTTTGAGTCTAGTGCCGATATAATTTTTCGGTACCAATACGATACTTTACAAATAAGTGTGCTTCAGCAGGCAATTGTATAATTGTAGTTAGAAGTCTAACTTTTACGTATTTGGGTACTTGGCATGTCAACAACTGACCCAGGATGCTCATCATGATCTGGCCAGGTGTTTGCTTATCAAAAATGACATTATGTAAAAGAATGAAGAGAAAGTCTGGATCTACACAATGTACTGCTAAATCTTGACATTAACACACCAGAAGTGGTTTCTATTTTTTTTGTTTTCAAACTGCATGTGTTTGTGACTACTTTAATCCAGTCATGATTGAGTGATCATGCCTGCAAGTTAGACTAGTTTAATCCACTCAAGATGGAAAATAATAATAATAGATCATGTTAAAAACACTTCCGTTTTAAAATCGCTTGATATGCAAGTCATTTCTTATACATGCCCAGTTGCCCCTGCCCTTTCATGTTTATTACAACAGAGCTCGGAGGGGACAGAAAGTGATGACATAAATATGTCATCCACCATATGTCCTTGGTCCGTCAATTTATTTTTATTTTTATTTCTGAACATTGAAAGCTCAGATATTGGTCCAGTTTTCAGACCAAAAAGATATGACAAAATAATGCCAAATAGCACAAATCTATGGTGTTATACTGAATAGCTCTCTTTCTGGAGGGTAGCTCTAAACTGTGGCTAAGAACGGGAGGGTGTAAGTGTCAAGACAAAATCTGTGTGTGCATGTGTAGGTTTGAGGGGCTCTGTCTGCTCTCCATGCTGGTTAAGGACAGCTCCAGTGATCTGTTTCAGCAACACTGCCTTTCCTGGCTGCGCTCCCTGCAGCAGGTCATACAGGTATGATTCATACACACACAAACACACTCCTGTTTGTGTTGTCCATGCTGTTGGTCAGCCTCTTCTATACAACCTGAATTATGACTAAGTGGAAACCTGAAACTCTACACAGCCCAACACCCTCTTTTCTTAATCCTCTCCCCCCGTCCTCTTCTCTGTGTATGTGGATGCCACCCTGTAGTCTCAGGCTCCAGTTCAGACCATCCAGCTAGCGGTTAACATTCTGAAAGACTTGCTGCAGTACTCATCCCAGCTAGCAGAGCTGGCCAGGGAGGTCGGCCTGAACTCCATCCTGGGCATCCTTACATCACTGCTGGGACTTAAGACAGAGGTGAGGGGACAGGGCAGAACCTTTGAGTCATGAAGAGGAAGATTCATGGTGGCAGGGGCCCCACAATCATGGCTGAAGTGCCATATTACAAAATGGCATATCAAGAACACAGTTTGAAATGAGATGTTTTAATTTTGACCAAAGCGGCTGTATTAAGTTCTTTTAGGAATACAATCTGGCCTCTTTACTCACTGTGCTGAGACTAATAATCATTTAGTTGATTAACAAAAGCATAAAGTTTTAATTTGTAGAACAATGAGACACAGCTGGTGGAAACTGGTGTGGCCTAATGTGCTGCTTTCAGCCCATTCATCTTAGTGTCCTCTGCTTGGAACCCTGGTGGAGGGGGGTTTAGTTGTCTGCTACAGTGTCTTTTTTTATGCCACCACTGGAGGTGCCAAAGTAGGATATTTATAAAATTGTACACATAGTGGCTATAATTAATGACAAGTTTGATAATTGGTGAATTATTTTAATAATTTCTCAAATGTGAGAATTTGTGATGGGCATTTCTTTCTATGTCTGGCATGTAAATGACTAAACGATTTCTAGATGCATAGAAAAGTTGTACAGAGATTGAGTAACACTGTGATGAGCTGTTGCTAGCAGCTACATTTTCTTAGTTCCTCCTGTGTTCTCAGTGTGAGCTGGCAGCTATGGAGGGGATGACGGCCTGTATGACCTACTACCCCAGAGCCTGTGGATCCCTCAGGGTAAGATACACTGATGGACAGATGAGATAAAAAAGACAGGAGTGAAAGAGTTGTTGTACATGACATTAAGATCACTTCAGTTTGATGGGGAGAAAAAGAAACAAACCCGAGTTGTCTTTTTTTTTTTTTCTTTTAGGACAAACTGGGAGCCTCTTTTCTCTCCAAAATGGACAGTACAAACAAGAAAACACAAGAGGTTTGTGGTTCTCACTGTTGAGGTGTAGGGCTTTTGTAATATGTCTTGATAAATATCGAAAGCATTTTTTGCCTTTTTCCTCAGGCTTGTCCACAAAATAGTACTGCAATAGTAGCCAAAAGAAGAACAATGTACTTATACCCAAAGGGAGTATGTAGGAGTATGTTAAAAAATCAAGATACATGTGATGCGGATGATTCTGAATCAATTCACAAAAATTGATTTTCTAAATGTTAATATTTTGGAAACCTGAGAAACTATATTACACGTTTCCCCCCAGAGGAGGAAGGAACAGTATGCTGCTTCAGGCACACTTTTTTCTTTTCCTGTTGGCTCTGTGCAGTGCTGGGAGATATGCTGGCAATGTAACCTTCCAGGTGATGTGCCACATCACTTCCATTTGTTTTATTAATAAAAGATATTGGAAGTAAAGTTATCATGGATCATTACTAAAACTTTGCTTTAAAGGTACCAACAAGTCATACAGTGAGAAAAAAGAAATCCTGAATAGAAAAATGGATATATCCAGTATGATCCTTTTATCATGGCATCACAGCCCACTGAATCCTAATCCTATCATGGGGTGCGTAGAGGTTCCCACCCCTACTACAAAGTAATTACTAAGTTAGGTTAATTACAAATTATTTCTGAACTATTTTGGAATATCATATAGGTTTAAGTGTTTTTAAACCTTTTTAGTTTGTTTTACACTGGAGCAGATTTCTATACAGAAAGGTGCGGTGCAGAGTCAGATAGGTGATCATGTTGTTTTTCTGCCGACTTTTCACTGTTTTCGTCTCACTCTGTGTCCTTCTGTTAGATGGCCTGTCAGTGTTATGGTCGCTTGCCCTGCCTGGGTGGCCTTTTGGACAGAGGGGTGGGTACTGGCAGAGCTGAGGGCTGGACCAATCAGATTCACTGCCTATTGGCCTCAGCCAATGGCCTGCTGGCTCAGATCTACCAAGGTTCAGAAACAGGTATACTTTTCCATACGTGATGGTTGAATTTCTCTGTAGGACTCTATTTTTTATTTTTAAATCTCACGTAGCAGGACCTACATGACCTAACCATGACTTACAATGACGTTGATATGTAAAATGGTTGAATGTCCCTTTACTTTTGATTTGTGAAACGTGTCAAAGAACCCATGATCAAATCCTTGCCCTAGATGTGAGTAACTGTCAGTAAGCCAGGTAGAACACAGTACCGCAGAAGCTGTCCAGTTATTTGATAACTCCTGACAATCAAATGATGTAATAGGTGAACAGGCTGTGGCTGGGTGGGTACTGTCTTTTTAGGATCCTTTGGGCTCTGCAGGCACCTCACCTCACTGATCAGAATCAGTTTTATTGCCAGGTGTGTGTACACATATGAGGAATTTGACTCAGGATTGTACATTGCTCACAATGTGCTTACTTATACAGTAATAAAATAATAATAATAAAATAAAATCAGACACAAACTACAGAGTAGACAACACTAATATACACACTATGAACAAAACAATATAGACATATTGACAAATAGTGCAGTGATCAGAGTGCAAAGGATGCAAGAGTAAACTATTCTCATTATGTATGAGAATGTATGTTGAAGGTGGATATGATATACAGGTACACATACATGCATACATGTACACATGCACACAGTGTGATGGAGCATAGTGCAAAGGATGCTGGAAAAAATAAATAAGACCTATGACCTTATGACCTGAGGTAGGTGTATTGGTATACAGTATATACAATATGACCAGTAATAATATAGTATGAACAGCACTGAAATAGAGAATGGTGAATAAATAAATAATAAGTGGAAACCAGTAAACAGGTGCTGATTAGAGGCAGAGTTACTGGGTTATTGCACAGGAATTGTTCCTGACACTGTGAGTCAGTTTTGGCGTACAGTGCTCTGTCAGAACTGAAGAAGTCCTTTGGATAAGGGACGAAACGTCTTCCAGTAGCTTCAGCCAAGTCCAGTTGCCCTTCATTTTAACCTTCGTTGGATAACTATGACCTGGATGACTGAGAATCTTCATAGACAGTGCTCTGTAGCGCCTACCAGAGAGGAGGAGTTGTTACAGGTTGTGTCCGGGGTGAGATGGATCTGCAGTGATGTTTCCTGCCCATTTCCCGACTCTGGAAATGTATAAGTCCTGAATGGAGGGCAGGTTGGCACCGATTTTTTTTTTTCTGCAGTCCTGACTGTTCGTTGCAGTCTGCTCCTGTCCTTTTTGGTGGCAAATCTAAACCAGACAGTGATGGAGGTGCAGAGGACAGACTGGATGATGGCTGTGTAGAAGTGGATCAGCAGCTCCTTAGGCAGGTTGAGCTTCCTGAGGTGACGCAGGAAGTCCATCCTCTGTTGGGCTTTCTTGATGATGGTGTCAATGTTGGGCTCCCACTTTAGGACCTGGGATATAGTGGATCCCAGAACCCAGAAGGATTCCACAGCAGACACAGGACTGTTGAGTATGGTGATGGGGGGCAGAGTAGGGGGGCTCCTCCTGAAGTCCACGGTCATCTCCACAGTTTTGAGCATGTTAAGCTCCAGGTTGTTCTGACCGCACCAGAGAGCCAGCTGATCAACCTTCCATCTGTAGGCCGACTCATCACCATCCCGGGTGAGACCGATAACCGTTGCGTCGTCAGTAAACTTCAGGAGTTTGACAGATGGGTCCCCTGAGGTGCAGTCGTTGGTGTAGAGGGAGAAGAGCAGTGGGGAGAGCACACATCCATGGGGGGCGCCAGTGCTAGTAGTCCGGGTGCTGGATGTGATGTTTCCCAGTCTCACCTGCTGACTCCTGTCAGTCAGGAAGTCTGTGATCCACTGACAGGTGGAGGCTGGCACAGTGAGCTGGGTGAGTTTGCTGCTGAGGATGTCCGGGATGATGGTGTTGAACGCCGAGCTGAAGTCCACGAGAGTCGAGGTGTTGCAGGATGTGATGCAGTCCCAAGTTGACAGCATCATCCACTGACCTGTTAGCCCTGTAGGCAAACTGCAGGGGGTCCAGCAAGGGGCCTGTAATGTCCTTCAGGTGGGCCAACACCAGTCTTTCAAAGGACTTCATGACTACAGATGTCAGGGCGACAGGCCTGTAGTCATTCAGTCCAGAGATGGAGGGTTTTTTGGGGACCGGGATGATTGTGGAGCGTTTGAAGCAGGAGGGAACTTCACACAGCTCCAGTGATTTGTTGAAGATCTGTGAGAAGATGGGGGCCAGCTGGTCAGCGCACATTTTCAGGCAGGATGGAGACACACCGCAGGGGCCAGGAGCCTTCCTGATCTTCTGCCTCTGGAAGAGGTGGCTCACGTCCTCTTCACAGATCTTGAGTGCAGGTGAGAGGTCAGAGGGGGAAGGTGACTGTTTGAAGATGGCGTTGGAGTGGGGGAGAGGTGTGACTCAAGGCTTTTCAAACCCACAGTAGAAACTTTTCTGCTCGTCTGCCAGTCGTTGAGTACCGGCCGTGTTGGGGGATGGGCACCAACGATCTAGGGCTCCAGACTAACTTTTTGCATTGGGTGCCCTGGTGTGACTTTTGTGATTTTTCATTTAGGTGCAGCACCACAAAATGTAGGTGCACCCAAATTTTTCACAGTACCAGTATATTCTAACAATATATTCCATAACGGTATTTTCTGTCATTTCCCATACACATTGAAAATTATGTAAGTGATTGTAAACAATTGATCAACACCTTGTTTTGCTGACGTTTAGCAGTTGGGTTGTTCTCTGTGCACCACTCTGCAAGATTATCATTTTCCTCCCGATATGAAGTCTCATCGTTGTTTGAAATCCGTCCGATGATGGTGGCGTCAACCGCAAACTTCCGAACAGAGTTCTTTCCATGTCGGGGGATGCAGTTGTGGGTGTACAATGTGAACAGGAGGGGGCTGAGCACACAGCCCTGGGGGGGCTCCTTCATACAGAGCGGTCACAGTGGTTACAAAGGCAATGTTTGCACCGAAGATAGATGTGCTGTTTTACACACCTGACATAAATATCTGAAATTGGTAGATGTTCCTTGTTGTAACACCTCAACATGTTTGTTTGCAATGCGTTTCAGTATGATCATTTTACATGGATATTTTAGGGCTGAATGATATTTAAAAAAAAAACGTACTGCAATTATTTTGACAGCTATTGCGATATAAGCCAAGATTTGAATGGGGATGGTAATTCTGGCATTTCATTTTTACTGGGAAAAAGAAATAGAAATGTGATTTTTGGGGTCTGTAACATGCATGTTCCCGTACGCCTGAACAATGTAGTAGGTAGGCTGGGCGTCTGTAGTACCACAATGCTTCACTTGTAATGGGATGTTGTGACACATTTTACCTGTATCAAAAATGAGAGCTGCTGCAATTTGGATAATTGACTTGCCTTGGTCTGTTGTACTAGGGCTAAATGATTTTTAAAAAATATCAAATTGCAATTACTTTGACCAATTATTACTGAATTATGGTATGATTTGATACATCATTACTTTCATTTTCACTGTAAAACACATACAAATTTATTGTGGTGTGAATTTTGGGGCTCTGTACCAAACAAAAGTTTTCTTAAGCCTCTAGAATAGGCCAGGACATATCTGAAGCACCACAATATTTAAGATTTAATTTATTAAGTGGTATTTTGACACACTTTTCACCTTTTAACAAATACTTCACCTCCTGCAATTTGAAAACTGCAGGAGGCCATATTGTGATTTCAATAACATTTTGATGAATTGTTCAGCCCTAGTGTATTGTACTCTGATTATGACGTTTGTTAAAAAGCTCTTGCTGTTTGCTGTAACAGATGGAACGGTGCAGTATGAAGGTCCAGGGGTGGAGCTGGCCTTTCCTCATCTCGATCAGTCAGATCCCCTGCTGCTACTGCAGCTCCAGCACAGATACACAGCTGTCTGCCTGGCACTCAAACACACACTCAGGTACAACGCATGCACACAACTTTAAAGGGTTATCCAAATCACAAAATACTGTTCTCATATACATATCGTTTCTCGCCATGAGGTTAGTTTTGGTTTTGAAATGCTGAGATATCTAAAATGTCTGCCCCTCCTCTTTACAGTGCAATGTACATTTAAAATAATTCCGTAGTAACATTCCTGCACCAACAACATCCAGATTACTCAGGCCACGCTGTCAGTGTTTTTTTGGACCCACTCTCTACCAAAGACATAGTCCCCAAGAAACTGTCGACATTTTTCAGTGAAACTATGGCCATCTTCATCGACTGTCTGTCTGACTAAATCATTTACTGGCCAAAACAGAGTGATGATGAAGAACATAATGCTACTTGTTGCAAAGGTAGCAGACTGTTGGCGTTCCGAGGAGTCTACCTGGAGTTTGTCAGGTGGAATTTGCTCTTCCAATCTGCTATTGGTGAAAACCAGATTGTGGTCTGCATGTGGAGTACCCTACCTGTAGTACGTCATAGTGGTGGCAGCATCGTGCAGTGCTGTCAATAAAATAACTGCATTTTAGCCTATCCAGAATAAATACCTGGCTGGATACTTTCAAACTCTTGCTGTGTCTTACTAGATTCTCCAGTGTTGCCCCGAGCTTTAACGGCTTTCTCCTTCATAGCAGTATATAATCTTAACAATGCAGTTGCAGTTGTACTTATTCATACTTATCTCTGTCCATCAGAGTGGATCCAGCCTCAGCTGTTCGTCTGCCTGTCAGACCAATACTCAACCTGGTGTGCCGAGCCCTCGCTGTCAGCTCCAAGAGCATAGTGAGCGCGCACACACACACACACACACACACACACACACACACACACACACACACACACACACACACACACACACACACACACACACACACACACACACACACACGTAACTCTCAGATGATAATGAAATGAAACCACAGACGGGAGTGGATGATTGTCGTAAATTTAGTCAGCTGAGTATGTTTTTGTGTTTTTCAGAATTTAACAGGAGATGGAAGTGTGAGGTTGCTGGTCTTGCCCGTCGTTCACGCCAACACACTGGAGGTCTTATCAGCTCTTATCACAGCGTGAGTACTGACGTACACACACAAACACTGACTTATAGACATGTGTATCATATGCAATAGTTGAATCAAGATATCAACATAACAGTTTAAACAATTGTGTTGATGGTTGTGTGATGCTGACACTGTCTGTACTGTGTGTGTGTATTACAGTGTACGTAGCAGCATGGTTCAGTACGCTGCTGTGCTACAGAGGCTGTTTTCACAAACCTTGTCTGCCTGGACACCTCAGCCTGAAGCCAGTCTGGGACAGCAGAGAGCCTACAGGTAACTGGGGGACTAGTACAAACTGATCACAAATGCGGATTAATGAAAACAAGTACGTTTCTCCTGTTAGCAGTGTAATAATAACAAGATAAAGTTCCTCACTAGTGTTTTTATTTAGTTTTTCCCTTGGTGAAACACAAGATACAAATTGGTTCGTAGGGCGTCTGAGGTCTAGAATTCAATTCAATCCAATTTTATTTATATAGCTCCAAATCACAACAACAGTTATCTCTGAAGGCTGAAGAAGAACTTCTTTCAGTCTATTACAATTCAAACAACTTAGTGCAAAATGGCCTAGCTTGTATTACAGCAGATATGGCAAGGAGGGGGTTTATATAGCAGCAGCGCTGTGGATGATGTGTTAATGTCAGATGTTGACGTTTGTCTTGTGTGTCTCTTCACCCCACAGCTCAGTCCGGGTATCCGTGTACAGAACCTTAGAGCTGTGGGTCCAGGTAGCCGGAGCCTCTGCTAGCATCCTTCAAGGAAGCCCTGGCCACTCAGAACTCCTGTTTAGCCACCTGCTCAGTGACATCACACCAGGGGCGGAGTCTGTCAAAGTCAGTTCAAGTTGTATGAATGTTGAATGTATTTAAGTATTTTACTGTATAAATTGCCTGTTTTATAGATTTGCTCTTTGGACATTAGGAGAACCTGCAGTAGTTTGCTGTAGCAGGTGTCTACTGTTTATCATATGGCAATGCAGCAGCATCACTCTCTGTGCCTCTGTGTTGTCCTGTAATCCAGCTCCGGGCGGGTCTGTCGGCAGATGTGGTTCCTGGAGGGAAGCCTGGCCCACGCAGGACAAAACCATTGGTCATAGCTGATGCAGTCGGGCCGTTACTCCAGAGGAAAGGAGACCTTTTGGCTAATCAGGATACTTGCCTTTCAGCCCTCAGGGGTGAGATGCTGCCTCTGTTTGATTTCATCCAGCATTAAGGTCCTATAAGTTGTATTGGTACTATATTGGTGATATTCTATAAATCACATAAACTAAACAAACAAAGTTTGGTGGATTATTTATTTGGTGTAACAATCCTTCTTGGCAATAACTCTTACACCATCTGAAAGCCTGATTTTTCTCCCTTTTTAAATGGTGCCACATTTATAAGGAACATGCATTTGAAGGATGAGCAGCAGAGCTGAGAATGTGGGTTCCTCCTACTTATGCATGTTCCTTACAAATGTGGCACCATGTAAAAAAGGGAGATAATCAGGCTTTCCAATGGAATGTGGTTTATTGCCAAGAAGCATTGTTACCGCAAAGAAATAATCTACCAAACACACACTTCCTTACTTTTTGTGCTAAGATTAGGTTGTTTTTCTTCACAGCACTGAGACAAATCATGCTGACCAGTGGTACGCTGCTGAAGGATGATATACACAAGGTAAATATCAGTGTACGTTGGTAATGCAGCTGAAAACAGGCAAGAACACAAATTAGATTTCTTAACATGCAGATGTTCACTGTAACTGCTAAACTAAGTACTACAGTTCAACAGTACAGCAGCTAATGTCACTGAACACACAGCTAACCAGTTAAGCAACTGCTATGGTGACGGACTAAAATAAAACCTGAATACTCACAAACTGCTCAGGACTGGGATCATGTTTGTTATTTTCAGTGATTTCCTGTCAACGTGATGATGACATTGGTGGTTCTCACTTCTGTCTTCATCACGTACCTGTATTATAGTATGAACACCTCATTCTCTTTTTGAATAGCAGTCTGTGGTTTTCTGTTTTGATTCTCTCTCAGCGTCTCCATGACGTGGTGCTGCCGCTATGTGTGCGTCTACAGCAGCAACAGTCCAGCAGCAGCGCTTCATGTGAATCTACAGGGGGCGTCAGTGGGCAGTACAGCAGTGCCCTCACCCGACAAGAGCTCTACAGGTACTCCCTTCATTCAAGTCAAAGTAGGGCTGCTCGATTATGGCAAAAATCATAAGCATGGTTATTTTGCTAATAATTGAGATCACAATTATTTAACACGATTATTGATTTAGCCTTAGGAAACATCATGCATTTATTGAACGTTTAAAATGAATGCTTTGTTTTTATAAATGATTATGCATTATGCCAAAATCCCATGAAATAATAATAATCGAATATTATGAGCTTTAAATAGCATCTTGGAGTGCAAGAGAATAGGGCTGGACAATAAAACAATGCGAATGATCGCATCATTGTCCTCTAACAATATAACAAATGTTTAATAAATTTTGATTTCATTCATTTGAATCAGGAACAAATTAACATTTAATGTTTCCATTATATATATTTTTGTTAAGGAAAAAGACTGAAAAAGATTTACTGATCATATTTGTTCAAAAAAGATTTTATCATAATAGTTTTTGAATGTTCGACCTCAGATTTGTGAAGTGATCAACTGTCAAGTGTTTGTCACATTCTGACCATAACGAAAAGTTACAAAACACAATTAAACATCTGGTTTCTGCAACTCTCACTCAGGAGCAGAAATAAGCCTTTAAACCTGGAAGATATAATGATTTGACATTTATCCTGAGAATTCCCCATATCAAATGATTTAATTGTGATAACTTTTTTGGCCATCTCCAGCCCTGCAATGTTGCAATGTTTCCCCTGGTTCACTGACTGTTGGAGGCAGATGGGCCACTTAGGGGTGTGGGGTGTGTGTGTGTGTGTGTGTGTGGGAGTAAAGAAGCACAGGTGAACTACTCGAGTAGACAACAACTCGTCATGTTACATAACACTGAAATTTAACCTGGTGTTCTGTCGAAATGCAGTTACTTAAACTAACGGTGGGTAAGAGAAGTATAAGTCCAGGATTATGTTAGAAGAGGCCGTGGATATTTTAAGTACGAACCATGTAAAGCAAGTCCACTAGCTGCTAGGCTAATTTATACAGTTTTTAATGCCGTAGGCATAAGCAAATAATGGTGGCAAGTTACAGCAGTTATCACATCTTGGAGCTGAACTAAAGATTACAGCCTAGCTGAGATTAAGGGGCGGGAGGCTCCGCTGTAAAGGAAAGTGTTTTTTTGAATAAGGTGACAAAACAGCATTATAGTGGCGTACTGTGGAGATGCCTGGCCTACACATTGCGTTCTCCAGATGTGAAGTGTTTATTTGGTGCAGCCCCCGACAAATTTTACATCATCATGATTTATTAGCTTTTCGAGAATCATATCCCAATCGTAATGTAATATATTCAAGTCCCTACTTGTAGAAATTTTAACACGTGATCATTTTGGTGGTCAACAGAATTCCAGTTTTTGGTTTTAAAAACCCCTGTGACCAAATGTTAAGATTAAGATATACTTTATTAATTCAGTATTAATTAATTCAGAAATTCAGTGTTTTCACTCTGTTATTATTGTTAGTATTTACACACAGGTCTGAAACACATGCACAAACAGGACCCCCCTCACTCTGACATCACGGAGAGACTCTGGTCTGAGCTGGATCCGAACCAGTGACCCTCCCAGCCTAATCTTAACGGACTGAGCTACTGCCGCCCCTTCTAACAAACTCACAAATTCAACATTTTCTTTCACATGATTTAATTTTACTGCACACCTGTCTACCAAATGTGCTTTAGATAATGCTTAGTTTGACTTTTATGTTGTGGTGAAGATGAAGCCTGTTGGTGGCTGTGTATTGCAGTGCAGATGGGTTCATATCAGTGTTTTGTTTTTGTGTGGATTTTCAGGTTATTGCTGGCTCTGGTCCTGGTCCCATCACCCTGTTGGCCTCCACCACTGACCTGTGCTGTGTCCATCCTCAGTAACGGACGCACTGACCGCAACCTCAAGGTGACTACTCTGAGGGAGAGACTTCAGGAGGGAGACGCCACTGAGTAGCAAGTGTTTTGGTTGGTTTGAGGAACAGATTGATAAGTTTGAATTGTTAGAAGGCACCAACACTGTGCACAGGAGTTTATAATACTATAACATAAGATATAAAAGGATTTACTACTCTGGAAAGTTCCATGTCAGCAATCACTTATCTTGAGAATGTGTGCGTTTTTGCCTTTATCCAACAGTCCACAGCGCAGAGAGAAACGGGAAACTGAAGTTGTGGTTGTGTGGTATTACTTAACCGTTAGGAATTACCACATTGTAGTAAAGGTTAAGCCAGGTTCAAGTTTTTCCCAGACAGTACTGATATTTTTTTTTTGTCTTCTTTTTTTGGGGGGCCTCTGCATGAGTGATTAGGCTGGCTTTTTTCACAGTGCTGTTGTGCTGAACATGGCCTAAATTTGTATGAGGCATATTAAACTGCAGGTAACCATAGCAACATGCTCAGTTACCAGCTAACTCTCTGTGTGTTGAACAGATTACAGTTTTAAGGGGACCTGTAATGCTCATTTGCAGCTCTATACATTTACTCTGGACTCCACAGTTAACGGAAATCTCACTGTCTACAGAAATATACAGTATGATGACTTGAACAGAGTTTCCTTTTTGTGACCATGGCCCATGTTATTGTAACACACGTAGGGGTGAGGGACGTGGCTAAAACCACCACAGTACCACATCATGTACCATGTTTACATGTGTAGCAGCTATTTTGCGGTCAGGCATTGCACAGTTTTTAATAATTGTGCTTGCCCCCTTCCCCCCCCCAGGTCTCTACATTCTGTATGGAGGCTCTGACCATCTGTAACTCCCTCCTCCACCCCCGCACTCCCTCCATCACCCTTCCGTTACCACCCCTCACCCTAAAACCTACCCCCACTGCTCCAGTCCTCCCCTCCTCACAAGGACCTACCCCTGGACTCACTTTACCAACCCTCCTAGGAGGCCCCGCCCCTGGTCCCCCCTTTCCCTCCCGCCACTCCCTTGGCCTAGGCCCCGCTTCACTGCTGGGTTCTCTGGAGAACCACCTCTCCCTGGTTCCTGGACTGCCGGGCCAGGTCCCCACCCCAGGAGACATGATGCTGTCCCACCAGCAGGACCCTGCTGGGCTGGGCCCTCCAGATGGGCAGAGGCCTGTGTTTGTCCGATATGACAGAGAGGAAATGGAGGATGTAGAGATCTCTCTTGCCAGTGACTCAGACGACAGTGTGGTCATCGTTCCTCCGGGGATGCTCAACATGGACAACCAGCAAGATGAGACGGCAGCACCAGCCAACTGTCAGAACGTGAACTCTGCTGCACCAGGGAGCACTACAGTCACACTACCAGGAGGAGAGTCTGTCACCGTGGTACCCACCACAGCAACAACAACCACAATGGACGGGGTCTCGCTCCCCAACGACCTTGCTACCTCCTCTCCCCTACTCACCACCTCCACCACCCCTGTCAACTCCTTTCCTCCTTCCGGCACCTCGGTGGTCTCCCTGGTACCACCTTTGAACTCCAGCACACTCACAGCTCCGCCTGCCATTCTGGGAGACTCGTTGCCTGGCAGACCCCAGCTCCAGCAGATGCTGATGCAGCCCTCCACACCGGGCCAGCCTGGCCCCATGGGTCTACCACTCCAGATGCACCAGCTGCAGAATCAGCTGAGCCAGCAGGGACGGCACCTCCACCAGCACCAAACACCGCCCGCCAACAACGAAGACTCCGGTGTCATTAACATCAACAGCACTGACGACGAGGAGGAAGAAGATGAGGACATGGAGGATGATGAGGAGCTGGAGGAAGAGGAGGAGGAAGGGATGGATGAGGAGGATGAGGAGGAGGAAGTGAGTGATGAAGAGTTTTATGACGGGGAGGACTATGAGGATTATGATGAAGAGGAGGGGGAAGAGTTAGAGGAAGAGGAGGAGGAGGAGGAGGGTGGGGACATACCTCCCCTGGAGGGAGCAGAGGACAGGGCTGGAGAGGTGGGAATAGAGGAGGGGGAGGTGCTCCGAGCAGGTGTGGAGAAAGGAGGGATGGCTGCATTCAGTGTAGAGGGGGAAGCAGAAGGAGGGATAGAAGAAATCCAGACCAACAGAGCGCTGTTCGGAGAGGACAGGATGAAGGTACAAGAGGTGGAAAGCATCGGAGTCCTGGAGGAGGCGCGGGAGGGGGAGGAGGATGAAAGTGAAAGGATGGACGACCCCACCATGCCACAGATCCTGTGTGTCACCGGAGGAGCACTGGAGGAGAGGGAGGAGGCCGAGGAGGAGGGAGGGGGAGAAGGTGGGCTGCAGGAGGATGCGAGCTTGTGGGAACAAGGAGCCAATGAGATTGAGCCAACAGCCGCCTCAGAAGAATGCACAACCAATCCGAATCAACAGGTAGTTACCACAGCTTTAAAATGTCGTGTTTGATGAACTCTGACTTATGTAAAGCTCTTTTGTGCCAGAATTGGTATTTTTTTTGCGACTTGGCACCCCAACAGTTTCAGGGTACAAATCACTACTGTCATGTAGGACTGGGCAATAAAACAACAATGAGAATTGTTTCTATCATTTTCCTCAACAATATAACAAATGTTCAATAAATGTTTGAATTAATTTGAATCATGAACGAATTAGCACTTGTTTTTATTAACATTTATGTTGTTGAGGAAAAGGGAGTGGAAAAAAGATTTTACTTAATACTTTTGAATGCATTGTGTCCACATTGGACACTATTTCTTCGTGTCATGAAACGATTTAGCTTTTTTCCTTTAAGGGTGATGCTTCTATCACAACAGTGTCAACGCTTTCTGCATGATGCACCTCTCTGCAAATGTATTTACTATATATAGAGTGTCAGTATGCTGATTACAAATAGTGGCCATGTGCCTGTCAATTTAGAATGATTTTGATTTACTAACATTTGCACGGTGCGCGTGTGTCATGAATAGGACAGTCATTTTGCACGTGCACTTACTTTGTGCACAGAGTAAGAACATTTCTATGCACATATTAGTGAATGATGTTTCTGTTTTGTGGAAAAGCTGCAAATGTATAAACACTCTTGTGATGACAGGGAATAAACAGATTAACTTCATAGTGATGTTCTCTTCTGGCTCGGGGGTCAGGAGTATTTCTCTACCTAACAGGGTGCTTCTGTGTATTTCTACACCTTGTTATTGTTTCATCCATTGTAAATAAATGAAGCTGGTGTTGTTACAACTTAGCTATCCACCTAAAGCTGACTCTGTTCAACTCAGCAGGAATCAGGAACTGAACCTGCACAGGAAGCCACTGTGAGCGATAACCAGCCATCCGGTCATCAGGAGGACCCGCTAACAGACTCAGCAGCAGCAGATTGTGAAACCTCAACAGTCCCTGATACAAAAGAGCAAGAGGAGACAGACGCTGATAAAAGTGAAAACATAAAACCAGAGCAGCAGGAGACAGAAGGACAAGAAGGGGGAGAGAGTGATGGAGAGGAAGGTAAAGGTGTGAAGAGGAAGAGAGAGGAGACGCACAGGGAGGAGGAGGTGGGGCAAAGCACTGAGAAGAAAAAGGTAAGTATTCATGGCTGACTTGTTTCCTGGTTGAATGTGTATAGAATTGATCATAAGATATGAGAGATTTTTATGTTCCCTAAGGGAAATTTGTTTTGTCCGTTCTGCAGCTTTGCAAAGACAACACAAAATACAGTAAATGGACATTTCTCAACACATACTCAAGCAACACAACACAACACATGCTCTCATATTTGTACTGTTATTTTATGTTTGTACTGTTAGATTTGCTGTCCTGCTTCCTTTCTTGGCCAGGGCTCCCTTGAAAAAGAGATTTTTATATCAGTGGAGTTTTTTCCCCTGGTTAAATAAAGGTTAAATACATAAATAAATAAAAATATATACATTAAACAGGTACCCATATAAGTAAGCACATTAACTCCTTCTCACAATGGCTGTTTTTGATTGCACAACCCCTGTCTGCTGCCTTCCCCGCACTAAGTGTAGCATAGCCCATTAAGCCTAGATTGCACCAATGAGATATTGCACACCCCAAATAGCCTATGTAATTGCACAAATGACGTATTTCACATTACCTATGTATTACACAGTGACATACTGAACAATCCAATAGCCTACTTATTGCACACATGAAATGGTGCAAAACCCAACTGTTAAACAAATGACACATTGCACACACAACTAGCCTACATGTAGCAAAATTTCATATTGCATAACATCTGCATCACATGGACATAGGCACAAGTGAGTGTTGATATTGGTTTATGCATTTAGGAAGCCTGAATCTTCTACCAGAAGGGAAAAGCTGAATTTCTGGATGAAGTATGGGGGTCGGATCAGAAATTATTTATTGTGCCTGTCTGATAACTGACTGCTCATAAATTGTCTGGAGGGGCGGATGTTTTTTGACCCTTATAATCTTCATAACGGTCTGTACCTGACAGGTGATCTGTGGTTTGGACTGTACTGTCAGGTTACCATAACAGGCTGTAATACCGTATCTTAGAATACTCTCTAATATTGCATGATGGAACAACAATATAAATTTTTGTTCATCTCCATAGACTATGTCTATGTAAAAATAAAAATAAAAATGCATCCCCTGTTGAAGTCTGGAGCAGAAAGTATCAACGTGGGCCTTGTGAGTGAGTACACTGTCAGTATGTACACCAAGATATTTAAGAGCTAATCTGAGTGGTGAGTTGCTGATCACTACAGGCCTGGTGTGGCTTATGGCCTTTGGGTCAAACACCATCACCTCAGTCTTGCTCACATTTAGCACAAGATGGTTGTCGTCACACCACTGGAGAAATTCCTCAATTTCTGTATGATAGCTGCTGAACTTCTATCTTTGTGCATAAGGCTGAAGATTGCTGTATTGTCTGAGAATTTAATAATGTAATTGTCAGTGTGGAGTCTAGTGCAGTATACAGTGTAAAGAGGACTGGAGAGCTGACACAGCCCTGGGGGCACCAGAGCTGATTGGCCTGGGCCGATGGGCCTGAGCTGTTGAGACTAAAAGAGTTAAAATTCAAGTGTTTCAGTTTATGGGCATGTGAGGCTGCAGAGTGTTAAAAGTTGAACTAAAATCAACAAACAAAATGCGTGCATAGGCCTTGAGGTCCTCAAGGTGTTTACTGCCCTGATGTGATGTGTTGCTTAAGAAATGACAACATTATCCTCTCAAGACATTTCATGTCAGTGGTGTCAGTGCCACAGGCCTAAAATCATTGTTCACCCTTGGGCAAGATATTTTTGGTTCAGTTGTATCACTGATTTCTTCCACATGGCGGGGATGGTGTGTGAGTCTACTGATTTTTGAAAGATGGGGCACCTTGAAGGGTCAGCTCCTCTGCACATGTCTTTAGAAGGAATATATTCCAGATATTCCATCTGGCCCAGTGGCCTTCTTAGTACAAAAGTGATCTGACCTCCTAACGTTCAATCACCAGCCTTGCAGCCTGCTCTGTGATGGAAATTATCTCAAACATTCCATTCAGATTCATTCAGAGATTCAAAGCTCAGATAAGTCATTCAGGTAATTTGCTTTTTGCAGATCATCAGAAGAACAGATTCATTTTTGAGCTGGTGTCATATTAGTAATTACCTTCATAGTGTCCCATAGTTCATTTCTGTAAAACTCTGTTCAGTTAAGTCTTTGTCTTCTCCTGGCTTCCCTGAGCAAGTGAATAAGTTCTGTTTGCACAGTTTTCAGTTGTGCTCTGTCCTTGTTCTTAAATCTTGCGGTGCAGTCTTTACCTTCCCTAGTTAAGTATGGTTTGTTGTTAGGATATATCGTTTTTTTCTTTCTGAGGTATAACATTGTCCACATAGAATTTTATGTAATCCGTAACAGTTTCGGCTGCTTTATCTACATCCAGTTCATGAAAGATGACATATACACTGCAGAGCATGTTGTAACCAAACACTCTGGGCAGATACAGCGGTCTTAGGTTCAAGCACATTACTTCTACATTGGGGTTGCATATAATCATATGTTGCCTGCAACATTTATCTGTTCAAAAGTTTCGATACCTCTCTAAATCCATTAATTGTAGATTTTAAAATTTTCTAACTTTGCCAATACCACCTGAATAGATTTCCCCTTAATCATGTTTCATGTTGTCTCTCTCTGTCTGTCCCTCAGCTGGATGAAGAAGCCATGGCCTCCATGTTGGCTGATTTTGTCGCCTGTCCACCTGATGATGAAGACGGTGCCTCTAGTTCAAACCGCTCATAAACATTTGCTAACCTGAACTGATGTGATTAAAGTAACCATGGATACAGCAGATACTGCTAGGATAATGTATCATTAGTGACATTTTCAAGTTTCCTCTACATCAACAGCAACCCCTTATCATTCTGTACATCTTCCAGTCATTCTTCAGTGTGCAGATCATGGAGGAAAACAACTGGAGGCTACATTCTACTGGTAGAATGTAGCCTCCAGTTTTCTTTAACATTATTGCCATCTTCAGGCTACACAATGTGGGGGTGTGGGAATAATTGGGGGGAAGTCAGACTTATTACTTTGTCACATCACCCAGCTTGTAATTGGCAAGAAGTAGTTTTACATGAGCTAAAAGACGGTGTACATTTTCTACAAGTACAGCTGCCCAGGAAGGATGTGATGCTCTATGAAATGTGTTACCCAGAACGTTAGCCTTTGTTCTTGTATACAGTACATCGTATCCTACAGTTAGTTTCTTGGATTTATATGCATCTTTTATGGTCCTTATGTTGTGTCTTCACTGTTATATGGTTTGTTATAAAAAAGTAAAAAAATCCAACATGACTTACCTACATTAGTTTTGTTTTCTGAAATGTAATCCTTAAAACCTTCTGGTTTCTCATCCATTTTTAAAAAGGTTGGTTTATTACATGAGGTCACACAGTGGGGTCTGTATATTATCCATTATCCAAATAAATTTTCTTGTACATTTTTATAATAGATTTTCCTTGGGTTTTGAGCAGCACAAACTAAATTCCATTCACCTCAATAGTAATGTGGAGGCAGAAATTTCAGACACACACAAAACAAACTGTCTGGATAGATACTGCAAGAGAAAATGTGTCTGGGCAAACTGACCCTTTATGTTGAGAGAAGTGTGTCCTAATTCCATACTAGACTTAAAAGTCTAAAAGTAGTGATCTCATAACCAATGGAAGTTTATTCCACAGTCTTGGGGCCACTACTGAAGTATGGCATGTGATGTTTAGGTGATGGACATGAGTGATGCGTTGAAACTTACTATTCTATCTGATCATAAACCTGTGTCATCCAGCTCAACAGGGAAACCTAATGGTAAAACCACATCAAGTGTATGGCCATGTTCATGTGTAGGGGCAGTAACAGGCCGAGAGAGTCCACAAATTGTAAAAACTGGCTAACCAACTTGCTTTAATGTACAACAGACAAAAAATTTTATCAAAGTTGGGCACACAATCATAGAAAGTCCTTATTGTACTTTGGTGGTCTGTGCACAAAGTAATGGGCAGGCTTGTTCAACCTTAAATACTTGCACCTAAAACCTGGTGTAGTTGACAGAAGACTGCATGTAAAGCGATTCTTAAAAACCCCAACCATGCCTGTTCTGGGAGAACTAAAAATGTTAGTCACTGGGGGAGAGTTCCAACAGTCTGTTGCACATAATAAATTCAGATCACGCTATAAAAAGATAGTATCCACATTGTGTGTTGATTCTTTTTGATCCTTTGAGCAAGTGATGGTTGTGTTGCCGATTTTGAACGGAGGATAGTCAGGGCGAAGTACAATTCTAGATATTGTAAAACAAATTGAAAGATGGGCGTTTTCAGAAGAGGTTAAACTTGTCAATAAAAACTACTTCAGGCAGGTAGACTGTAGCCGGTGTGAAGACTGAGTGTGCGGCTAAAGCAACCCACACCACCATTGAGTGGCTGGAATGGGAGGTGGAGAACATTGCACACACGAGGGAATGGAAGGAGAACGGTGGACAGCTAGAGGGGCAGGAGCCCACTGTGGAGTTGGTGTAAAGTGCGGTATGAAGTGGCGAGCCCTGGTGCGGGAGGAGTGCACTGACATGGCTGGTGGAGGGAGCGAAGGCGATATTAAGCTGTGAGACCCATGCTAAGATTGGGGAGATGTAGGAAGGAACTCTTTGAGGATGTCGCATTTATTTCCCAGCTGGATGTCATGGTTTGGGGGTAAAGGAGAGGACACCCTCATCCTGGAGCCCCCTGCTATACTCCCTGTACACAGTCGTCATGTTTGCTGATGACATAGCTGATCACATATAAGGCCTAAAAGGCCTAACTGAAGGAGGACGAGGACCTGACCTGCTGGTGTCAGGACAACAAGCTACTCCTGAACGTCAGCAAGACTAAGGAGTCACTAGTAGACTTTGGAAGGAAGCGGGGAATGAACTACGCCCCTAATTTTGGTGTAAAGGGTGGACAGCTTCAAGCATCTTTGGTGTCCACATCATTGAGGGCCTGGTTAGAGCTGCAATCAGTTTGAGTCATTGTTTAAGAGCGTCATGATGGAGAACATCACTGCCTGATACAGGTACAGCACTTCACAGGATCGCAAGACTATGCAAAGATAGGATTGTAATGCACTCTAGTACGTGAGTAAGTGAATACATCACCATTCATAACTACGAGATGTTCAGCACTTATTCTGACTGTCTTCGTGTCTGTCTTCAGGTCAGTATGTTCAGTCTGCTTCTGTTGCTTGTTTGCCTGTTTTTCTATTTCTATTCTATTTTTGATGCATTTTCAATTGGACTTTTAGAAACTAGTGCAGTGCCTGTTCACAGGGGCAGATGTGAACAGGCTGGATTTGGAGTCACACTCAAAATGAAAGTGGAAAACCACACTACAGGCAGATCCAACTTTGATGTAATGTCCTTAAAACAAGTCAAAATGAGGCTCAGTAGTGTGTGTGGCCTCCATGTGCCTGTATGACCTCCCTACAACGCCTGGGCATGCTCCTGATGAGGTGGCGGATGGTCTCCTGAGGGATCTCCTCCCAGACCTGGACTAAAGCATCCACCAACTCCTGGACAGTCTGTGGTGCAACGTGGCGTTGGTGGGTGGAGCGAGACATGATGTCCCAGATGTGCTCAATTGGATTCAGGTCTGGGGAACGGGCGGGCCGGTCCATAGCATCAATGTCTTCCTCTTGCAGGAACTGCTGACACACTCCAGCCACATGAGGTCTAGCATTGTGTTGCATTAGGAGGAACCCAGGGCCAACCGCACCAGCATATGGTCTCACAAGGGGTCTGAGGATCTCATCTCGGTACCTAATGGCAGTCAGGCTACCTCTGGCGAGCACATGGAGGGCTGTGCGGCCCCCCAAAGAAATGCCACCCCACACCATTACTGACCCACCGCCAAACCGGTCATGCTGGAGGATGTTGCAGGCAGCAGAACGTTCTCCACGGCGTCTCCAGACTCTGTCACGTCTGTCACATGTGCTCAGTGTGAACCTGCTTTCATCTGTGAAGAGCACAGGGCGCCAGTGGCGAATTTGCCAATCTTGGTGTTCTCTGGCAAATGCAAAAGTGACCAAAACATCAGCGAGGAAGCATAGGAACTGAGAAGTGGTCTGTGGTCACCACCTGCAGAACCACTCCTTTATTGGGGGGGTCTCGCTAATTGCCTATAATTTCCACCTGTTGTCTTTTCCATTTGCACAACAGCATGTGAAACTGATTGTCAGTCAGTGTTGCTTCCTAAGTGGACAGTTTGATTTCACAGGAGTGTGATTGACTTGGAGTTACATTGTGGTGTTTAAGTGTTCCCTTTATTTTTTTTAGCAGATCTTAGTCATGACAGCAGCAGTTACTCACATAATCACTTCCTCTTAATTGATTGTGTCTATAAAATAAAAGTTTTTTGCAGCAATCCTTTATTTTGAGTTGAATTGAGATCTCCTACAATGAAAAGTTCTGAAAGACATTCAGAAGCGTCAGTGGGTTACTTAACACATGTCTAAAAAGCCATCAGGAAACATGAGATTGGATTCCCCTGAATGAGAAGTGCAGGACTTTCCTCTGCATGGAGATGCTGAGGAAATGAGCGTAAGTGACCATAGGTTGATGGATGTGGATCAGTCACCGGGACGCACACATTTATGAAAAGCACTCTGAGATAACCGTTGTGATTTGGCGCTATATAAATAAAAATGAATTGAAATTCCAGCACATGCTTTATTGTGAGCATGTGCAAAAATACAACCCTCAGATTTAAAGGCCTGTGTTCTTCTGACTGAGCCAACCAGACATCCATGATTATATGTTGACCCGTGACCTACAATTAATAATACTGAAAAAACGCGACCAGGCGAGTGCAGTGTCTCCTTTGGTGCAATTTGAACATGCAACATCCTTCCTTTATTAGAGAGATGTGTTTGTATTTCTGTTGAGCAGTTGGCACCGTAGGCTCTACTCTTCAGTGTGTTAATAGAAGGACTTATACAAGTACAGACCATTTACCATGTGTCCCACTGGCTCACAGAAGAAGGGGCCTCAGGAGGGAGGACTGCTGTTGGACCCTTCTCAAGTGTACAGTTGGCTATTGAATATTTTCTGTTGCCCATGGTAGTCTGTCCTACATGAAGCAACATTCAGCCGGGGACTACCATGTCCGAGGGCAGAAGACACAGAGTGAAATCACTCTATTCATGATACCCCAGCCTTCCGCAGAGTAAGTTGTTGTTGGCTATGCTGTTTGGAGTCATCATGTGATAGTTACGCCACGCCATTCACCCTGATTAACAGTTGACAGTTTTCTGAGGATGTAGGATGTGCAATCCAATACTTATATCTGACACACTGAAATAACAGCTGTATTCTCAATTCACCTTATTTTTCATCAGGTACTTCCTGATAATCCAAATACTGAAGGTCCTGATTCAAAACTATAGAGTTGACAAGCTTCAATAATTTAACTGAAATGACTGAAAGTTTAACTGGACGAATGCGCCTAGACAGTGGCGTGTCCAGACTGTTTTGACTGGCGTGGCCCAAGTGTGCACACACACACACACACACACACATACTTTATGTCTGAATAGCATTTATTTACCATTTCTCATATGTACTTTGAATACTCACATTACAGTATCTTACAGGTTCTTACATTTCTGTGTGTTGGTAAATAAATCCACCTATCAAGAAAGTGTACCTTCAAAAGTAGGCTACATAAAAAAGAAAACAATGCACATTGAAAAACACAGAAAAAACCCAGGTCTGGCAGATAGCCAATTATGATGTAGGATAATGGGGGTGTCACCTTGGGGAGAAAATCAGATTTCAGCCAGCCCTCACCTCTAGAGAAGATATATCACTCTCTTGGTGTTGTGGGAACTACAGAAACACTTACAGGTATCCAGTGGTGTTACAGAGTGATGCTTCTTTTACCTCCCAAACAATGGTTGGCAGAGTATAGAAAGAGGCTTGCGGTGATTCCACATACCTGACAACAGCCTAGTGTTACTTTGGCCTGCAATCAAGTTACCAATGGAATTAACATTGTGACTTCTGATTTGACCTGCCGCTTTCAGTGTTTGTCATTTTAGCCAGTGAATGCTAAAAATGAGATGCTGAAAGAGGACAGCTTTGTTACCTCTCATTAGGGAGAGCAGTGGTGCAGGCTGAGGTGGACAAAAGTAAACTTCACTAAAGAAAAGATCGGATTTTGATTGTCTTTATTTTAGACGATACTGAAGCATTAAAATAAGCCCGGATCGCTGCATATGGGAGCACTTGCCTGGCTCTGTTGGATTCAGACCACTTGCAGACAGTGGTTCATGT